TCGCACCGACCTCCTCCAATAGTAATGCAGAGGAGCGCAAACTACATAATGAAGAAAGTTGTGAATCAAAAGGTAAGAGAGACGTACAATGATGATGACAGCAAATTAGAGTATGATCAGCAAGTTGATAAAGTGGAACACAAGCTACATAATGAAGAAAGTGGAGATTCAGGCAATGATCATGACAGTAATTTGGAGTATGAAAAAGTAATGGATCAAATGGAATCAAAGGTAGGTGATACACATGATGACCATGACAGCGATTTGGAGTATGATCAACTTGTGGATAACGTGTGAAAAAGAAATGAAGAGTGCAAGAAGCGAAGCTTTAAACAGTTAGTGTCTATGATGTCCTCCCAGTGTGAAAGCGATGCCGAGCTATCTGAAGAGTTAAACAACCGCAAAAATGCTGACCAAGTAATCCAACCACCTCAACCACCAGTGACGGCTGGTAATACCAAATCTAGTGAAATAGTTATATGCGACAGTGAAGAAGAGGAAATTTTAGACCCAAACTATCACCCTTCCCTGACTCCGAATCAGAGTGTAGCACTGGAAGCTTGTCAGATAACTGCTCGTTGCAAGAAAGGGATGACATTTTAACTGATTTCGTGGAAAACGTAGATAATCTCGATTTTCTTCGTGTGGAACCAGAATGGAAGAGCGTGGTTGATGTTGTTTTTGAAAGAAAAAGAACGCTGGTAATACTGACTCCCAAAGCAATCTTTCACAAGGTAAAGTGCCTAAGGAAGTTATGAATGATGATGAATCATCAGTATACGATAGCGATGATGATGATAATGACGACTGTCTTGAAGAGATGGAAGATGATGTCAGTTTTGAAGACAATGATAGTAGTGATGACAGCCCACTGCTTAACGAGTTTCATTCCTGGCCCCGGTTGTTCGAAAGCCGATTAAATTATCCCTCGATTAGAGGTTAATCGACGATTAAATTTCTTATCCCAAGGATAGCTAATCTAGGTTTAAAATAACGTTCCTGAAAGCAGATTTATCCCTTGATTAACTATCCCACGATTAAGCTGAGGTTAAACCAGTCAAACCGGTTATTAAGAGCTACGCGGCTACGCGCGAAAAAAAATTGGAGGGAAAAAATGGCGGAAAGGGAGAGTGCACATGGAAGTGGAAACCAAACGAAAGACAGAAAAAGAAAGCATAATTTTTCAGTTTATGAGATTGAAGTCATCACCGATAATGTCAAAAAAAATCTCGATTTAATCCAATCCAAATTAACGAATGCTGTGACCAACAAAAAGAAACAAATGCTATGGGAAGAAATAACCCAAGCGGTAAATGCGGTCGGAACAGCCAAGCGAACAGTCACGGAGGTAAAAGACAAGTGGAAAAATCTCCATAGCATCGCCAAGAAAGAATTTGCAGAATTCAAGAGGGAGACCAAGATAACTGGAGGTGGTCGGCCTCCAAAGTCGCCGAGTGTTGCCAGCAAAGAGATTATTGAGGTGCTTGAGGACACGCCGGCGTTCAGCGGTTTGATTGGCTTTGAGACAGGTTTGTAAACAATTCTCTATTGTTTCCAGGTTACCAAAAATTTTAAAATTGTAGACAGTCAACCGGCCATGTTGTTTCGGCGGGGTTTTCAGCTTATCAAGCGCTTTCCCGTCTTTGAGCATACGAAATGTTCGGACTCAAGGGAGGAAAAGATAAGTTTGCATGTTTTTTTTTCCAATATCCGTAACTGTATTAATCAAGTTTTACCTTGTTTCGTTTATTTTCCCGTCACATTTCATGAGTGTACTTCACTAAGCGAAGGCTGCTACGGAGAACTCCAAACCGGTTTGCTGCTTTTGCGGCATTTATAGGGTTGCATTCGATTAAACCCTGTTTAAGCTGAATATAGACGAACGCTCATGACGGACTGTCAGTAATTTAGCAGACATATATATAAATTTCAGCTTCACTTGATTAATTCATATGTCGAAGATTGCATAGCTCCGTCATTTTGGAAAGCGATCTGATGAGTGAGACAAAAACCTTTGATTTCGAAGAATGTCTCGGATACGGTTTATAATTCGGTTAAAATTCGTTTTACCAAAGACAAAGTGCTCCTATTATTTCTTTATTTATCTTGTACTAAGGAGTGTTCTTCAAATATTTACGATCGGCTATTTACATGTATAAATAACTAATTTTTATTATTTCGTTTTGACGCAACTTTGTTTATGTTTGTGATTGACGAAATAATTTGTTGTTGTACCTGTTATCATGTCCTATTTTTTCGATCACTAAACTGTGGTACGGTTCTCGTTGTCGATTCGCTCTGATTCCCCTTTATCTGTCTAAAATAAGCTTAACTTTTGGTACATGATTTACAGATTTTATAAGCATTTTCGTGAATGATTTCACTGAGTTAAGTCTACCAGTACACAAATTCATTTTATGAAATTGAATAATTTATTTTTTACATGTTTAAGCCTCAGATTCCTTGCGGGAGAGATGCTCCTTCTGTTATTTCATTTATGTCATGCATAAAACTAAATTCACACTTTTTGAGCCTGAGTGAAACCTTAATTGTGCTTGAAATATTTTGTAGGAGAAGATGCTCATTTACCAGCAGAGTCTGCGAAGACTGTGTTTGAAGAAGACTGTCTGAGCCTCAATGAAGACATGCATTCTTCACCAGCCAAGGTTGATGAACAGAGGAAGCCTTCAAAAAGGATAAGTAATGGCGATGTTTTAAAAATGCAGTACGAATGCCTGTGTACTCAGAAGGAAATGTTGAATCTTAAAAAACAAAAATTGAAAATGCAAATTCATCTTCTGGAGCAACAGGTCAATGCAAACCAAACCTTCGCAACTGCATTAAATGCAAATTTTGTAGTTCCCAACACCGATTCATTTTAAAGGAGGAATAGTGTAATAAGTCCTCTTAAAGAAATATTTTGGGCAAATGTTGTTCTCGTATAATTTATTATAAAACATACACAATGTATTTTGTTCTCAAAATGTATTTTAATGTAATAAAACAGATTCTTGAGTCAAACTTATTTTAATGTGTTTTTTCAACCAGAAACCCTTAAATGCATATATGAATTTTTATATTTTATGGGAAGTTAAATTAAGAGCAAAACTGATTGCATAAGGCAGAAATACAAAAATTAAAAATTGTCAGAAAAAGGTGTTGCAGATGTGGTCTCGGATGACCTTGCCATCCTCTGGACCCCGGAAGCAAACAAGATTAGGTTGATCATCAGCCTCAGCATAGCCATCCAAAGGTTCCTTTCTCAGAATTGCAATGTTATGTAAAACTGCACATGCTCCGATAATGATGGACACTTTTTCTGGCTTCATTCTGATCTCAGAATGAAGCAGATGGAACCTTCGCTTCCACCAGCCAAAGGCTTGTTCTATTGCCACTCTTGTTCTTTTGTGGGCACTGTTGAACTCTTGCTGCTTGTCAGTGACTGGATTTAGGTAAGGGGTCATCAGGTACGGCTTGCAAGGGTAACCACTGTCACCCAACAGTAAACCATCTTCCAGGGACTGGTGTTGGATGTTAAGTTGTTGGCCAATTCTTGAATCCCTAAATATGAAGCTGTCATGGGTGCTGCCTGGCCATCGTGCTACAATGTTGGTAAACATGCCTAAAATAAAACAGCAAAGAAGTTATGTGACCAGTTCTTACCTATGATGTAGAAAATCTCATCTCAGTTTATAACAATAATGTACTGCAAAGAGGAACAACAATAATTGTGTCTATGATGAACTGGGGTAACTGATACAAATATTTAGTTTACTTGGAAAACCTTTTCATTGTTTAATTTGTTTTTTGAAATTTGGGAGACTGCATCATTTTGAAATCCCTGCTGATTGTTGCACTCTGTTGGTCAATATATTCACAAATGTCCCACATTATTTCTTGCTTTTTCCCTTGTTTTTTACTTTTTATACTGTCACTAAAATATTGGTGTGATAATTTTGGTAAATTTTCTGTATGTGTGTTTGCAAACCAAACTCCACCTATACCATTTGACTCAAAAAATATTTTAAAAAAATTTTATCACTGCTCCCATTTCCTGAATATGTGAAACTGCAATCTAGTAACTCCCAACAATGCAACCCCATAGCAGCTGGTGTGCTAGAAATCTCAATCTAAAACCTTCTATAAGGGGAGTACCCTCCTGCCAAAGGTTATTTTGCAATTTTTATAGAACACTAATTGTGACATTTGAGTATTTTACCTACCTTTGTGATTGCAAATTGCTTGCACATTTATGGAATGGAACCCTTTACGATTGACGAAATCGTTTTCGTTTTCATGTGGTGCCTGAATCTTGATGTGAGTGCCGTCAACACAGCCAATCACCCCAGGAAATCCCCCCTTGGTAAAAAAACCGCGTTTGTTTTGAAGTATCTCCTCTTCGGTCGATGGCCACTTGATGAAATTTCTTTGTTTCTGTGCAAGGGCAAGCGAAACTTGACCGATTATACGGGACACGGATGACTTTGACAGGCCCAGAGTATCTCCAATAACTTGAAGAAAGCTTCCGGAGGCGAAAAAGCGCAACGCTACAAGGACTTGCACAGTTGTCGACAAAGCATGGTTTCGAGATGTATCTCTTTCAAGATCGTCGCGAAGGAGCTTAGATAAAAATTCTATGGACTCTCGGCCAAAACGATATCGACTTCTCAATTCTTCATCAGTAAAATTGGACAGGGAAAAGTCGTCTGGTAGCCTAAATGTCCTTTCTTTCCTTCTTGGGGCCGGCATTAAGCCTAATCCGCCAAGTAATAAGTCGGCCATTTTGTTTTGTTTGGGGAAAGTTTTCCCTCGATTAGTGAGTTAATCCACCTCGCTAGGTGTGTTAAAGTTAACCTTTATTTTAACCCTGGGATAGTGCTAATCGCGCTTTCAGGAACAGAAACTAATCGTAGGTTAAATTTTATTCTTGGGTTAGGGCGATTTAATCGTGGGTTAGCGCTAATCGGCTTTCGAACAACCGGGGCCTGGTTGATAGACGTAGACGGGGGTTATCGCTGCGCAAAAGTGGCTGGTCAGTACAAGTCACAGGTAAAACGCATCATGAAAGTTCTTTCAGAAGATTTCCCTCAAGCAGCAAATGAAATAGATCTTGTTACTGTCGAGGGGCATGACGGAGTGGTAATGTTGAGGAAGTGGTTGGGTCAACTATCTGAGGAGTATCAACCTGGAACCATTAGATCATACCTAATGAGCCTTAGGCTATTCCTTAAATTCCTTGTGCAAGAAGAGAAAGGGCAAGATAGATTAGACACACTTCATGCAAGGAGAGATCTTTTAACTTCGTGGTCATCTGCTCAAAGAAAGAAGGTGCTGAAAAGGAAATTAGAGAAACATGACATGGACTTTGCAAAACTCCTTTCTAGCGAAGATCTATATAAAGTGTCAAATGGACAACAGCGAATAAACATAATTAAAGCGCTTGGAACAGCTGCGGAGAAAAGCAAAGCTTGTGGAGAACCTGTGCTGGTCAACGATCAGACCTTTTGCGAAGTAAGGGATTGGCTGATTACAAGATTAATAATTGACAACTCCGGAAGAAGTGGTATTGCAGCAAATATAACAGTGGAGGAATTCAAAGATGCTAAACTGTACGCTGGAGAAGAAGATGGAGAGAGATACCGCGTATCAGTTAAGAATCACAAGACAGGAGGTGTTTATGGGGCAGCCATTGTATGGTTTCATGCTGATGTTTACAATCTGGTGAATACGTATATCTCAAGGGTGAGGCCTAAGTACGTCAAAGATGCCACAGATAACATGTTCGTTTCAACCAATGGCGTTAAACTTACTTCATCGCAAGTATCCACGTGTCTGACTCGTACATTTCAAAGGGAGGGTGTGAAGTTTCACGGTCGCATCTCCGCAACCTTGATAAGAAAATCTCTGGCATCAGGAGTGCATGTCCATTTGCCTGAAGATCAAGAACAACTGGCTGCCCTTGCACAGCACAAACCTCAAACACAAGCTCAATATTACCGCATCAATGACAAAGTTAGAGAAACAGATATTGGGCGTCGTGCTGTCAGAAAATTTATCACCATGAACTGCGCAAAGACAGAGGTAAGTACTCTTATAATGCATACCAATCGTAGTAATTTGAATAACAATTGGCATACGAATTCTGATTTCTTTTAGGTATCAATAATTCCTGTCGAGTGGACCGAGGAAGAGACCTCAAAACTTCAAGATTTATTCAAGTCTGAAATTGAGACTGGTAACATAACTGAAAACATTGTCAGAGATAAACTTGGTGCTTCCAACCTGTTGGAAACACACTCCATGAAGGCAATTGTGTTGAAAGTGAGAAGGCTTCGATCAGAATTTACCAAAAACTTAGAACCACCAACTGAAGTTGAGTCTCCTGAACAGAAGATAGAACGGTTTATGTCTTCCAGAGCTCCATCCATCGCATCTGAATCTGCAAAGCCATCATGGAGTAAGTTCACCGATGAACAAACAGACCATCTCCTATCGTTAACTCAGGATATGATTGAAAACAACGCAGTAAAAAGAGAGGTCGTTTGGGAACGGGTGATAAATGATGAGAAAGCATGGAAAACCGGGTTGGTCTTCGGAACCGATGATGAGGAGCTTCTTTTGAGGCAAAAACAACGTTTGGCGGACAAGGTACGAAAAGAAGTCAAACGTCAAAAGATGAAGAGAAAGTAGTAGTTTGATCCTGTGGTTCTTGCATTATATTTGAACATTAGTTGACATTGAACATTTCTTGTCTTTATGTATTCAGGGTTACAACATAATTGAGTCCTATATTGTTAACATGTTATTTTCTTTAACCGTTTGCCAGTCATTTTATGGTTGATCGTTTTATTTCAAGTAAGTCAATATTCCCTAAAAAGGCCGATTTACACAATGCAATTTCTTCGTGTGTTAAGGTTCGAACGACAAGTCATAGGGTCGTGTACGACCTGACGAATGACCGTTTATATGGTATGATTCGGGTCACATGCATCAAGTCATATACTACAATCGCATCGTGGAAATCGGCCTTAAGAGTCATATACTACAATCGCATCGTGGAAATCGGCCTTAAGAGTCATAGAATTTGTCTTGGTGACTGATGTGTGTAGGACATCGACTTCTATGAAAAAGATTTAACTTGTCTTGGTCTTGTTGCGAGGTGTTATAAAGTTGAATTTTTCATAAAGCAAAAGTTGTCGTTTAAAAACTTAGCTCCAAGTGATAAAGCTTATATCTGGAATTAAAAGAGTTTACTTTGAGACTCGTTGTCATGAACCTGCAATATATTGTCTTTTTAAGTGCAGTTCCAGTTGAGATTTTGTGGAAGTTTCATGACGTTTTCGAAAAGTTTAGGGTGAAGTCACTAAGCCCGTGAAATACATATTAGACTAACACACTTTATTAACCACTAATTTCGTTGTTTCCTTTAGTGTCTATTGAACTATTACATGTTAACAGTTAAATATTTTTTTTTTATGGGTTTAACTTTACCCTAGTGCAACTTTTGTCGTCATAATAGAGCGATATCGCATAACCCCTTCCTAAATATTGGTGTTTTATTCTAAATGAGCCAATACAAAGATAACATTAGAATACTTAAGACTTTATCTATTGTTGTCTTTCTACGATGTCCATTAACCTTTAACTAATATCCACTTGCTTTTAAAAATATTTATATCGCTCTGTAAACCTCACAAACCGGTGAAATTGCAGCTAAAATCGCCATTGTCATAGAGCTTTAAGGATGATCAACACGCACGCCCAAACTTGTATGCGAGCTGTCAATAGGATATGTATATGTAATCGCATGGGTCCTCGGGCAATTAAGGATTAATTTCACGCGTATTTCCAAACTTTGAAAACACCAGTGAAATTAATCCTTAATTGCCCGAGGGCACTTGCGATTTCTTGTTTATCACATAAAGGGCAAAATTATCGCGGGAATCCATTCACGCGCGACGTTATTCTTTTAGGAAGCCCGTTCAATGCCGCGACATTGCTCATTTTTTCCTCTTGTCTTTGCCCATTGTTGGAAAATGTTAGTCCAGTAGTCCGTACTTCTTTTTGTGTTTTTGTGCTCACTTGTGTTTAGTAGTTCCTCAATAAACTCTTCAACAAAATGGGAAGCCATTGTTGCAGAAAATTTTAATCGGCAACAAATCTAAGCAATAACTTCATTACAAAGCAACTTTAAACCAATCAAGATCAAGTAATCATGCCCTTTTGATTACCAAAAGTACCCTCGTGATTAAGAAAAATGCCCTCTGTCTCAGCCAATCAGCACTTAGTAATTTTGCCCTGTATGTGATAAGCTACATAAAATGGGAATTTGCTAGGTGTAGAGTTTTGCTCATAAATCCAATTAACAGCAATAAAATCTATCGAAAAACCAGTGGCCATGTTTGTAAAGTAAAGCGTCATGTCTCTTCTGAAAATTAGCCGTTTGCGCATTTAGTAAGAGTATCTAAATTTTGTGCTAGCAAACTTAAGGTGGAATCCCTGTACATGAAAGGGTATCATTTACTGTTCCCCTCTTTTGTTGGGAATCTACTTCCCTGAAAAAATAAGCTGGAAAAATGTATTTTTACGCGTTAAGAACTGTGCTTAATTTAAGTAGATCTACTGAGTACAAAGACTGTCTCAGGCCTGCTAGTATGGACACCTTAACCCAAGACGTTTTACTGCGTCTTTAATCATGTTTAAGGTATACAAGCGACAGGAAGCTTCGTATATTTCTAATTTTTTTACACCTAGAGTCTGTCATTACAATTTGCGCTCCTCTGCTCTTAATGTTTCCCAGCCTGTAAATACCTCTAGCCATATTCAGAGCTCTTTTCATACACTATCTCTCATTCTTGGAACCAGTTACCATCTTCAATTAAATCAGCAACCACTTTATCGGAATTTAAGTCTGGCCTATCTCGCATAACTACGCTTGGCTGTAAGCCTATAAGTGTATTAGTATACAATTGTAGAGGTAGGGTTATGAATTAGTAATTAGGCTTGGGGTTAGGGCTATAATGTTAGGTGATTAGGGCTGGTAGGGTTTCAGGGGAAGTTCAGCATCGGGAGCTAAGTGATATTTTTGCGTTTTTATCATCTTTGTCGAGCGTTTTTAACATGAGCCATTAGGCTCGGGGGATTGGGTAACCACCCCCTACGTTGCCGACGTGAAAAAAAAATTTTTGTTGTCCACGTGATCAGTAAAAATGGTCTAAAAAAAGCTTTATTTTGTTAATTCAATTAGTACACTAGGCAGGGAAATCATCTTAACTGTCAATATTGCTCCGCTTCTCTTTTTAACTTGAATGTCGCTCAGTCACGATATTTCTGCTTTAATTCAAATAATAACACTTTTAAAAAATGTTTAAATTATTTTCCATGTTCCCTTTCACAAGGCGTCTTTTAGCTATGCAAACAAATTACCAGAATTCCGCTTTATTCAAGTTTTATAAGTAAAAATGTCCCATCAATTTGGCAAAGTGGGTATTTGCTACTTACAAGTGGGTATTTGCTACATAAAATGGGTATTTGCTACATGCAGAATTTCGCTCGTAAAATTGATAAAAATGAATGGAATAGCTTGTAAACACGTTGTAAATTCTTAAAAAATAATGCGTCATCCATGCATGCGAAAATCATGGCATTAGAATGAACTAAAAGTGAAATAATGCGAAAAACGCATTTTTAGAAATGTTTGGGTTCCAAAGTTTCAAGTCTTGTACACCTACATACCCAGAAGCGCACTTTTTGCTAAAAATGGTCTTCACAGAAAAAATTTTAAAACGACAGAACTCAGAAGGCTTTTACGGCAAAGAAGAACATTTAGAAGACCTTTGATATCCGGAAAAGTTTTTGAATTTTATAAAAAAAATGATTGATGTACCTAGGTTTGGGTATTTGCTACCTTCTGACTTTTCAGTGACGAAATGCGAACAACAATTAAACTTTAATAACGTTGGTTTTGCATAGAAGAGAGCTAAAAAGCAATATTCTTTTGGCTAGAATTGTTAAATACTTTAAAAAAAAACTTTTACTTAATTTAAATAGGCATAGAGAAAACGCGTAGCAAACACTCACTCATGAATCTAAAGAGAGAGAGAGAGAGAGAGAGAGAGAGAGAGAGAGAGAGAGTGAGAGAGAGAGACAGGATATAACAGCATTTGTTAATTTGATAATTTGACATTGAGGATCAATAAATTTTGCATGTTTTTCTTTTCCCTTCTTTTAAAAATCTGTTGGTTGCCAATTGGTGACTTTTGTCAAAATTTTAGTCACCAAATATATTTTTTCACTTTCCATGGCAACCAAATGGTCTCAGGTTGTAAGGAAACCTTGCAAAGACACTTAGTGACATTCCCCAAGAATTGCAGGAATTCCTCCTCTTGAAACAAGACCCATCACAAGAATTGGCTGAGCAGTTGAGAAAAATTTTGAAAGAGCTTGAGAGAAGGAATTAGCAGTGAAAAGTATGCACAACAATGATATTATTTTGGATGTGTGCACATAAGTTTACAAGGGAACAAACTCAAGATACCTTCACAATTTTTGGTACGTCCCAGCTCTACCTATGCTAAACCTTTTCAACATATTGTATTGAAGTATGGGGAATAGGTGACATGAAAAATAATAGATATCTCCCTAGTGAGCTGCAGAAATACGAAACATTTACATAACCCAATATTGAAGGTTATTGGTTAATACAGCATATTCTCTCAGTTTCTTATCAAGAAATCATCATGTAAAAGAATACTTAAACATTATCAGTCCTGGTGTAGGATAGGTTTTGAAGACAATTGGACTGACTACAGCATTTTCATACAGCATTATCTGCCAGTTTGTTATCAAGAAATCACCATGGAAGAGAAGTATTTGAACATTATTAGTCCTGGCAAAGGCCATGTTCTGAAGACAGTTGGACTGAATATCAGCCTGGTAGCTTTATGCCTTGTGAGAAAGTCATGAATGCATACACAATTTCCCTGCTGATGGTAACATTCCATTTTTTTAAATAACTTAACCATTTTTTTTTGATAATGTTAAGTGTTTGACAAATGAGGTTTGCCCTGATATTGGATCTTTGTCAGTGGCAGGCTCTGACTTCAAACAAGTGGAGATCACCGATGGATACTGTGGAAGAGTTTCCGTATTTGCTTCTTTATTTACTGGAAAGATTTAAACAGTCTAGCCCAGGTCATCTTCAACACCTGGTTTAAATGGGGGCCTGTTATAAAGTGGTTCATGAAAACCAATAATTAAAGGAATAAATCACATGTAGGTGTTTAGTTCATGCAGTTCTCAACATTTGATGAGAAGAGGTTGTTTTACACAAGGGTTAGTACTATACATCAGTCATTTACATAATATCAGAATCAAATATGGTAGGTCAAATTAACAGTCCCAGGCTTACTGATGTTAACTAGTCCTAATAAGATGCCTGCACTGCAGGCTAATGTCTGGAAGCAGAAATGATTTACTTCAAAGTTGCTGAGACCAAGAAAAGAATCATGTTTAAATACAATTTCAGTCCATTGGTCAGCTAATAAAAACATTGAAGTGAGCTGAAATATTGGTATTAAAACCTTCCATACTGTAAATAACATCTTGAATCAATTGGTATTTAGTCACCATACTTATTACTGCAAAGTTAGAGGCTAGATGTAGATACTGCACATAATATGAAATGAAGTTTATCTCAATGAAGTCAGGTCCACTTGATAACTGCTCATTTAAGGTTTATGCATATTTGGGAGTTATGGAACAGAGAGAGAGAGTTAGAGAGAGAGAGACAGGATATAACAGCATTTGTTAATTTGATAATTTGACATTGAGGATCAATAAATTTTGCACATTTTTCTTTTCTCTTTTTTTTTTTGGTTGAAGGAATTAGCAGTGAAAAGTATGCACAACAATGATATTATTTTGGATGTGTGCACATAAGTTTACAAGGGAACAAACTCAAGATACCTTCACAATTTTTGGTACGTCCCAGCTCTACCTATGCTAAACCTTTTCAACATATTGTATTGAAGTATGGGGAATAGGTGACATGACAAATAATAGATATCTCCCTAGTGAGCTGCAGAAATACGAAACATTTACATAAGCCAATATTGAAGGTTATTGGATAAATACAGCATTTCTCCCTGTTTCTTATCAAGAAATCATCATGTAAGAGAAGTACATAAACATTATCAGTCCTGGTGTAGGACAGGTTTTGAAGACAGTTGGACTGACTACAGCAATTTCTTACAGCATTTTCTGTCAGTTTGTTATCAAGAAATCACTTTGGAAGAGAAGTATTTAAACATTATCAGTCCTGGCATAGGCCATGTTCTGAAAACAGTTGGACTGAATATTGGCTTGGTAGCTTTATGCCTTGTGAGAAGGTCATGAATGCATACACAATTTCCCTGCTGATGGTAACATTCCATTTTTTTAAAATAACTTAACCACTTTTATTTGATAATGTTAAGTGTTTGACAAATGAGGTTTGCCCTGATATTGGATCTTTGTCAGTGGCAGGCTCTGACTTCAAACAAGTGGAGATCACCGATGGATACTGTGGAAGAGTTTCCGTATTTGCTTCTTTATTTACTGGAAAGATTTAAACAGTTTAGCCCAGGTCATCTTCAACAGCTGGTTTAAATGGGGGCCTGTTATAGAGTGGTTCATGAAAACCAATTATTAAAGGAATAAATTACATGTAGGTGTTTAGTTCATGCAGTTCCCAACATTTGATGTGAAGAGGTTGTTTTACATGTGGGTTAGTACTATACATCAGTCATTTACATAATATCAGAATCAAATATGGTAGGTCAAATTAACAGTCCCGAGCCTACTAATGTTAACTTGTCCTAATAAGATGCCTGCACTGCAAGCTAATGTCTGGAAGCAGAAATGATTTATTTCAAAGTTGCTGAGACCAAGAAAAGAATCATGTTTAAATACAATTTCAGTCCATTGGTCAGCTAATAAAAACATTGAAGTGAGCTGAAATATTGGTATTAAAACCTTCCATACTGTAAATCATCTTGAATCAATTGGTATTTAGTCACCATACTTCTTACTGCAAAGTTAGAGGCTAGATGTAAATACTGCACATAATATAAAATGAAGTTTATCTCAATGAAGTCAGGTCCACTTCATAACTGCTTATTTAAGGTTTATGTATATTTGGGAGTTATGGAACAGAGAGAGAGAGAGATAGAGAGAGAGAGAGATAGAGAGAGAGAGAGATAGAGAGAGAGAGACAGGATATAACAGCATTTGTTGATTTGATAATTTGACATTGAGGATCAATAAATTTTGCACATTTTTCTTTTCTCTTTTTTTTTTTGGTTGCCAATTGGTGACTTTTGTCAAAATTTTAGTCACCAAATATATTTTTTCACTTTCCATGGCATTCAAATGGTCGCAGGTTATAAGGAAACCTTGCAAAGAAACTTAGTGACATTCCCCAACCATTGCAGGAATTCCTTCTCTTGAAACAAGACCCATCACAAGAATTGGCTGCACAGTTGAGAAAAATTTTAAAAGAGCTTGGTAGAAGGAATTAGCAGTGAAAAGTATGTGCAACAATGATATTATTTTGGGTGTGTGCACATAAGTTTACAAGGGAACAAACTCAAGATACCTTCACGATGTTTGGGATATCCCAGCTCTACCCAAGTTAAACCTTTTCAACATATTGTATTGAAGTATGCGGAATTGGTGACATGACAAATAATAGATATCTCCCTAGTGAGCTGTGGAAATATGAAACATTTACATAAGCCAATATTAAAGGTTATTGGATAAATACAGCATTTCTCCCAGTTTCTTATCAAGAAATCATCATGTAAGAGAAGTACTTAAACATTATCAGTCCTGGTGTAGGGCACCAAGACAGTTGGACTGACTACAGCATTTTCTTACAGCATTTTCTCCCAGTTTGTTATCAAGAAATCACCATGGAAGAGAAGTACTTATACATTATCAGTCCTGGCATAGGCCATGTTTTGAAGACAGTTGGACTGAATATCAGCCTTGTAGCTTTATGCCTTTTGAGAAGTCAAATGGTCATAAATGCTCTCTCGCTGTTATAGAACAGTGTGAGAGAAAAAGACAAAGACTGACATAAGACATAAGCCATCATTAAAGGTTATTGGATAAATACAGCATTTTCTCCCATTTTCTTATCAAGAAATTGCTATGGAAGAGAAGTTCTTAAATGTTATCAGTCCTGGCATAGGCCATACTTTGAAGACAGTTGGACTGAATATCAGCCTCGTAGCTTTATGCCTTGTGAAAACTCAAATGGTCATAAATGCTCTCTCACTGTTATAGAACAGTGTGAGAGAAAAATAGAAAGACTGGGGATTGTTAAGGATACTAGCCCACTTTCCTGATTTTTAACTACCTTGATAACGTTTTCCTTTTTTGTTACTATCTTAGTTACAATGTTTATTCATGTTGATTTGCCTATCTACTGTTATTGAAATCCTACCCTTTATCATCATTTTTGCATCTGACATGCCTATAAAAGGGGATCTTAGCTTCCTTTCTTCAGCTGTATTCAGTAATTCCAAGGATCGTGACCTTTGCTACCTTTGTAATTTTGAAACCTTTGGCGCAAATGGGACCAATATGCAAGTTTACTCTCTTTATTTTGGTAAGGCTTTGTTTTCTTTTATTTTGATTAGACAAAAGTACTCAAAAATCTATTGTACTGTGTACCTTTTTAATTGCTTTGTGACAAATAGCAAAAATCATGCTTAGCGTTTATGAGTGAATGCCCACCTTTTAGTTCAAGAACACTTGGGCTATTGCTAGTGAGGGTGAATCTCTTAATAAAATAGGTTTTTTTCTTGCCTCGCATGTTTTTATCACGAATTGAGTTGTAATTGAGTTAGATTTGTTTTACATGCTATTATCTCATATTTTGGAAGTTTTCACCTTGTTTGATAGGGATAGCCACTAGGTTGTTTTAGCTACTTGGTTGTCTTAATATCTTGGTCATTTTCTGGTTTTCATCAACAATAAATCTCCATTAACTGTCACTTTCGTTTTCATGATTGAGACCTGTAAAATAGTCCCAAACACCTTGATAACCATATGCCCAAAGCGACGACTCCCTTGAATTTGAATGGCAATCGAAAATTGATAGTTTGACCAAGGATCAATCTGTTGGTTGTGAATTAGCAACTTTTGTCAAAATTTTAGTCACCAAAAGTAGCTATTATTTTTTTACTCGCCATGGCAACCAAAATGGTAGTAGCTTGGAGCCCTGTATTATGTCAAACATTTGATATTATTATCATCAGAAAATAGCTACTTTGTGCTCAGGAGTCCCAATGAGATCATACAGAAATAATTTACAACGTAACACCTTAAATGATTTAACATGGCAACACACAAAGAATTCCAGTTTGGAAATATCTTTTGGAATTTTTCTCACACTATGAAGTACTTTGATCCTTTTTTGAACAAAGATTTTAAAGATTATATGTGTTAATATAGTGAGAGTTTATTTCACCAGCGGAGGTTTCCTCTAGAATAAAATTATCTCTCAAAGGGGAAAGGTGCTTCTCAGGCACCCCAGTACCCTCCCTGACCTGTCCAGAATATAACTCATAGGCTTACATACAAAAATCAGGAAAAATGACCTTTACATCTATCTGGATATTCTTCAAATTTTTTTATAAATCTCGCTTTTTATCTTTAAAACCCTTGAAATTTTTCCTAATAATCCCATTTTATCTTAGTTTGTTTAAAATAACATAATTTCCATAAAATACGACATTCCTTTGGTGAAATTGCATGGAAGCACCTTCAAGCTGATTCAAAATGATCAATCAACAGTGTAATAGATTTGTCTCTGGATGACAATAAACAATTGTAGAGTTTCACATTTTATGTGGCATAACTGAGGCCAAAAACATGCATATGACAACAACTGCTATTACAAAAGTACTTGGCAAAGTACCACTGCAAAGCCACTCAAAACTAAGGCATGGTTCAGATGCTGTAGTTCAGCCGTACCAAATCAAATTCAACAATTGGCCAACCTCAATTAGTTAATCTTGCTGAATTGATTCAAGCAGTGAACTTTATCTGGCCGAAATTAATTAATTGAAGAAAATTAATACTAGGTTATTGGTTTAGCATACAATTGTAAACATGGCGGATGCCATAGATTCTGGCAGCAATCTACAAATAAGAGCCTTTCTTCTGCTCAAAATGCTGGAAAACAGTGTAAAAAGAAGAAGATTGTACACCATCTTAGCCTATTTTGTAGCCACAAGAAGAAAAGTGATAACTGTATGTGCACTCACTCTTTTTCTGGGCATGCATCATCAAGTGGCAGTGATCCGACAATATAGCCGAAACACGGAACAACATGTCACCATTGTCTAGTTTGGCCCGCCAAGCTGCCATTTTTCTCCTACAAAACACTATTCTACGCATGCTCTCAAGTAAAAACAGTATGAAAAATACATTAAAATAATTTATGCATTTGGTTCCGCTTAGTTGAAGTATGACATCTCAATCAGCCAGCCAGCCAGCCTAAGTCAATAAAACCCAGGTGGGTTTTACTGACTTAGCTGATCTATATTAAATCAGCCGTTCCCAATTGATTCAGACGCCGTACTTCACATGAACTTAATTCGTTGAATTTGATTCGGCTCGGCTGAAGTACGGCGTCTGAACTGAGCCTAAAATTTTAGCTTATTAGCAAATTGGCTAACAGTTCCGATTTCACTAGCCAAATTTGAACTTGCACTAGCCCATGTTGATTGTACTCTAGAGATCGTATGAAGCAATGGAAGAAGCTTCTGCGAACCATGTAAATTTGTTTTCATGCTATCGGCTGTATTTTCCCTAACATTACCGTCCAAAAATCCATAATTGTTCTAAGAATCCTCGAAATTTCTAAAAATCCCGTGAGACTCTAAAACCGGATTTTTGTACCAAGCCCTAGGGACTTGGCATCAAAACAATAAAGTATACATGAATCGCATTGACATTATTACTTTCTGATAAATAGGCTGACTGAAACTGCAAAACCTAAGCCACCCACAAGATAATACTTCTTCATTCTCATGAAGTAGTCTACAAAACTTTCCCATGTACCTTTCCAAAAAGTTTCCTGCTGTTCCCTTGTTAAAGGAATTTCAACTCGTCTACTGTGGGACCAACGTCGCTTGCATCAGATTCCGTACCATAAGTGATCCTTTAGTTCTCTAAACCTTGACATCGAACTCGTCCAATATTGATTCGATAAAAGTTGATTCTTGAGGAAACTTCTGCGCGTTTAAAGCAACTGATCCAAGGCTCATAAAGCCAGTGATCACAAGTGGGCAGCTTCATTTTTCTAAGAAGTCCCACTGGGACAAGAGGAATGTCTGATATTTTCTAAGGAAGGAATTTCGGAATGCCTCCAGAGAACTTAAATACTACTTCTTTCCAGTAGTCAGAGTCACGTTTGAAGAAATCCTCTTCATTTCCTCCATCGGGATCTTTAGGTTAATACTATCACGGCATCATAACCTCGAGGCCTTTATGAAGCTGCTTTTCCATATCTTCAAGATACTTTTCTTCGTTACAAGCACCATCCTGTAGTAGAGAATCCCATACTACAACATCAATGCAGTTTTTGTGTGCAATACGAGTTCATGGTTGCAATGCACGGGGTTTTCGCCGGACCTTCGATAGCCACTTTTTCGCCGATAAGTGCATTTACAAGACAAGATTTCCTTAAGCCACTCTTACCAGTAACGATAATGTAAAGTGTGCCGACATCTTCGTCGTCATTCCTCGAGGCTCCCAAGTTAATATTAACCAGTTTGACCGCCATTATTCAACCAAAGGCGAGTTGGGTTGAAATATAATCCGCTTTGCCTGGGAGTGAGGGTTAGTCTTGCTCTCGTGATTGCTCTAGATACCTGTGTAAAAGGGGGACCATGGTAGGACCCTAAAAGGTAGGACCCTAAAAGGTATCTTTACATAAGCCCGCGCCAATTTGTAGCCCAGGTCAAATCAATTCTTACCAAAATTTGGCTAGGGTTGTCCACTTCACATTCAATGGCCATTTAATATCAGTTTTATGCTCCATTATAATTAACATAATATGCAAAAGACCGCACTTTCCATCGGTTTACCCACATAATAACCCACACAGGATGTTTGGAGAACAAGAGAAAGTTTGTAAGTTTGAGCCATTCACAAGATCAATCAGGGCTCAAAGAGGCCCAAAAAGCTATGGAGGTTTGAATTATGACAGGATGTCCAAAAGGTCTCGCGTTGATTCGCTGCGGGAGCAAATATTAGTCATGAAGCAACAAATTCATTAATCCACTGTATGACAGTTAACGGATCTTCTATACTCTTAGCGACGGTGTGAGAGATTATTCAGCGTTAATTGATTTCCGGTTGACTTTTTGCGATAAGTGACAGATGATTGAACAATAGGATCATATTATATAATTAAAATGAGAGAGACCATAGCGTGAGAGAGAATGTGGTGAGAGAGAGAGCGGTGAGAGAGAGAGAGAGAGAGGGAGATTAAGTTGATTTTATAAAATAAAACGTGAAGTTTCGGAACATGGCAGATTCTTTAGTCTCATTTCCGACAACGGCTTAACGATATTTTTTGTTTCTCTTTTTTTTTTCCGTTTTCTGTTTTACGTGGAAAAGAGAAACTCCTTCAAGAAACAAACCGTGCAGATTTTGATGTAGGCCGATAAAATAAAACCTTATAGTAATCTGAAAACTAAATGTGACTACCATAAAGTTACATACAGGCAGTTTGCTGACAGAATATTTAAAATGTTCTTTCCGAAAACAGAACATAACATAAATATCAGTTTTTATTTTTTTTTTAGCGGGCACGGTAACGAATCCTGCAATCTGATTGGTTCTTTACCCGGTCAGTATTTTCCTATCTCTGCCCACGGGCCACGGTAACGCTTTCGTGAATCGCCGAGTAAATCCCAACTTTCGTTGTCATTTTTCATAAATATACCTCGTTTTCCGGCTGGGCAGTATTTTAAAGCAAACAAGTCGGTCACTACCTCAAACCGATAAATAATTTATGAATCCTCTCTTTTCTCTCTCTCAAATCACTTTGGTTGACAGAAAAATATTGGTTTCAGAATGAATTTGTATAAACAATAGTGTCATTACGTTGGTTGACAAGCGGCCTAAAAACTGTCTGCAATTAATTTTAATCGTTCACAAAAAGTACCCAGAAAGTTAAAACGTGAGGTATTTGGTTACAGTTAAACTGAACGATGGAACTTTCATTAATTTAATATCTGAATTTTCTCGAGAAAATTGTTAGTAGAGAAAGAGCGAGCAAAGTTTTAATTTAAGTTCTACAACAAATATAGGCTCCCGGTAAGTCTTTCCAATTCCGTTCAATTTGGACATTTGTACCGTAAATTACACAACAGAAACTGAAGGAATTTTTTTTTTTTGAAAAGGCCGCATTAAATTCCCTTAGCTTGTGTCTCGTTGGAGTGTGCCGTTCGAATTTAGTTTTTGTGAAGGAAAGACCAGATTTACACACGCCATTGCAGCAAACAAACGAGCAAACTCTCACAACTTCAAAATAAAAAAATTGAATTTACTCACAATTACTTTCATCGCCGTTTACTTAATGAACAGAGGTAAATCTTCTTTCATGAATGAATCGTCGATGAGAGTGAATAATACTTTCCGTTAGATCATTGACTGATTTTGAAGAAAACATTGTCGTGACAGTCCTTGCCAAGCTAGTTCCGTTGTTTTTCAAATGCTCTTATGCTTTTTTTTTTTTACGCGCTCTCTAATTGACAGGTGTCAGATTGTGACAGATACTTGTAAAAATAATGTTTCAAAGTTTGTTTGGAAGCCTTTTAAATCACCTTTATCGTTATGGAAAAGAAAATGTTTCGCTGAGGCATCTCTCTTTAATTTGCTTCACCTCTATTTTAACTACCATTTACTCGCTCAAAAATTGTTCAGTTTATGGAAGATCTTGCCGTATTTACAGCCCTAAATCATTCGGGTTCTTTCGGAAAGAATTTCGTCAAGTTTAAAAAAAATAAATATGTTATTTGCCGGCTGGGAGGTCCGTATGGTGAAAAACTGTGACCGAGGTCTTGAAAATACTGCCCGAGGCCGTAGGCCGAGGGCAGCATTTTCAAGACCGAGGTCACAGTTTTTCACCATACGGACCGACCCTTAGCCGGTAAATAACATATTTATTGTTTTTAAACTTGACGAAATTCTTTCCGAAAGAACCCGAATGATTTAGGGCTGTAAATACGGCAAGATCTTCCATAAACTGAACAATTTTTGAGCGAGTAAATGGTAGTTAAAATAGAGGTGAAGCAAATACCCACTCTGATAGACAAATAATTTACATGTTATACACTTGTATTTGCTCTCATGAACTAAACAATCTTCTTTGACGAACACATAGTCGTTCTTTTATTGTATGAATGAAAACAGTCTTCAAAGGAAATATCTTCAGCGTGCATCGGAAAACCTGACAAAAACATTTTTTAACCATAGGTAACTTTCTCCAGGGGAAAAGCGGAAAGTTACCACCGTTAACGAGAAGCTACGCTCTTGACTTGCTCTTCAACTGGAGCACAAATCTTCTTTAGAAAACAGTGCAAGTAGATAGCCTTATGCCCTTAGGTTTGTCTTTAAAAAGGGTTTTTCTTTTATGGCTGATAATTTGCTTATGTCTGCAAAAAGGGAGATTTTGCATGTCTTTATGAGAAGCTGCAAAATGCCAGTCGTGCAAATCTTCTAAAAACTAGATTCATATCTGAAAAACTTTTATATGGTCAGAGCGTACAAATTCGTACGTTTTCCAGCGAAAGGGTTAATGGAAGAAGGCATTCCGACAATAACATGGTACTATATTAAAGAACACAACTGTGACCCCGGGCCAGGACTCTGAGCAAAGCGTACAAATCGGGATCCACCTCTGTGGTCACCTCTGTGGTAACCAAGTGGCTAAGGTGACAGGGATAGGGTCCTCGAAAAAGAGGTAACCAAAAGTTGTAAATTATAAAGCTCCATACTCCTAAATGCCAGAAAACGTCAGTAAAGGACACACCACCCCCACCCCAGCCTGCATCCTCGTGGGCCAACCCACTTCCTCCACCCCAGTCTGCATCCCCGTGGGCCAACCCACTTCCTCCACCTCAGCCTGCACCCCTGTGGACCAAACCCAACTCCCCACCCAAGCCTGCGCCCCTGCGGGCCAAAATGCCTCCCAGCTTTTAATGCCACAAAATGACGCCCATAAACAACGGCTAAACGACGATTTTACCTGAGTTAATTGGGGGCGATCTGATCGTTTATTATCAGTTCTTGGATTTCTTCAGTGATTCCCGCTACAGGAGATGGAATGTGAAGCACCCCTGCTAGACATTTTCGTGATGAATGCAATGACAGAGATTGGAAGAGGATGTCCACATTTCATACCAGCATATAACAGAGGGAGAGAAAAACGAAAAGCGCGAGCCGGGCTATTTTTCTATCCTGACAGCCTATTTGTCCTCGTCTTTACCAATACACAAAATATCCGCACCTGTCTTATAGTCCATCGGGTAATTTGCCTTCAAAGCTTCCGCAAGGTGGCCAAAGATTGTCCCTTCCACCAAGTTCCGTGCTTTGGCCACTTCTTTCTGTAAGAAATGTTATACATTGACGAGGCTTTGTCATACTAGTCACATTAAAACGCTATCAATTGTAGTTTCTACATCGCAAAAAAAAACCAAATGAATTCGTAACGTAGAGGATGATGAAAGTTGGGAGACTGCAAAGTACAAAACTCCGATCGAGCTCAAAAAAGCGAGACAGTCTTCGCCCTCATCGTAGTATCGAATAATAGAAATCTTGAGCTCATAATTGTACTTTCTTTCTGTTCACAAGCGTGAAGAGTTTGTAAATCACAAGCCGTAGCTGGCGATTTTCATTTTTTTTTTTCTTACTGCCAACTGTACAATTCTTATAATGTTAGTTCAGAGAATTTAGTATTGGATCAACTTATTATCCCCAAATTGATATTTTCAGTTTTTTTTCTTTATTCTCATCACTTAGCTGGTTGATATTGTATTGATGTTGTATGGAGAAATTCTGTCTTGGTCACTCATGGGAGTTAAAGGGTTAAGAGACAGTCGGAAATCGAATCCACTATTCACGTAGACTATCGATTTCAATACTTGCAATGATCATCTGTTTTTCGTGAAATATGTTGAAGGTGGAAAGCACTGTTTGGCTCAGTTCACGACGAGACGTTCCCACAGGTTCTACCACATAGGTCTACGACTGAGTGGTAAACATTAAAAGGTGATCGCCATTTAAACCTCAGCAATATAATATAAGCTACAACCAAACACATCCTTGAATGCAAATACCTGAAAAGGATTTGTTGATGTTCCTCATTCCAAATTCTTTTTCTCCCAGAGTGTCTATGTCACTGGCTGAAAGCCATTACTTGTCATTGCTATCGCCATGATTTACATTCGGTTCTTTTCATTTCATATTCATGATTGTATTTTTAACGTTGGAAATAATTCTGAGAGGCAAATCAGCCAGGTTAAAGAAGAGATAGAACGCTTGACCTCATAAACGGTAGGTGGGGGGTAAGCTTGTTTCGGAAAGAAAATGAAACTTGTAGCCCTAGCATGTTAACAAATTAGTAATGCTAAGTAAGCTACTTGATTAAGGCAAATATGGTTTTTCGTCTCATCAGGACCGCACGGGACAAAGAAAACAACCTGGGTCCCAAGGACTTTGTCAAGCTCAAAATATATCATATTTCTAAAATTGACACACATAACGCTTTTGACATTAAGGATTGCACGTCACTCAGGCCTGCATGCCCTGTTTCACCGTACAGTCTCTGTGGTTCAGTGGAAAAGCATCGGAGCGCGGAAACCAAAGGTCTGAGGTTCGATTTCTTACGGTGACTCAGAATTCTATCTTTGTCCCAAGTTCTTGCCAAGAATAATAAAATAGTTGCATTACAGGCTACTGCAGATCATTCCAAGGGTGCCCCTGAGATTAATAAAATATATAATTCAATAAGAACGACGCATGAAAAAATATCGATAACATGCAAGCACAAAAGATTGCAACATCTGTTAGTCGCAATGCTGAAATGTCACGCCACACCACCAATGGTGGTCATCGGTCAACACTCGCGAGAAACATTGCACTCAGGCCTGCATCGCACTGTTACCCTCTGATGTCATGATGTCGTAGTGTAAGCTTTTGCAATGTTACCCCAAACTCGTTTCCAGAGTCCTCTCTCGAGAAAATACTCGAGGGAGGAAGAGAGAGGACCTTAAGAACGAGGTAAACGAAGGGAAACATTTAATGTCATGTAACCTCAATTAACCACGGAGTGCGCGTGCTATATTAAAATAAGAAAACAAGAGCTTCCCAGGAAGATAGACCAAAAAATTTGAAGAGAGTAATTATTCAGATCAAGAATTACAAAATACTTCGTTGCCTGGATAAATTTGCATATTTTTAGGCAAATGAATCCTTGATTTGCTATGCTTTTTCGGATACGAGATCTAAATCAAGTAAATATGACAGCCATGGGAAATTAGTTGGTCAAGTGACAGGGGGAATGAGGCTAGCCTGGTAAATTGTGTACAGGAATGAGCAAAACTTAAGGAAAAAGTGCCAACAAGAGGCATCGCTTTGAAATGCAGCAGTGTCTATCTGAAACCTGAAAGATGAAACTCTACTTTAAGTTACATTTTCATCATATTTTATTTCTATTTAAATACCACACATTCCATACCATACTAGCATTACTATCAATACTGACACTGTAGTATTACATACAATACTATAACTTACAATCCCGACATTGTTTTTATTTACAATCTTATTAGTATACACCACTTACTATTCTGATAATTGCAATAATAATTGCTTCAAACTAACACCGCAGAAGATACTTACTTTACTGATATTATTGGTAAAAAGGCACATATTTTTTAATCACATATTTTTTGGCAATAGCTCAAAAATACTTGAAGTGTTCAATACCTACAAAATTACTTTAAACAGTGCCAAAAAGCAATATAATATCTACCTTCTTTAAAAAGTTTTTAAAAAAAACTAAAAAGTACAACTGTAGTTATTGAGCCAACAATGAAGATTTACTGTCAAAAGTTTTGCTATTACAGTGTTTTTCTCCTTTCTACATGCTCAATACACAAATTCTAGTATCAGTAAAGCAGATCAAATAATCTTTTCAGTATGATCCAAACAACTGGAAAACTTTTAAATATTTAATTTTTTCAATTGGAGTCAAACAGTGAGTTTTGGTATAATATAATCATAAGTGCTACTCTTATTTTCTAGCTTTTGAGTATAGAGGAAATGTTTAACAAATAATATATAATAATTGAATATTTTAGTTTGGCTTAGAGAATGTTGATCTTGAGTAATTTTTATTCCAAAGAGCTATTTGCATCTGAGATGGCTCTAAGGAACATTGTTAGTGTGGTTGAAATAGTTGAATACTTGTCTGGATGACAATTCTGACGAGTGCTGGGCACTCCAAGAAAGTTTGAGTAAATGAATGTTAGAATTCTTGTTTAAGCCACCTAATAATTTAATATATAAATAAAAAAAAATAATAATAAAAATAAAGATATAATTTCAGCCAAATAGATTCTTCAGAAATTTAAAATTTGCATATTAGTGATGTTTGAAGGAAATCTCCAAAGGTAGTACAAGTCACCCTCAAAATGAAATGTCTTGTATCATGAAGTTGTGTTTGAAAAATTAAGAAACAAAGAACCAAAATGTATAAAAGAAGTACCAGAAATATTAATGCTTGAATTTCCTGGTAGGCGCCATTTTGGCTCGAGGTATGACAGGGCTCCAAGCTCAATTTTTCAAAAAGTCACCATTGAGCAACCTTTTATTATAAAATGGTCGCCACAAGACAAAGTTTTGGTTGCCTTCCCCCCCTACTGAAAAAATATTTAATTTGAAAAAAAACTCATATCAGTGGGACAATATCTATATAACAATACATAACTATCTTTGTGAACAACAGGGAAAGACTTGGCACAGTCACTGATTTCTATTTGTCCAAGGTCTTGGAGATCGGTGTTCACAGCATGCCCAAGTAATGATGGTGGTATTGGTCTATATTTGTAATCAGCACACTTTGAAATAAAAGCTATGGGTAGATAAATCTGGCTTTAATATAATAATATCAATTGAAGTTTATCTCAACAAAATCTGTTCAACTTGATAACCACTCATTTAAGGTTTACACATATTTGGGAGAGAAGAGAAAGACAGGAGCATTACCAGCATTTGTTCATTTGATAATTTGACCAAGTATCAGTAAATGTTTAACATTTTTCTTTTACTTTTTTTCCTAATTCTGTTGGTTGCCAATTGGTGGCTCTTGTCAAAATTTTAGTTACCAAATGTATTTGTCACTTGCCATGACAACCAGTATGGTCGCAGCTTGGAGCCCTGAATGATGTCACACATTTGCCATTATTATCACAGACAATACAATGCTACTTTGTGCACAGGAGTCCCAAGGAGACCATGCAGATAATAATGTTCACTGTAACACCTTACATGATTCAACATGGCAACACACAAAGAATTCCAGTTTGAAAATATGTTAGAATTTTTCTCACACTATGAAGTACTTCAATCCTTTTTTTGGACAAAAATGTAACTTCAAAGATTATTTGTCTTAATATAATGAGAGTTTATTTTGCCAGTGGAGGTTTCCTTTCAGATAAAATTATCTTTCAAAAGGAGGTGCTTCTTGGGCAACCAAGTACCTCCCCTGAGTTGTTCAGCGTAAGACTCGTAGGCCTAGATACCAAAATCCATAAAAATGACCTTTCAATCTATCCAGAAATTCTCCAAAATTCCCATTTTAAGTGATTTTTTTTTAATGACATAATTTCCATAAAATACGACATTCCTTTGGTGGAATTGCATGGAAGTACCTTCAAACTGATTCAAAATGGTCATTTAACAATGTAAGAGGTTTGTCTCCTAACAACAATTAAGACATTTCACTCGGCAAAACCGAGGCCAAAAACATGCATATGACAACCACTGCTATTACAAAAGTACCTGGCGAAGCACCACTTGGAAGCCGCCGGAAACTTGCATTATAGCTTCCTAGCAAACTGGCTAACATCAGTTCCGATTTCACTGGCCAAATCAAAACTTGCATTAGCCTATGTTGATTGGATTCCGGAGATCGTACAAAGCAGTGGAAGAAGCTTCTGCGAACCACATTAATTTTTTTTTCTATGCTATCAGCTGTATTTTTCGAAACATTACTGTCCAAAAATCCATAATTGTTCTAAAAATCCCTAAAATTTCTGAAAATCTCTCGAGACTCGAAAACCGGATTTTTGTACCTAGCCCTGAGGACTCGGCATCAAAACAATGAAGTACATATGTATATCACATAGACGTTATTACTTTTTGATAAATAGGCTGACTAAAATTGCAAAACCTAAACCAGCCACAAGATAATACTTCTTCATTCTCATGCAGTAGTCTACAAAACTTTCCCATGTACCTTTCCAAAAGGCTTCCTGTTGTTCCATTGTTAAAGGAATTCTTCTGTCGGGATCGAAGTCGCTTGCATCATATTCCAAACCACAACCGATCCTTAAGTTCTCGGAACCTTGGTATTGAACTCGACCAACACTGATACGATACAAGTTGATTCTGGAGGAAACTTTTGCACGTTTAAAGCAACTGATCCAAAGCTCAGAAAGCCAGTGATCACAGGTGGGCAGCTTTATTTTTCTGACAAGTCCCACTGGGACAAGAGGAATGTCTGATGTTTCGTTTGGGCAGAATTCCGGAATGCCTCCAAAGAATTTAACTATCACTTCTTTCCAGTAGTCTAAGTCACGTCTGAAGAACTTCTTTTTATCTCCTCCATCGGGATCTTTAACGTTATTAGCAAAAGTTAAGGCTATCACGGTATTTTTCCACAAGTCCTTTCCAAACTTCCGGGTAAGAGCGTGTATGGCATTCTCGTCGGTTGGAAGAAAGCGCTTATCGTCCATCTTCATACAGTAGATCATAACATCGAGGCCTTCACGAAGCTGCTTCTCCATGGCTTCAAGATACTTTTCTTCGTCACATGTACCATCCTGTAGGCCTGGAGAGTCCCACACAACAACTTCAATACCGTTTATTTGTGTACGATACGAGTTCATGTTTGCAGTGCACGGGGTTTTCGCCGGACCTTCGATGGCCACTTTTTTACCGACAAGTGCATTTACGAGACGAGATTTCCCTACGCCACTCTTACCAGTGACAAGAATGGAAAGTGTACCGACGTCTTCGTCGCCTTTCCTCGAAACCCACTTTTTGAATTCATCTTCAAGGGCTCCCAAGTTAATATTAGTCAGTTTGACCGCCATTATTGAACCAAAGGCGAAAATGGTTGGGTAGAAATATGGTCCGCTTTGTGCGTGGGAGTGAGACACCTGTGTAAAAGAGGGACCAGGACTCTAAGAGGCATCTTCACTTAAGCCCACACCAATTTGTGACCCGTGTCAAACCAATTCTTACCAACGTTTGGTTAGGGTTGTCCACACGATGCAAATAGTATCAGTTTTATTCTCCATTATAATTAACACAAAATGCAATAGACCGCACTTTCTATCAGTTTACCGGCATAATAACCCACACATAAGGGCGGCCGTCTCCACCAAAAATACAAGGATGTCAAATAGATCCGCAAATACAAAGCTGGCCTAAGGATCAGTTGCAGGATAGCATAGCTAATAAAGGAATAGCATGGCCAAATTATAGACGGTTAAGTTTTTCTTCATGAAACAGAACACCCTAAACATAAATAGTTAAGCCAGAGGATAAACGGTCTAGTTGCGTATGTCGAGTTGGAACTTGAAATTGTGAAATAGACTAGCTCAATTGCTTAAAATTCCCAGTAATTCTTAAACATTCCTAAAAATTCCCAAAAATTCCCAGAAATTCCTAGGAATTTTTTAGATTTACAGCTTTTCAGGGAAAGTCATTGGTTCTTTGAGTTGGAATTCCTAGGAATTCCAACTCCTGTTGGCTATAAACTTGGAATTTCTGGGAATTTCTGGGAATTTCTTGGAATTTCTAGGTTTTTAGAACCAGAGTTGTTATGGTTGGGAATTCCAAAAGCCATTTCGCAAGGGTAGTAACACCTCCACGAAATCTGTCAAAACTGAAAAAAAACTGATTCTCAGAACTTCCTGTTAATTGTTTATTAAGATAATCGTCGAAGTGAAATATATCTATGTAGTAATTTTTATCTATGTAGAAGTCAGTTAAAAGAATTTTTAAAATGTATTCATGAGAAACTGTTTCTTGTAGATCTTTCCTCAAGTACGCTCTTGCGTTTAGAATTGAAAATCCTCATCTAAATATTGTTAAAAAAAAATTTTCGTAGAATATTTTCAATGATGATCATGGCACAATGCAGATAGAGAAAATGTAATAGGTGAGACAAGTCACGGATTATCCTTGTCGACAAAAGTAATATCGCCTGCTACATTATATTCAAACTTAATCTCCGTCCAATCAAGGTAAGGTACAATTTGTTAATTACCATATTAGAAATAACAATATATCGCTTAAACTCTGAACGTAACTGCGTTAAATTTATTTCATCAGAAATCCAGAAGATTTCCGGTGTTTTAAAATCCTCCTTTTGACAGATTTCGTGAAGATGTCATTACGTTGTAGTTGTGATCGGCCATCCGTGAAAAGGAGGCGTCAAATGTATTTTGTGGAATCTGTCGTATAGGTTAGCAACGGAAAAAAAAATGCAAATATCTTAACGCTAATACAAAGTCATGAGCGAAAACGAAGTAAGTGTTCCTTTCTACTCTATATTGCGGCTCTAAAATGCGAAATAGGGCCTTCATGACAACATCGGGCGAGCTCGGATTTCGTCATCAGAAAGGAGGCATCGCAAAAATTTTTTGGAGTCTGTAATATAGGTAAGCAACGGAAAAAAATGCAAATATCTTGACGCTAATACGAAGTCATGAGCGAAAACGAAGCACGTGTTCGTTTCTACTCTGTTTTGGGGGTCTAATATGCTAAATAGGGCCTTCATCACGAAGACAACATCGGGCGAGCTCGGATTTCGTAATCGGAAATCTACCCGAGATGACCTCCTTCTGACGGATGTTGGAGTTCGCTTTCCCCTTGAGACAAGGCTCTTTGTTAGCCGCGACACTTAGGGTAGACAGAAAAGCTCCTTGGGACGAGGCTCTTTGTCAGCCGCAACACTTGGGGTAGACAGAAAAAGTTCCTTGGGACGAGGCTCTTTGTTGGCCACAACACTTGGGGTAGACAGAAAGCTCCCTGGGATGAGGCTCTTTGTTAGCTTGGGGTAGACAGAAAAGCTCCTTGGGACGAGGCTCTTTGTCGGCCGCGACACTTGCGGTAGACAGAAAAGCTCCTTGGGACGAGGCTCTTTGTTAGCCGCGACACTTGGGGGGTAGACAGAAAAGCTCCTTGGGATGAGGCTCTTTGTTAGCCTCGACATTTGAGTAGACAGAAAAGCTCCTTGGGAAGAGGCACTTTGTTAGCCACAACTTTTGGGGTAGACAGAAAAGCTCCTTGGGACAAGGCTCTTTGTTAGCCACGACACTTGGGGTCAGAAAAGCTCCTTGGGACAAGGCTCTTCATGAGCATCGACACTTGGTGAGGAAGACACTTTGTTAGTCACAACACTTGGGGTAGACAGAAAAGGCTCCCTGGGACAAGGCTCTTTGTTAGCCGCAACACTCGGGGTAGACAAAAAAGCTCCTTGGGACAAGGCTCTTCATAAGCATCGACACTTGGGGTAGACAGACATGCCTCCCTCTTCACAAGCATTGACACTAACAATAACACTTGTTCTATTGTTTAAGCAATTCCATGGATAGTGGCAATCAGTTTTAGTGTTTTAAGTGTATTAGGTGTTTTAAGAACAAGTCTCTGTAAGAATCAAACATCATGGGAAATGAAAATTTTCAACCCCCCTTCAAATTTTGCATGCAGTTAGGCACTCAGGAGGGATGCACAAAAATACCCTTTTTAAAGGTTGCAGCACTCTTGTTGCCATGGTAACAACGGCTGCTTGTTCGAGGTCTGGGGCCTTATTTTCATACAAATTTATTTATTTAAAAACTAGAATATTATAACCAGCCAGGTGGGTAGTTTCAGTTCCAGAATCGGTGTACTTTTGGAGAAATTCAGATAAACGTTTTCCCTGTTTTACCCGACAACAAAAATGACCGAAACTGTACCGAGATGAATAATCTATTGGTGTGTTCACATTCACTCCCAGGGAAAATCAAATGTGTCAAAGTGAAGACAAATGATGTTACAGTATATGGTAGAAGTGCCAATTTGTAATGTTGTATTTAGCTTGAGATAGAGAAATAAACATTTCACTCTTTCTTTGCGACGTTTTTGTATGAAAATGAGGCCCCAGACCTCGAACAAGCAGCCATTAACATTAACTATTAACCCATAAAAGAAATAACATTCTTAGTCCACCAATGAAAATGCATGTAGAAAGATTACCACCCCCTGGCAATACATAGTTCATGATATGACAGTGACCCACAAAATATTATTTTGTTTGAATACCAGCAAACTCAGGGTTTCAGCTAAACATAAAAATTTTGAACAAGAAACACATAGAACCAAGTAACTCAACATTTTCTGTATGATTATAGATGGAAGCCAAGCTATGGGAGATGCAGAGAAAGGAGAAGGGACTGAGGAAGAAGATCAAGAAGAAAAGCAGGAAAAAGAAAAGGAAGAGGAAAAAGGAGTAAGTAATGAAGAACGAAACATTGGAAAATGGAGATAAAGGAGGGAAGGAGGAATACCAGCTGGAGTAGTAGAAAAAGAACATGAAGAGGAAATGAAAGAAGGAGAGATAGAAATTGAAGAAAAAGAACAAGGTACAAAGAAAAGAAGGAGGGACAGGAGGACAACAGCCAAAAGAAAGAAGGCAGAAAAGGACCCTTCAACATAAGAGAAATTTGGTCAGATTACGAGTACACAGAGTGTAAAAGTGTGATACAGATAAATGCTGTAGCATTTAACACAAATTTAAACTCTTTATGTAATGCGTGCAACAGTGAAAAGCTTTCAATCAAAAGTTAGTCAAGGAAAACAAGAAGAGCAAAAATGGATTATGTACATAGGCTAGTGACAGTCGGTTTTTGTTCCTGAAATCAAACATGCTGACAAGAGAGTTACAATTATAATTAGTGGAACAATGTTATGATTTGTAAATACATTGATTTTTTTTTAAGGATTGTGATGGCACCTGGAATCGAGAACGACGAAAACGGCAGACTTGATATTACTTAATTTATTATTCACCACCTCAATTGTATTAATTCCATAAACAGGTCATAAAATGTTCAATTCAGTTTAAAAAAAGCGAACTAGCATTTTTATTATGTCTAATTGTACCAAAGACTTGTTGACCTACTATCAACAAGTCTTTGGTACAGCTATGGGTTCGCCCGTCTCTGCTGTCATTGCCAACATGGTAATGGAAGACGTGGAACAAAGGGCCTTAGCCGCTTCACTGGTTAAACCCTTTTTCTGGAAACGATATGTGGATGATGTTATTTCTGCGGTATCCGGAAATGAAGCGGAGCGCCTCCTATCGCATTTGAATTCAGTAGAGCCGTCGATCCAATTCACCCTTGAGCGTGAAAAGGATAGACATTTGCCCTTTCTTGATTTAAATGTGTCCAGAGGGGTTCAGGGTAATTTGGAGACAAGAGTCTACGGTAAACCTACCCACACCGACAAATACCTCGCTTTCGATTCTCACCACCCTATTTGCCATAAAAAGTCTGTAGCCAAAACTTTACTCAGGAGGGCTAACTGTCTACTATCTTCACTCGATTCGAAGGCTGAGGAGAGGAAATATGTTTCTAATATCCCAAAGGCAAATGGCTATACAAAAACCTTTCTCCGTAACTGCCAAAAACCAGTTACAACTAGTAACTCTCTTGATGAAAGGGAACCAGCGACTGGTTTTACTGTTATTCCTTACATTCAGGGTGTTACAGAACCCATCAAGAGAATTTTGAATAGCCACAACGTTAAAGTTGCTCAAAAACCTTTTCAGACTTTGGGGCATATTTACGCTAAACCTAAGGATCCTGTCACGAAAGAACAACGAACCGACGCCATTTATTCTATTCCTTGCAATGACTGTGACAACGAATACATCGGACAGGCCAAACGCCAGTTTGGTACACGTTTGAAAGAGCCTTGAAAAGCGGTTTTCTTTTGCAAAAAGGAAAATTCAGCTTCATCGGAGCACACATGCCTGACCAACCATACAATTAGGTGGGATAATTCTAAAATTATCATCACTAATCGACGTTACCACCAGCGCCTTTGTTTGGAGGCTTGGCATATTAACTCCGCCCACGCTCCTTTAAATCGTGACGATGGCGGCTTGCTTCCTGACGCCTATTTACACCTCGTCAGAAAATAGGCAGCTAATTAGTGATCATATAAAAAGACCTCTTGTAGATCACCCCTGCTGAAGGCACTAGACAGGAGTGTCGAAATGTTGGGTCTATGAATTGTAACTTCTTCGGTTACATTCATTAAATCAGTAAACCAGAGCAGCATCAAACCATGTCTAATTATCCACCTGGTTGCCGTGTGAACTTTAATATATGGTATGTTCGATTTGAATTATTTGTTTCAGTTGTTTCCTCGGTTCCCACTAGCCTTTGTGCAATAAACACTACCGAAGGTGAAAAAGATATTATTATATATTATCATAATATTTATTAAACAGGATGCTCTCGCAGTTCTTCCGATCATTTTAACTGTTTTTAAAGCTAATGAAAAGCAAGGCTCTAAAAGATATTCTAGATATTCTAGATATTCTATACTAGATATTCTTCGCTGTGGATACTCTAGACGACATGTCCATTCTATATTCTTCATCATCGGCAAACCTACGTTGGTTACACGAGCTGGAAGTCTGTTCTGCTCTTTTTGCTTAATTTTCCCTAATTTCTCTCGACTAAGGAAAATAACCCTCGTTTCCCCATCGCCTTGTTGCAACTTGAATAGAATATCGCCTAGACTTTGCATTTCACGTAATCTTTACATCAAACTTCCATCGAAAACATCGTGAACGTGCCCTTGTACGTCCTTATAAACAGAACCTTTTTTTTTTTTATTACAAACACAATACTTACAATACAATATGAAACACCACTTAGGCTAATTACAATGCTTATTTACATTACTCTACTTACAGTCATTAATAATTACACCACTTACAGTATCCAGCTCTATTAACAACACAATCGACTAATTATACTATTATATACAAAAAGTACTATTTTCTTTTAACATTGCGCAGTGACACATACCGGCGATGGCGACGCCCAGTTAATTCTCTAGCAAAAATAAACTACAATAAACTTATAAACAAGGAAGAATATGAGATCTAAGTTTATGCATTGGTCTTCCATTCTTTTCCTTAAAAAAAGGGGCAAACACAAAATTATATAAGAAACTCCCATCTAATTTGAAAATCGCGAAGCTTCGCTTATAAACAGAACCTGAAAACGCCATTCTGCAGCAAAAGTAAAAACTCGAATTTAGCCGAGTGAGAATTTTACAATGGCTTGCCTGACATATGAATGTTTCGTCCCTGCCAAGGGACTCACCAGAGACCTTTCAGCTAAGCCTAGCTAACTCGACAAACATCGCGTTTGAAGTCCCTCTAGCATCAAAATGACGGTGGCAGTCTAGGCTTAAATATATCACTCAAAACCCGTTTCCGCTTGTCTCATCTGATAAAGAGAGAATCATAAATGTTTTCATTAACACAGTATTGCTTTGATTTTCCAATATTGACAATGATACACAGTAAATTTCACTTTTCACCCATATTTACTACCAACGTTTTCTTTTGAACCAGAAACAAAAACGATATGTTTGAAACACGACATCATCCATCCTTGTCAAATGTAATAGCATGATCATTTCAACTGTAGTGCCTTCCTATCCCAACGTTACTTTGTTTCTCTGCCACATTATTAGCGAACACTGAACTATTTCTCCTACAATATGACAATCAACCACAAAATTCCCTAAACCAGATAGAATTAAACATAATCCAAAAAATCATGTAAGTTACCTAGATTCACGAGTTTGCTCACAGAGCACTTTGATTAACATTACTTTGTTAATTATGCACAAGATCAATCAGGGCTCAAAGAGGCCCTAAAAGCTAGGGATTTTGAATTATGACAGGCTTTCCAAAGGCCTTGGGTTGATTCGCCGCGGGAGCAAATATTAGTTATGACGCCACAAATTCAAAAATACACTTTACGATAGTTAACGGATCTTCTACACTCATAGCGACGGCAATTGGTTGTTTCTCTTTTTTTTTGTTTTGTTTTGTTTTGTTTTGTTTTTTTACGTGGGGAAGAGATACTCCATCAAGAAACAAGCCGTGCAGACTTTGATGAAGGACGTTAAAATAAAGCCTGTACAGTAATCTGAAAACGATATCTGAATTAAATATGACTACCATTCAGTGACATACAGGCAGTTTGCTGACAGAATGTTTAAAATGTTCTTTCCGGAAACAGAACATAGCATAAAATATCAGTTTATTTCCACAATTGGCTACATGCCCACTTTGATAGACAAATAATTTACATATTATACACTCGTATTTGCTCTCATGAACTAAACAATCCTCTTTGACGAACACATAGTCGTTCTTTTATTGTAGGAATGAAACAAATCCTCAAAGGAGATATCTTCAGCGCACATGTAAAGCCACGGAATTTTACGAAGCAAAAATGTGCAACAGAAAACCTAACAAAAACAATTTTTAACCATAGGTAACTTTCTCCAGGGGAGAAGCAGAAAGTTACCACCGTTAACAAGAAACTACGCCCCTGTAATTTCCACTGGAGCACGAATCTTATTTAGAAAACAGCGCAAGTAGATAGCCTTATGCCCTTAGGTTTGCATTCAAAAAGGGTTTTTCCTCTTTCCTCCCGGCTTGCCAGACAGCCACCCTGGAAGTTTTCTCGTTGTTTCCTGAGAAGGCGTAGTTGGCTCACTTGGGGTATTTCTCAGTTGGGTGCCCGATGCCAAGGACCTCTGGCACATCGTTAACGCTGAGGTGCCTTGAGAGACCGCGCCACATGACAGCTCCAAAATGGCGATGACCAGTTTAATATGGCCATAGGACACATGAGGAGGTAAGTGATCTTTTATGGCTGATAATTTGCTTATGTCTGCAAAAAGGGAAATGTACATGTCTTTATCAGAAGCCTAAAACTATCAGTCGTGCGAACCTTCTAAAAATTAGATCCATATCTGAAAATTTCCTTAATGGAAGAAGGCATGGTGACAATAACATGGTAATGTATGTAAAGAACACAACAATGACCCCAGGCCAGGACTCTGAGCAAACGCGTTCAAATCGGGGTTCACCTCTGTGGTCACCTCAGTGGTGACCAAATGGCTAAGGGGTGACAGGAGATAGGGTCCAAGGGTGCAGGCGACTTCCTTCCTTTGTCCTTGAAAAAGAGGCAATCTAAAGTTGTAATTAAACCTCTATACTCCTAACTACCAGAAAACGTCAGTAAAGGACACATAACCCCATTCCAGCCTGCACCCCCCATTATGCCACATAATGACGCCTATAAACAACGGCTGAACGATGATTTTACCTGAGTTAATTGGGGGCGATCTGATCGTTTTTGTTACCAGTTCTTGGATTTCTTCAGTGATTCCCGCTGCACAAAATGAAATGCAAAGCACCCCAGTTAGACATTTTCGTGATGAATGCAACGACAGAGATTGAAAGAGGATGTCCACATTTCCATATAATGTCCATATAACAGAGGGAGAGAAAAACGAAAAGTGCGAGCCGGGCCATTTTTCTATCTTGACAGCCCATTTGTCCTCATCTTTACCAATACACAAAATATCCGCACCTCTCTTATAGTCCACGGGGTAATTTGCCTTCAAAGCTTCCGCAAGGTGGCCAAAAATTGTTCCTTCCACCAAGTTCCGTGCTTTGGCCACTTCTTTCTGTAAGAAATGTTGTACATTGAAGAGGCTTTGTCATATTGGTCATATTGTAACGCTGTCAATTGTATTTCTATGTCGCAAAAACAAACCCAATGAATTCGTAACGTAGAGGATAATGAAAATTGGGAAACGAAGTACAAAACTCCGACCGGGCTCAAAAAAGTGGGACAGTCTTCGCCTTCATCAAGTAACGAATGATAGAAATCTTGAGCTCATAATTGTACTTTCTTTCGGTTTACAAGCGTGAAGACTTAGTAAATCACGAGCCGTAGTGAATGATTTTCATACTTTCCGCGTGTTCTCCTAACATCAACCGAGGTTTATTACGCCGGTAAAACGATAGAGAGAGAGGTCTGTTGCTTTTCTAAATTAACTATGGCTTTACCGGTGTAATAAACGAAAGGTTCTTGATTATATATCAACCAATCAAACGCACAGTTGTAAACCTTTATGATAATTAACAAAGTCACAATCAGGAAGTGAGACATTGGGCGTATCGTCATGGGTGGAGCCTTCCAACAATTTCATTTTGAGAGGAAGGATGTTGTTGTCCGAAGACATGTGCTCATACTCTCTCAGACTGGACGACAGGCTGCGAGTGGGAAATAAGCAGGAACGAAGGCTGGACTCAAGAGAGAGTCGGAAATCGAACCCACTACTCATGTAGACTATTGAATTCAATACTTACGATGGTCATCTGTTTTTCGTGAAACATGTTGAAGGTGGAAAGCACTGTTTGGCTCAGTTCACGACGACGTATTCCCACAGGTTCTACCACGTAGGTCTGCGACTGAGTGGTAAAAAGTGAAAGGCGATCGCCATTTAAACCTCAGCAATATATAAACTACACCCAAACACATCCCTGAATGCACATGCCTGAAAAGGATTTGTTGATTGGCTGAAAACCATTACTTATCATTGCTATCATCGTATTTTACATTAGGTTCTCTTCATTTCGCATCCACGATTGTATTTCAAGCGTTGGAAATAATTCTGAGAGGCAAATCAGCCAGGTAAAGAAGAGCTAGAACGCTTGACCTCATAGACGGTAGGGCGGGGAGGTGGGCTTGTTTCGAAGACTAAATTAAACTTGTAGCCCTGGCATGTCAACGAATAGATATTGTTCAGTAAGCTACTCGATTTAGAGAAAGATGGTTATTCGTCTTGTCAAGAGCACAAGACAAAGCTAACATTCTGGGTCCTCACAAGGTTTTTACCAAGCTCAAAATATACCATCTCTCTAATTTTTACACACACAACACTTTCGACATTGATGTTCCTAGCTGCATGAAGGACGCATGTTCACCGTGGAGTCTCTGTGGTTCAGTACTGGGGTTCGCTTCCTCATAGGGACTCACAATGTTATCTTTGTCCCAAATTCATTACAAGAAGTATATAACATCTATCTCAATTTCTTCACCGAGCTTAAAATCTACCATGCTTTTAATTTATTTATTTGATTTACTTCATAAAAATGTATCATTAATCAAATATGTACTCCTTATATCTTCATAGCACAAGACAACACCACAGCAAATGAAACGAAATTAGAATACTTCCACGATCAGTGAAGGCCCAAAGCAGAAAACTTACGTTAATTTTAGTTGTTGAATGCACAGAATTAGTTTTGTCGTTAAACTTGTTTGCAGTAAGCTCATTCTCCTTACAGAAGTTTGCCACACAGTTGGCCAGTTGTTCTCCAAATCGTTCACATTGTCTTTCGGACACGCCATCCACTCTGAGCAGGCTATCAGTGGTGGATGGCCTGAGGAGTAAAAATTACAGCTTTTCAGATGAAGAAATGAGTAGTTTATTCATTAACTAGAACGTTGATTGCCAGTGTGAGTGGTGTGTTAAACTCCCTTTACGGTTTCATAATCTTTTGGTGTCGTTACATTTAAGGACAGCCTCGTTAAGAGGAATATCGGATACAGTAAACAACAAATTCTCCAAACAAAGGTCAAAGGCAAAGATTCATGGTCTAAACTTGGGATAAGGACCTGGAAACTATGAAAAATGTATGAACAAGTAGATCAGATTTTTCAAACACAAGAACAGTCGCAACAACAAAAAATATAAGATTAAAGAACACCACGTCTTAAAAAAGGAAAACGGAAAACCGTGTGTACGAGAATGGCAACCTAGTGTAATGGTTCCAAACATTTATCTCAGTTTTTCCGTCACGACTTGAAGGGGGGGGGGGGGTGTTTTTCTGTTGATTCATATATTGACTGTGACTTTATGAAAATCATATATGTGAACTGCGGATAAAGAAAATAGGCCAGAAACAAAAAAGAAAAAAAAAACATTCAGGCCTGCACGTGATTTAAATCCATGACCTCTACCAACTGAGCTAACAAGCTAACTGGGAGCTGGTCATTATGCTGGTTCAAAATAAACCCGTGAAGTAATGAAAAACTGACTATGATTACATGAAAATCATATATGTGAAATGCGGATAAATAAATGAATATGGAAGCGATCTTCGCAGTTATGAACACTACCAGTTGGTTTGTCAGCTCAGTTGGTAGAACGTTGTACCGGTATCGCAGAGGTCATGGGTTCAAATCCTGTACAGACCTAAATTTTTCCAGGCCTTATTTTTATTACTGCTTAAGAAGTGTTATTAACTGCTAAGATGGCTTCCATATTCGATTCATATGTTTTGATAAATGTAGATGACTTTAGGGAGGGAGTTATATAAGCAGTACAGACAATTCACCTGTATTTGGCAATGTCCAGAAGAATCTTATTCGTGGCGATCATGTAGGGCGGACAGTCCAACGAGTGAGAGAGCTCTGCCCTGAGCTTTATAAGTGTTGTGTACAACGAACCCTGGAAGAACAAATAAGGTCTACTTGTGTAATGAACGAAATGAGGGAAGTGTCTGATATTTTTGGAATTATTCCGTAAATAGACGTCATCTCCAATGCGTTGTTTGGAAACAGTTCACAAACAGTTTGGGTCTTTCGAAGGGACACATTTCTAGTTTTTTTTTTATGAAATGATGAGTTCTTTCTGAGTACAAGCTTGGATCGAAGAAAAAAATAGAAGAAAAAAAAACCAGGCAGTATAAAGGTCTCTCGCTTAGATCTTCAGTAAAATAGTATTCTTACTTGAAGTTCTAATTCTTTTTCGTCCACTAAGAGCTCTTGTTGTGTTACTTGAGGCAACGTAGCCAGAAGTAGACGCTTCTCATTCCAAGTAGGTGAAGACGAAACAGTAGGCGAGGATGAGGGGTATCTGAAAAAAATTGGTTAATAAGTTTTTAAAAAAAAAAAGAATAAAATATTTTTAAATTTGTAAGAGATGCTCCGATGAGCTGACATGTACATTTCGATGTGACATGCTTCGATGAGCTGATGTTTGTAAGACATGCTTCGATGAGCTGATGTTTGTAAGACATGCTTCTATGAGCTGACACATTGGCAGTTAGAAAGAGGGTTCGAAAAACGGCTTGAGCTGATACCTGGTTGTTGGTTGAAGTTGTTTTTCTGTTGCCAACAGATCCTGCAGATAGAAAAGGAGTTCATCAAAATACAAAGCCTTGAAATAGTCGTAAGTAATGTATGGACTCAAATGGTATGGAAAAAAAATGGACCAAACAAACCTGGTTGGGAATTAGTTCCATTTTGACAGAATCATTCCGCATAGCTTCTCTCAGCCAGTTCTCTCCCTTTGCTTACAATTCGTACACACAGACAATGAGACAGACAGGTAGGAGGGCAATCAGGCGAGTGGAGAAAGAAAAACAGAAAGAAGAATTTGTAAGTATGGCTCAGATTACCAGTTTGTTGGATGTTTTCCTTGTTCTCATCGGGATAAATAGATCAAGTTTTTTTTCATTGCACTTTTTGATTTCCTTTAGCAAAGTTTTTTGACAAATCTTAATATTGGTTGAGTGACCATTTTCGTTTCTCTCATTTCATTAACATGTGATTAGGAAAAAGTAATCGGAATTCCTGTCGGAGATATGAAAAAATTCGTTTACTTACCAGAGAGGGCTGTGAGAGAACCAAATCCACCAGGATTTGTCTTTTCTTTAAGAAAGTCCAAGCTCATGAGCTGACGGCCTGAAAAGTTGGAACAATTAAAGTGGAATTCAGTGTTTGGTGGCATGATAAATAAACAAGAACGTAAAAACATGCTCACCAAAGCTCTTCCACCACTTATCTGGATGAATTCTAAAAGAAGCAGACAGGAGATGCAGTTGAGGTTGTTTTCAATATGTGACAAAACTAGACATATTTTTTTTAACAAACAAGAATTCTGTAATAGTCACAAGTTGTCTTTCAAAATATGAGGTCACTATCTTGGATTTCTATAGCCAGCTGGAAGGATACAAGAAAGGTTGTAAATGATCATGGTTATTATTAGCTCAAGCTTTATCTTACTTGCCAGTCCCAAACTCTTTTTTCTGGGTCAGCCATTGTGGAACTCTTTGGTTATTCTGAAATAAAAATTTAACAAGAATGCTCTTTCTACAAGGTTGGTATATTTGTAGAAAAAAAATTTTATCAAAGGACAAATATGCCACTTAACAGTAGAAAAATAATAAAAAAAAGGGAATTAAAATAATCACTAGATTAGCAATTCTTTGTTATTACGTTACATTGCAATTTTCAGTTCCCTAACAGAAAATCAGATTGTTTTTCCACCATAAAACATTGACAATATAGAGTTCATATTAAAGCCTTCATGTGCATAAGCTCATCATCAGCAGACCTTTTTAGCATTTTTAAGAGACATATAACACCCTAGTCTAGAGCATTATCCCAGCTAGGGAAGTTGTGTGTCTGGACCCAACTCTAGATTAATTAATGGCGATAAGCCTGTGCCATGTTTGGCCTTAAACCAATACAATATGATGCTCCAAAACAGTAGTGTGACTGAATTTTGAAGAAGGCAGATTATAGTCATATTGTGCCCATGAGGTAAATGTACTGCATTGTGCTTATACTTACTGATCCCCGTAACATTAAAATAGGGATTGATATACCATAGGAACCATTCCCTGCAACCTGATAAGAAAAAATGCAACAGAGAATTAATGTTGAGGGTTTACCAGCCCATGCAGCAGAAGACTCTATTCCATTTTACTGTATTTGACTGTCAAAACAACAACAGCCCCAACATACAAATCAAGAAACTCTAGCATAAGAGTCTTAACATCCAAAAGAACAGTGATTAAATGACATGCTGATATGAAAATCAAAATGCATGTGTATACTGGAGAGAGTCGTTAATTGCAATAAATTTAAGTAACATACCATCACAGCATTGAGCAACAGTTTAGCTTCTTTTGTAAAGTCTCTCTTGTCATCTTTCACATGCGGGTTAAGAGCCCTAAACAAACACACTCTCTTCACTAATCATTTTTCAATTAGTATTGTGAAGATGTTGCTACAATATAGAGCTTCACCTTGATTAACTGGTTTAAACAATTATTTTTCTTAGGAGCATGGCATGCTCTCACAGGTGCAAAGGCCCACCTAATGTGACAACAACTACAACAGTCTTCTTGCAGGCTATTAAGGACTTAACGTGGGTGATCATGGCAAAATAGCAGATCAACCTGACAAGAAAAAGACCTGTTGCGAGAGAGGTTTCCTATTATAATCCATTTCATTCCAATGTTTGCTCAGGTTTTCTGGAAATCTAATTTTTCCCAGATAACTTTCTATTCCAAACCTCCATAAACCTGAAGAGGTATCAGTGTTAAATATAATATGACCTTTACTTAGTATGTGAATCATAATGTGTCACACACATCTGTACCTTGATGTGAACAACCCTTATATTTTTCAATGAAAGAACACTAACCTGTTTCGGCAGTTATCACAGCAGTCATCTCTTCCACCAATGCTCTTGTCAACTGAATTCTCAAAGTAAGCTAAAATTGTTCTACAGACACAAAACAAATTTTAATGACATCTTTTTTGAGCCTCAGGATGTCTTTTCCAATGCTAAACAACTACTGCACTGATAATCCTGGAAGTGAAAGGGTCTATATGATGAACAAAATTATGTTACCCACCTTCTCCTACATTCTGTTGTAGATAAGTACTGTTCAAGCTTGTTTAGCATTTTCAGTTTATGTTCTTTGAATGACTGTGCTTTGACATCATTCAGCAAGTGACTTTGGAAAAACAGATAAAATTATTTCATTTGTTTTAAGTTTAGGATGTTTTTGTCTGTTTGGAAAAGCAAAATGTTTGTCACTGAAATTCACTGAAATTCACTGAATGCCAAGCTACATATGCACCCACTGATAAACCAGCTCACCATGGAGAGTCTCTGTGGCTCAGTGATGGAGCATCAGAGCAAATTCCAAAAGTATGAGGTTCAATTCCTGGTGGGGACTCAGAGTTTATCCTTTGTTACCCCCTTGTGACAAAAAACATCTTTCTCCAAATCCTAATGGTCAGTCATATCACCATTTGATTTGGGTTCTTTCTTGGATTTATAATGACTTCTATGGAAATAGGTAGCCAAGGGTAGTTGCAAGTGAGTAAATTTTGTAACAAGTGCTTATTCTTCAGATAGCAATCTTTATTCCTTTTTAGTGAGGTATGATCTATTTTTCTCAATTAATGAGAGTTTGTGATTCACAATGAGAATGTCTGTTTTATATTTTACTTACATCAATACCAACACCTTTTTAGGACAAAACATGTATCAACCCTACTTGAAATGCAAACACTCACCGGTTAAGGGAAAAGTCAGCTGTGCTATAAAACACATGGCATGTACTGGGAAGGCTAAAAGAAGACATAAATCAATAGGTCATGATATCTTAAACACAGAAAGTTCACAGGGTACAATAGTAGTACTTACCCATCCCGACCAGCTCGACCCATTTCTTGGTAATAAGATTCAATATCCTTTGGTGCTAAGGACAAACCAAGCAAGAAACTCAGTACACCAAAGTAAGCATAGTATCCTTTCAGAATCGTTACCCAAAATAGAAAATAATTTCCATATTTTTGTTACACTGGATGAAGCATATTTTTTTTGCTACTTAATACTACATTTAAGTTTTTTTAAGTGTAAATCATACAATGGTAGAACAATGGTAGAACAATGAAAAACTTTTAAGTGCAAGAAAATATTGCACAGCTAATGTAGAAAAATTTGAATTTCTTACTTAAAAATGACATCACTTATTTCTGTCTACATCCACCTCACTAAAATCTAATAGACTCATCTGTTCCATAACTATTGGATTCTTGGCAGACAATTCAGGTAAAAAACCCACAAGGGTTTCAATAAGTATTGAAGTAGACAGTAAACACTGTAAAGTAGGTGGGTTATGGAAGATTTCTCTTTACTCTAATGTTATTAATTTCAGAGAAAATAAGCAGCAATCTTGCTTCACATGTGAATTTTAGTGACAGTGAATTTCATCAGTTACCAGTTCTCATTGAAAACTGACCCATAGTTCAAGATTATCTTTTAAATTGAGATGCAAAAATTTTTATGGGGTATTCTTGCCACAATAAAAATGCAACCAGGTGAGAAAAATAACAACATTAGCTCATTCCAAGGGCACTCGCAAAAAATAATCCTGGTGAAAGGACTTTTCATGAACAAGAGAGAACTTTAGAGAGATAATTGTAAAATGTATGTAATAATGTAGTTACCATTTAGTAAAAGGCATTGCAAAAGGGATGTAAATGGCCACAATTTACTTTGGCCTAATCATACAAATACATACCTCCATAATGGATTATTTTTCTCACGTCTGGCTTATCAATTCCCATTCCAAAGGCCACTGTTGCAACAATGCACTGAGTCAAAAATAGTGACAAAAAGTGAAAATGTGCACATAAACCAAACAGTTTAAATTTGAAAGCCAATCTAGGGTTTATGTTCAAGATATGTATCTCCAAGACACATATCTGAGACACTGATTGATTGAGAAATATTATGCAGAAAGATGCACACCTGAATGTTGTCTCTTATAAAGAGGTGATGAACTCTTTTTCTTTCCCCAGGGCTTAGGCCAGCATGATAAAATTCACATCTCACCCCAAGACCTGCAAGTTCACACAGATTTAAAAATCATGCAGTGTAAACAAGGAAGCTAGTGAACCCCTTTTTGTACATGGACAAAATGATAGAGACAGTGTCATTGAAATATGATAGATACAGAAGCCACAGCAACTATAAAGTCAAGTACAGTCACAGGCCAAGCAGCTCACCCTGCCACAGATTATCTCAGTTTCTGTAGCAATTTAAAGTGCACAGAAGGTAGAGAGAGGTACTGCGGCATGTGAGGGACAAGTAGTACCCAAAAACATGATCTGTGACCTGCCCAGGGCTTGAAACAGGGCCTCTTAAGCCAGAGTTCAGAAAGCTAGCCATTAGGCTACTATACCACCCATACATATAGCTGTATATTTCATTATTATTGCAAAATGCTATCCTTAATCCTACTTTTAAGAGCAATCTGTGTAAACTATTTTGTAAAAACCTACAAAAAGCTTTTCCTTAATGGTATAAAGGGATTTTTGATTACATAATGAAAACCTATATCTTATCTTAGTACCCACAGCTTCATACATTTATCATACAGAAATCCTTATAGCCAATCATTTTCTTGATGAGCACAAAATAAATTACCACGGAGTTCACTGACAACTGTTTCTGTTGCCTTCTTCGTTGGACAGTAAACGATTGTTGGACCATCAAAAGAGTACTCAATCTTACTTCTGTAAACAAACAAAGAAAATTCTTGGACAAACTTATAACAAGCTTCAACATTTTCATAAATACATGTTGGGAGGGAGGGAGGGCAGCTACTGACAGTGATACAGTTCCCATCCAAATCACATGACTGAGGTCAGTTAAAGGCAGGATTTAGTCCTATCAGTTGGAATAATTATAAAATCACTATCAGGAAGATGAGAGTTGATGAAAAAGCATACTGCACCATCAATTTGGTAGAAATACATTTTTTGAATAGCATTATCTAACTTTCAAACCACTCAGGAAGCTGCCCTTGTAGAGCGCCACATCCTTGAAACAAATTTATCTCAACACTGTTTACACCCAAAATAGTTATACTTGTAATTATTAGTGAAAAGAAGTAACAACCTACCTGTCTGCTGGTGGGATCAAGAGGGGTCTAAAGTCATCTTTGATACTACCTGATTTTCTGGATACTTCAAAATACAAATTAGGCCTGCAAATTATAGAGAAAACACTCATCAAAACATATCACCACATATACATGGACTAAGGAAAGCTTGCAGATACATTTTGACCTACAAAGTAATTCACATGCATAATTCACATGCATAATTATTACCAAACTATTGTCTTATAACAATTACTTCAATTACTGATTTAACCAAACTTTTCTGTTAGTCACATTTAATTAATACTTGGTCTGTAAGATGCACAGCACTAGCCATGTAACCAGTGTAATGAATCTTGTACCATAAAGCTTAAAACTGTTATTAATAATAATCTTAAAAATAAAACTCTTGAGCTCAATTACCTATCAAATCCAGTGCAAACAAAAGCAGCATTTTTCAGTTTCAAAGATTGACATATGTCTCTTCTTACAGCAGGAGTAGCAGTGGCTGTCAAGGCAACTATGGGTACCTTAAATGTACAAAATGGAGATGCAGGAAAGGGTCATACTGTGTCAAAGCAAATACACATTAAACTTTTTGTTTACAGTGAGATGTCTCTTCTGTTTCAAACAGTTTGGCCTGAGTATCAAATATGATTTGCTTTCCTTTTCAATAAATTATTGTGAACCTAAAACATTAATAATCAATTGAGCTTTGCCACTAAAGTTCAGTTTCTAGAGCCTTAAGCTAGTTAGCAGACAAAAGAGTATTAAATTTTATTCTGAGTTCCCTATGGTTTCTTGGCATAGTGTACTAATTGGTTCTAGTCCTACTTGTCTATTAATACTGTGGTTTGACATTGTGTCACTTAATCCACAAGTCAAACCTCAATACTTTGTGTGCCCAACAATATTATTTCTTTCAAATAGGTGATTTCACCATTTAACCCTTTCACTCTCAAGATCTCATTTAGTGATTCTCCTTATTGTCTTCCATAAAATTTTTATGATGTTAGTTTGGACTGAATTTGGTATTGAATCAACTAATAATTCCCTGATTGATATTTTTCTTTATTCTCATTGCTTATCTGCCTCATATTGTATTGCCATTGTAAAGAGAAATAGTATCTTGGTCATTCATAGGAGTTCCAGGGTTAAGTGCTTATTACTACAACAGTACAAACTATATTTTCCATTACAACATCCTCATAAGAACTTCAATCAAGTCACTCTGGGGTATTCCACACTTTGATAAATAAACACATTCCATCCTTTACCATTCCGAAAAAACAAGACAAAACAAAACAAACCTGACTTGTTATTCACTTGTTATCAAAAATAAGTTATTCTCAAAAATTGAAATTTATTATGTGTATCAAATATTTTAATGTATTCTCTTACAGTAGGAAGTTTATCCCTGATACATCCAAGTGAACGATACGAGGATCTAAAGTCATGGCCCCACTGAGACACGCAATGTGCTTCATCTATTGCAACTAGTGTTAAACCTGTTGAGCAAATAAATATTAAATATAACTATTTATAGGTACTTTTTTTCAGTTAGTATCACAACTAACATGTTTGATCCAATAAGATTTTGTGTAAAACTTCACTGAAGAATAAGAGTACTAGTGTTGAGAAGGTTTGGCAGCCTGTGAATAATTAGCAGCATAGTAGTTGAAACTGGCTTATTTGTACCTTTGCTTTTATTTGTTTCTTTTCAGTTATATCCTCACCTACAGACTTCTGTACTTCAGCTAGGAATGTAGTATCTAAGGAAACATATTCAGGAGTCAAGTATACCACTCTATATTGTCCCCTGGAAAAAAAAAGAAAACATACCAGAAATGACTATAAGACTTTCAAAAGTCACAAGGTAAGGAGAAGCATTTTTTAAAAAACAGATTATGTCCACTGCCTCAAAAAAGGTAGTTTGAAAATTTCTAGAATACCTCAAAACTCCAGCTTTTACTTCAGCATTATTGCTTTGAGCAGACCCAAGATAACAAGCTGCAATGTTGTAAAGCCTAAAACATAACCATTACAGAAGAAAGATGAAATTTGTAGGGCTTATGAGAAATACAATATAGAGCATTCTAAATTGAATTTGCACTTGATAAGTTCACCATGAAATGAATATTTAAAAAATTTTATGTCTGTAAATGAAGTGGATTGACTCTTGTACAATTTGCTGTTTTGAAACCTTCACTGCTTCTTCATTACTTCTCCCTTACTGCAATTTAACCTCTTTATTCCAGATTAATGATCTTCTGATACTCAATAAAAATCGAGCAATATGTAACATATAATAAATTATTATACATTATTGGCCAAGCATGAAGTCAGTCAATAGGAACACAGGATTCACTCCATATTGCCCATGGGCATTGCCAGCCATATACTAAAATATATTAATATTAATAGCAACCAGGAGAATTAAGAAAAATTAAGTTAAACCTAAATTTAAGAGTTCATTCTGTAGTCTTTACCCCAGTTTTGTAACTTGATCCTCCATAAGTGAGATTAGAGGTGATATAACAACTGTTGTTCCTCCAGAGTACAAAGAGGGGTACTGATAACATAAACTCTTTCCATATCCTACATAAATATATGGATAACAATTGATGTCAGGAAATGGATGGTTCATCAGAATTAACACATCACAATGGAGATTATTTGGTACAAGTACCTTGGTGTATAATTAAAAAGAATTGTGTCATCCATGATAATATAGTATTTATCATTAGCCCCACAATATAGTCAATTCCAATGCATGTCCCTTGTAAGTGATGATTTTGCAAATTGTATATTCTCATGTTTTTCAAAATGTATCAATACAACAGTTATTATTATCCCTTAAACTCCCATGAGTGACCAAGACAGAATTTCTCCTTACAATATCAACACATTATCAATCAGATAAGTGATGAGAATAGAGAAAAATATAAATTGGGGGATAATTAGTCAATCTAATACTAAATTCTCTGAACTAACATTGAAAGAATTGTATGGTTGACAGTAAGGAGAATTACAAATTTGATCTGAGAGTTAATAATATCACCACTGAATCAAAAATAAAGGCCACAAGATTAAAGGAAATAATCACTGACTAAAAAGGTTCTTGATTGTTAAACAAATTCCCCCCATCAGCATCTTGATATGTATGAAGAACAGAATTGAGAATATGCATAATGGTGTTAGGGTATCATGGGATAAGAACAAATGGTACTCTTGGGTTTAAACTACACTGTATTTATTCATGATAGAAGCAGACCCAAGAGTCAATCCAAGAATTACCTGTTGCCATTACAACACAAACATCCCGTTTACAATTAAGCACTTCATTTATTATCTTCCACTGCATACTGAAAGATATAAATTTATATTTCAAAAAATATGTATTTAGGAAAGCAGTCAGTGGTAAAGAAAAGTACAAACAAGTATAAATTCATTAATGCAAATTCAAGGCAGAGGAAAACTGATCTACACACGGTCTGAACTTAGAATGACCAAAATATTTCTTCAGCACATCTATGTGGTCATCATCTGGTTTGATTTCATCCATATCTGATGAGAAGATTTAAAAGAAGAAAATGATTTGGTTAAAAAAATGCATTAATTGAAAATAATTTTTTGAAATATGAAGGTTTTCAGTCAATGAAAAACGAATTTATTTTCCATGTTTCATTGTCAATAAGTACTTTTCTTTCCTTAACATTGCTTTTTTTACTCAACTTATCATTATCACCATTATCTCATCATTCAATATTAACTAAAGATATCTTATAATCTTATCTTTCCAATTATTTTGAAGTAAAACTGACACTAATTAATATATTTATGTTGAGTTAACTGTATTTCAAGGGAGAGAAAAGTAAAATATCTTATTAGTGAAAGGCACCTTCTGATTCTGTTGATTGATCTACATCCTTGTTGCCAGTATCTGAAATCTCTGATTCAGCTTGACTTTGATTGCAGATTTCCTCAATGTCAACCTTGAAGACAAGGAAAAGTATGCTTATCTCTTAAGTGATCAAAAAAATTTAAAACACTTTACTCCCTCCTAAAAAGGACTTATTTGAACTGTTGTATCATTTTCTGTTTCTTGATGGGTGTAAACATCAGAGTTTAAATGCAAAAACTAAAATAACAACATTGATTGTGTGGAAAGCTTGGGTTAAGCCACATTTAACTTTTCCAACAGATTTGAGTTTTTTTCACATTTTACATTCCTGCAGCCAATCAAAATTACATCCTAAAACTTATTACATACAATTTTTAGCCACTTTTCAGAGTTAGTTGTAGTAAACCAAATGATTCTGATATATCAGTTAATAGACGGAATCTCTAGTTCAATCAAATTGAGCATTTGGTTATCAAAAAAATAAAAGTTTTATCATGTTTATTACCTCGGCCATTGCTTGATCAAACTCATCATCACTCAACTCAATCAGGTCATGTGAGTCATTACAATGAGAACTGCTTAAAAGTAGTTTTTCACTGGCATCTCTTGAGTCCTAAAGAAAAAAATCAGAAAAATCTGTTTCAAGGTACAAAATGAAAAACACTGAGGTAATTACAACAAAAGTTGGCTGGTTTCTCCCACCAAATTCTCTCCCAAACCTAACAACTTTAACTAACTTTAACCTTCAAAAGTGCACATTAAGCTTCCAGTGAGGCAGACTATACTATATGAGACTTTGTTGCTTTAAGTCTACCATAAATAAATTACTGGTAGCCATGGATGTGAGACAAACTTAACCCCTGGTAATAGTGAGCATGAGAGTTTAGAGTCCTGCCAAGTAAATAACTTATCATAATGCACCAATCAATTCAAAGCTTCAACATCCCCTCTCTACCCCTGGGAAAAACCCACAAGCATTTGACATCCAAGCCCTGGGGGTGAAATTCTAAGCCTACTTAAGTGGGATGGAGAATTTGAACCACAACTGTCAAGTCTTTCCAGCAGAATTAAAGTGTTTTATCATTTGTTATGGAGGTGTTTTAAGTAAAACTTCAATTTTATGAGCAGATGGCTCAGAAGAAAAGGGTCGCTACTAATCTTGCCTTTCACAAAAAAATTAATGAACAAATGCGGCACTAGGGTGGGGCATTTCAACACAAGTTTGGCCCTGGAGGCAGAGAATTTCAACAGAATAATCTTTGGAGGTTCAAATGCCCATAGCTTGTTTTGCCACGGAGGGGATGTTGGAGCTTCAAATTGATTGATGCTTAACATCCACTGCCCAGCCCCTAGTAAGAGATTGGCAACAAAAACAGCATACTTCATCAGCAGTCCCACCTTTCAGGTTTTAGGAGCAGTTAGTAAAAATTTTAGACATTTATCTCTTTTACTGTTAGTTCCAGTCAGTTTGATTCTGGTTAACTTGAACTCATTTGTATAGGCTATACTATGTCTGCATTCATAATTGCACTAGACCCACAACCTACAACCTGCATTTGCACTCTCCATTACCAAACACTTTCACTCTGTCCACCATGGGCAAGGTTGTATAACATTATCCATCTGAAATATGCCCGTTCTTCACATTTTTAAGCAATGAAAGGGAAAAGAGTGGTGTACATCATAACATTTATTGTGAAAATTTTTATATTGAAAATGTTGTAATTAGCAGCAGCAATTTAAATAAACTACCTCCCCAAAGCTGGTGTTTCCTGAGTCTTTCGAGGCGTCCTCGTCCATTTTTCCAACAAAAAGCTCGTGTAGCTCGGCAGCACTTGACTCGATCGCAGAGAGCAGGAATTCTACCCTAGTTTCTTGCGCAGAAATCACGTCGCTTGCTGTGACAGCTTCTGAAATATCGCGCAGAGTATTCAAGACCGTCAACACCCTGCCATGCATTACTCCATTCTTATGACTATCCATAATTTTTCAATAATAATAACATTGGTGCAACGATTGGGAAAATATACGATTTATCGGTATCGCAGCTGAGGCAGCCGCCATAGTAAATGCATTCTTACCGCGCTACCGCGCTACCAAAATAGGTTTCCAGCTTACCACTGCCACAGGGAATCGAGGATGGGGAATGGTTCGGGTCAAGAGGAATAGTTACTGAGTTTTTTTTTTTTTTTTTTAATTGAAAAAAAAAATTCCCTATCTTGAGCTTGCACCAATCATATCACAGCATTTGGATATCTTGCACAAATCACAGTGTTTGGGAATTGTTTTCTTGCAAATGATGTCATGGAATTAGGGGGCTGTGCACAAACAGTGACATAAACCATAAATTGGGTTCATTTGATGAGTGTAATAGTTTGTGGCCTTCGCGGAGCCTCTTCGATTGAGGTCGAGATTAATCGGGATATGAAAAGTTCGCATTTAACCTTTTTGTTCATTTTAAGTTAAAATGTATTTTCCCGCTCATTTACTCAAAACTCACCCGCCAAACAACTTACCACGTACCATGAAAACAACGTCCAAAGTCCAATTAGAACATACCCAATCATTGCACTACATGAACATTAGGCAATTTTTCATATGCTTGAGTTGTGTTCCACTGACCCTGAATTTCATTTTCTCTAAGAAGACTTTGCTCCACCACGTGTCATTTCCTGGTAAACAACCTGCATTTAATCACGAATTCTAACCGCATTGCCCAACCCCACTGAAAAAATTCACATGGAATGAGATGCTACCGATATTTAATTATCCACGCGATTCTCCAGCGTTTTGACTTTTTCTGCGAATAAAATTGGTTTTCGCTACCTTGGACTTAATTCAATCGCGTTACCAACCTGTATTTCGTCACATGTTTCACGCAGAGGGTAAAGTCCAGATAGGCAACAACCAATCAAGGAGCCCTCTTCTAAATATTATCCTTTTTTCTTTTTCAATGTATCTTCACTTGTTCGAGATCGCAATATATCTTTTGTTAGGATCTATTGGAGATACAACAGAGTTTCAGTTAGCTTTTCGTATTAAATTACGTAGAATTATATTTTTGAGGCAACTAACTGTAGACGAAGAACGGTAATAAGGGTAGTCCCTTTCGCAACCGCTATTTGGTGTCGTCGCGCAACGGGTTCTCTCTCCAACGGGGAATAGATGGCACTGTGTGGCGAGGCCAAACAACGGCTTCGAAGGAGACAACAGCAAGTGTGGCACCGATGCATTTTATTTTTGCTTAGAAGTACCGAGACAATAGAGACGACTAACCGAAAAATACCTGTGTGAGTTCAGATAAATTACCGTAGTTATTCGGTTATAAGGCGCACTCGGCTATAGGACGCACCCCCAATTCGGCAACTTCATTATTGCATGTTTTCAAACTGAAAATATCGCTAAAATACTTGGTTATAAGGCGCACCGTTGTTTGGGGAGTAAAGATCGGTCAAGTTTATTGTAAATTCTTTCATAAACTTACAAAAAAGCGAAAAAGTTGCGTATTGATTTTAATTTACCGTTAATTAACAAAAGCAGAATTGTCGCACACGCGACCACGCGCACAAACAAAAAAAGTACTGAGCACGTGCTCTCGAGCACGTATCATATCTATGCAAATTTGACTTCGCTCGTCTTTTCAGAACCACCATATTTATAAAAGTCAATGACCAACACTGTGTCCTTTTATTTGCTTGAAATCGTACCAGTAACTGTGATAAAAAAAAATTGTTTCGGGAAAATACTCGCCTATAAGACGCACCCAAACTTTGGCGGTAATTTTTAGTAGAAATTAGGAATTTCTTGAAAAAAACGGTGCGCCCTATAACCGAATAACTACGGTAGGTCTTTTTTCTTTTTCTTAAGGTGAAGTAATGCGATATTTTCGTCCGTTTGAAAGTTATGCTCTTTTCCTGTTACAAAAATGAAAACATTAGGTACACAAAGTGTCCCACCTCAACCCGCCCAGCCGAAAAAATAACTATTGCATGCTACGCATGTTTATGTTAGGTAACATACTAATAAACGGCTGCGAACGGGTACAAAGGTGGATCAGGTAAGAGCACTGTACAGAGAAAACTAAGCCATGATTTCTGTATAGCCACATGCTTCATTATGCATAATAGATTGCCTTCGAGTTCACTGCTTTGTTTAAGACTGAGTAGTATGGAGGTTTTTTAGGAATTTTTTTAATAATTTTTCTTTGGAGGCGAGATACTGAATTGGGGAGAAAAGTAGCTTAAAAGAAATAGAGTAATTATCTTATCGTTAAATTGCAGATCAGCACCCTGTGATTTCTCCAAAACTCTACACCTCTCTTTCCACTAAATCCTCTCAACTATTCACATCCTGAAGCTTAACATAAAGTATGCCTCTTTTTTCTCATTATCAATAATAATTTTTTAATCATTTCATTTTTTAAGCACAAACCTGTGGACTTTATGAATTAGCCAGCACGATGTACAATGCATTTTGTCTTGTTAAAGGTATTGTTGTTCCCGTGCTTGTCGGAGAAGTTTAATCGCGTTAGGCGAGGAACATCCTAAGGACACACAAAGCATTTTGCGACTGGTCTTCGTTACGGCTCTTTCAAGATAATTTAAATTTATCAACTGAGTTTTAAAGTAAATTGGCCTCCGTAAAGATTTTCTAAAGCTGATCTTTTATGAGCGTTAGCCCCTCGTCAGAGTGAATGGCCGTTGCGGTCCATTGGTCTGAGGATACAAGCCGAGTGTTCGTCTCCTGCTTCTCGGCAGGAGTTGACTACAAGTTCCGTATTTCTTTCTGTTTCGCTGCCAGCTATTTTCAAAGTTAGTTTTGCTTTATCTAGCTATATTTGAAATTTGGCTCCTAGATGATTCGACTGAATTACGGCATGCGTGTTCTTGAGTTCTTAGGCACTTGTTGGAGGGGTGACGCCTGTAAAAAGCTCTCGAATATTTGAACCACTATGACTTGCAATATATCGTTACCATTCTTTAACCCTTTTTCTCGTTATTATAAATAATTATATATTCACTAGTTCCGTATATTTTCAGGTAGATAGGAATGTAAGAAAGAAAGCAGGGGCAGGGAAAGCTGATATAAAAAATCTTGGGCCTGAAAGGGGTCAAACACCGAGTTCTCATGATTGCTTTTAATTGCCTCACGCTATTTTGCGATGGGTCATTTGGTTTTCGTGTCGTATGAATATAGGTAAATCAGCTCGACTCTGAGCCGAATATCCCAGCGAGAGATTTAAAATCATCGAAAACAACTCGAATGGTTAATGAAGTCCGTGCACCTCGGTGGAGAGATGAGGAAGTTGTTTTCAACACTAACCAAAGTTTGGGTCGGTAAAGAAGAAATGGATTTTGAGACTCTGCAATGCACACCTGTTAACTCGTTTTTCGTTTTAGGTCTATGCATCAACTTTATCCACCTAAACTACTTGAAGACTTTTTTCGAACAAGAATTGCATGTTTTTGGACACATCCTATATAAAGACCAAAAGGCCACGCAAACGCAATATAAAGAAAAACGCAAAATGTCCCAGAGTTTTCATTTCCACGATGTTGTGTTTGAGTCCGCAATAAACACTTTTTATTTTTCAGAGTAACTAAAGAGTTAGATTAACTTCGGGTACTAAATATTATTCTTAAAATACAGTCCTTCTAGTTATTTGCTCTTTTCTAGTTTCCTCCTCGTTTCTCGTATATTTCAAATCAAGATTTAGACTACTAATAAAAATGAAATAAGCGATGTATAAAAAAAATTATAAGGAACTTATCGAGACTTGAACAGAGTATAGCGAAATAATTGCATAAAGGTTGTAATATAAAATAGGATAAACAGAAAAGTTAGAGAAGAAAGGAAGTGCCTATGGTACCGACATTTTCGATACATTATCGAGCTACGTGCTTAAATTCCCTAATTGTAAATTCAGTTCGACCATTCATTCATAGAGTGCTATTTTACGACTTCTTTTATTAAAAAAAAGGTTTTAAACTGGTTTAATTCAAACGGTGTTTCTTATTTTTACTTCAAATAAGGAAGATATCATCTTTAGTCCAACTGAAGTATCAACTATCTATAAATGTTCCGAAACAGCTTGTTACTCGAGCTCTTTGATTTCATTAATAGAATAGCCTATAAGTAGAACTGAATCGAGAACGCAAATTTATTAATTTGTACGAACGCCAAGCTTCTCTTCCCTGACTCGTTTATCTTTTTTAAGAGCTCTTTAGAACTATTTATACAAAAATACGATGATCGTACGTAAAATGTGCTTATTGAGAAACCGTGCGTAACCAATTTCCAAAACTACCTAAAAATCACTACCACGCGTTTTGTTGTTACTTTCGAAAAACACAGGCCCACTATTCAACCTCATGCTTCCCTCTCGCAATTGTAAAGTGCGTAAAACGTGGAGGTGGAAATATAAAAAAGTTTAGTCAACGGGTTCATTTACGCACGTAAACGTCCATTTCAACATACGCAATTTTTTAAAGGATGTTCACGGCGTGGGGAAATCCAGCTTAATGTTTGTTTCCAGTAAAAGGCAAAGCTCAGACTCTATGATCCAAACCTTCACTTTGCTTCAAAATTTTCTCTTTGTTTGACCTGAATAATCAAAGAGTAATTGATAAATAAGACATTAACTAAACGATGAAAACTTAAAAAAAAAAATTCTAAGGAAATGACTTTGCCAATCAAATTTGAACTGCACGCTGCTGGTAAAACTTACATTTTGATATTCTGGTAATTTCAAAAATCATTTAGCTATCAATCAACCAATCGTTTATTTTAACACGTTTCGGGAATTAAAACCGCAATTTTTTTTTCTTGAGTGTGTGTTCTATGGGCCAGTATTATAATTTAGTAACATTGCATTGTTATTATATTGCATTTTAATAATATAAGTTCGTAGTACTGTTGTATTGTAGCATTGTAGTTTTGTAGTACTGTAATCCTGTAAACTTGCAAAATGAAAAGTAAAGAAAAAAATAAAAATAGAAAACAAATTCAGGGCGGTAGATAAAAAATAAAACTAACCCGGAAAGAAATAAAGGGGATAATCGTGCTAAAATTAAAAACAAAGGCTATCTCCTGTGATCGTGACTGGGTTTTTTTTAATCCAGATTAATAGCAACTTGTTCTAAGTATTTGGCAAAGTTAAATACAATATTTTCTCACGATAACGAAATTTATTCACTAAACTAAGTTGTGATACAAGGTCATCAGATGAAGAGATGATCAATAAACTTTTATATTTTTGTTGAATAACTTGCGATATAAAATATTTCCACTCAATTTCCCGACAGCTAAATAACCTAGAATGACCTAAATAGAAACTTCTTGCTTGAGATAAATTTCGTCTGTCAACATCTTGCCCCATGGACTTCCTGACAACTTGTATAATATCTTCCTTTGCAAAAGTTTTGATTTGTTAATTTTCCGAATGAATCGGAGAAAATGTCAACCTAATAAGACGGAAATTATGAAATATAATGATCTTACGTAAAACGCGCTTATTGAGAAACCGTGCGTAACCAATTTCCACAACTACCTAAAAATTAATACCACGCGTTTTGTTGTTACTTTCGAAAAACGCAGGCTTGCTATTCAACCTTATCCTTCCCTCTCGCGATTGTAAAGTACGTAAAACGTGGAGGTGGAAATATGAAAAAATTTTAGTCAACGGGTGCATTTACGCATGTAAACGTCCATTTCAACGTACGCAATTTTTCAAAAGGTGTTCACGGCGTGGGGAAATCCAGCTTAATGTTTGTTTCCGGTAGAAGGCAAGGCCTATACTCTATCATCCAAACCTTCACTTTGCTTCAAAATTTTCTCTTTGTTTGACCTGAATAATCAAAGAGTAATTGATAAATAATACATTAACTGAACGATGAAAACTTAAGAAAAAATTCTACCAAGGAAATGACTTTTCCAATCAAGTTTGAACTGCACGCTGCTGGTAAAACTTACGTTTTGATAGTAATTTCAAAAATTATTTAGCTATCAATCAATCATTTATTTTCGTTTATACACGTTTCGAGGAGGAGCTACAATTGTTTGCTGGGGGTTCATTTGTGTCGTTCTAAGAAACACTGAATTAAAGATGAACCAAATCGGATTCAACTTTAACCTTTTTAATTTTTTTTTTTTGTGACAAAAACGTGCAAAGCGCTTCCACGCACCATTTTGAGATAATCAGAAACTCTACGCGAATATCTTCACTTCAATCAATCGACCTTCGTCACAATAAAGTGATTACTAGTAGCTGACGTGAGTGGCCTAGGTTAAGTTACACAGAGATCCTTTTTCTCGGTGTATTGAGACATCAGCGACGAGTTTTCTTGGCAGACAGTTATGGTTGACCTTGGTTGATTGTCGAACGTCCAAATCGTTAATGTAATTAAAAAGAAGCGTCAACCGACAAATAACAGAACAATTTTACTTTAGATATAGGAAACAGACTTCACTGATCACTGGGGGAAAGGACGGACGGACCACAGAAAATTTGGGGCATTAACTTGGCGAAAATAAACATTTTCAACCGGCTAACTAAAATTATGAAAGGCTGAAATACATTTGGTCTGGCGCAGCCATCAAATTCGCGTTTTTCAAAATGTACGAGTAAGTCGGAACGCGGAAATGAATTCGTCGAATTCGTGAAACAAAAAGCATTGATTTATTTTGCTAAATTTACAGATTTCGAGCTGTCAGTTTCTAATGATCTAAAACTGAGTAAGAATGGATGATGTATGCATCAATTTCTTCAGCTCTTAACAGAGTGGCACAGATTAAGAAAAAAGATCATTTTCCTCATACCTATCCTTTGTTCGTGAATGAGCACTCTTTAATTTGCACGCTCTGCTTGCCGCTCTAGTCTCGTTTAAGCAAAAATGAGAGCACTGGGGACGTGTTTTGATTCACGTGCGTAGTACACGTGCAGGATTCACGTGCAGACGTTATATAATGTAAAAGATGTCGATCAAATTTTTGGCAATGATGCACCACTGTCGTTTAGAATTTTATGATTAATTCTCGAACTTAGTACTAAGATTGCAACTTCTAAAGTGTAATTATGGGCTAACTCAGCAACTTTCATACAAAATGGCAAGATTACACATGGTAGATCAACCTCCATGAAACCAAACTTTTCTGAGAAAGCAGTAACCACTACGTATAATGTCTTATGCGACAGTTCAAAGAAAAGATGTACATGCTGGTAGCGTAGATGAAAGAAGTTCCGCGATAAACGATAAAGAAAAACACGCAATACACTGGATCAGAAAGGATCTACGCTTGCACGACAATCCTTCTCTTTTGGAAGCAGTGAAAGGAAGCGACACTCTTAGAATTATTTATGTTTTGGACACTAAAGTGGATCAAAACATTGGTATAGGTGCAAACTTATGGAGGTTCTTGTTGCAGTCATTGGAAGATGTCGACGACAGTCTTCGTCAACTTAATTCCCGCCTTTTTGTAGTGCGAGGTCAGCCCGCAGATGTCTTCCCTCGCCTGTTTAGGGAATGGAATACCTCGCTTCTAACATTTGAAGAAGATTCAGAACCATTTGGAAGAGAAAAGGATGCAGCAATTCGACTACTTGCTCAAGAGTCAGGCGTTCAAGTAGCCATTCGTCGGTCTCACACCTTGTATGATCCTCAACTGTAAGTGTTTCTTTTCGATTTCGACTAATGCAAAATCAATCATTAATGTATATCATAGAAGAACCTCATTTCTGGGTGGCCATAGATTAAATTTATTCGTTCAAACAGAATGTTTCTGAGGCTGTCAGTCTGAATCACGTCGTTAACAAATGTCACTGGCATAGATTGTAAGTAATTTCACCTCAATTGAGTGGATGCAAATGGTTTCGTTTTTATCATTTGTACAAACTCTTGTTTTCTAAGGGCATAACTGTTAGTACGAAATGAAATAACAGAATTTCAACTAAATAGGGGTTCCAACCACTGCTTTTATTCAGTCATGCCAAAACGCAGACTGCAGACCATGCAGACTGTGTAGCATCGCAGACTTTCTTATATTTAACCCTTTAATCTGGTACAACTATCATTCTCGCTAAAAAGCCTTATTTACAGGAGCTTCCAAAAAATGTATGTGTCTATGTTTCATGTTGATAGCAATTTCCTTTTGAAAATGTGGGGTGCAAGTGCTTGGGCACAATGCGGATATAGTTTTGGTGGGGCATCCTTGACATTTTCGTCTTTGCGCACGTATCACTAGAGTAATGATTAAATATCGGCTAAGAACATGGTAAAATTTGCACTCAACCCTATGCTACATTATGCATTCAGTTCTTGGATAGAGAAAACAATGACAAAAACAACACATTGCCATTGGGAAAACAGATTTGTTTTACATTAGTACGGGGCTGTACAGAAATTTTACCAAGAACATAATATAGGATCCTTTGGACCTTAATAAGAAATCATGTTGCCACAAGTTATTTGTTTTTTTTTTGGGTGGTACAAAGAATGAAACGATCTCTCGGGATGAGATGAATGGGTCATCCGATGACGTTTCTTTCCAAGGTCTAACAAATGGATGCAACGTACATGAGGGGCTGAGTGGCTTTGCTGACCAGTTCGGCTTTTGTTCTTGACCCCTCCCCACTTTGTCTGTTAGATAAAGAAACCTTATTTCTTCCTAGTTAAGTTTGATTTTAGCTTGAAACACTTCCTTTACCATAACGTTCTTTGGGTTGTCTTGCGAAGATCCTTATAATTATTTGCATGGTCCACACAGCCTATTCCTTACCGTTAAATCAGTGTCACTGTCCAAACAAAGAGCATCTGTAATACAGAAAGGAAGATTTAACACACAAATATGACAATAACTACAATTCGTTTGAATACAAAGGCAAATTTAATTAAACCTACCCTAGTCAATCTCTATCTTTTGTCATGTGAGGCTAATTAAATCTCTATATGCTCTTTCAACCTGAGCCTGCAATTTGTCCAAATTGTTGCTAGGTAACATGAGCTCAAAACATCTCTTGGAAAATCATGTCATGGTGTCCAAAAGATGGGAACCATTCTAATGTTACCAAAAGAGTAAGAAAAAGATGTACACACCTTGATCATATGCAAATCAGAGTAAGAAAAAAAGATAACAAAAAAATTGCAGTTTGTATTGTCTGTAGTCTGCAGTCTGCATTTTAATGTGTGGGAATATTGTCTAGAAGATGATCTTCCTACTATCCAGAGCAGCTAACTGGACCTTGAAAAACCTAGAAATCATTGAATTCATCATGAGGTAACCATTGTTACAAAGTTTTCATAGTGAACATTTTCTGTACTTGTCAGGATCATAAAAAACAATGGTGGAACTCCACCTCTTACGTACAAGAAGTTCCTAGCCATCATAAGCTCATTGGGTCCTCCTGAGCACCCTGTCCCAACACTGGATGTGCATTTATTGGGAAGTTGTTCTACCCCTATCTCTGATGACCATGAAGAAAAGTATGGGGTGCCATCATTAGAAGAGCTAGGTCTGGACATTAGAAAGATTCATGCAGCAGTTTGGCATGGTGGAGAGAAAGAAGCTCTTGTGAGGCTCAACAGACATTTAGAGAGAAAGGTATGTGTGTTATTCAGTATTATCTGTAACTCTTAAAGTTATGATTACTGAGGCAAAGGAAGGTTTCTTTTAACAGGAGGGTTTACAGTAGGGTCATGCTAATATTTGAAAGCATAACAGCTCACTCTGTATTAGAAGCGTTCTCTATCTCTTAGTTAGCAATGATGGTAGTCTAATATTTAAAAGTAATCAACATTTTTCACTGGTGAAAGAACAAGCCTTGCACCACCTTGTTTCCTCAAATCAGTCATAGAACGGTAATTGTCTTCTGAAATCGGGTGGTTGGAAACCCTATCAGCATGAATCCTTGGGTCGGCTGCATGCAAAAATTACTTGTTACCATGACTGTTCAACCTTGATTGGAGCTGATTGTGTCTTTTATAGCCCAGTTTTTTTCTAGTGAACACCCTCACCTTGTACCTTTTCACAAGGTGGCATATACCCTCCATTACTAAGCTAAATCTGGATGAAAAAAACTTTTTATTTAGGATAAATAAGATACAAGATACAAGAATGTCTTTTCTGCCCCATTGAAGATGAAACCAAGCCCACCTTAGCAGCAAATCCTAGTTTAGGTCAATTGGGGCCTGCTGTACCACCGACATACGGCTCTTATAATATTACGTAACCCTTAAACTCCCAAAAGTTACTATCACCTACATTTTCTGTATAACATCCATACATTTTGCAGGAAATAGGTAATAAGAATACCTAGATTTATGAGGTGGAAGTTGTTTTCTTTATCTCACACCAAACTCTCATGACTAATTTGCAAGGAAAATGTGTAGCAGCTAGAGGGGAGAATTAACAGTCAAATCTTTGGAGTTGAAGGGGTGAAGTTTTCAGTTATAGTTTTTGATTGTATTCTTGAGAAAAGAGTAGAATTGATTTTAATTGAATAGTGAGGTATTTTACTTTCTTTTCTTAAGGCATGGATAGCAAGTTTTGAAAAGCCCAAAGTCACCCCAAACAGCCTCTTTCCAAGCCCAACTGGAGTGAGTCCTTATCTAAGATTTGGATGTTTGTCACCGAGGTTGTTCTATCACAGACTTACAGAACTTTATAGAAAGGTTAGTTAATCCATTTATATTGCTAGGACTAATTTAAGCTTCAAAGCCAATATAAATAATTTATGCAATCCTAACCATAGGGGCCACCCCACTGTTCAAGCTGGAGAAAGTTTTGTGTCTACTATGCCTTCCTCATAGGAAGGCCAGTGGTACTATGTCACAGTTTGGTGCAAGTTTGCTGGTAAACCTTCCCCCAGCCCCCCTTCCCTAGATTTTTAGAAATGGTAGACTGTTGTGAGACACTTGTAACGTGTCTTGTGATTTACTCTGGTTCAGCCTCCACATTGGCCATCATTGAACAAATTTTATTGTTTTTTTTTTTTTTTTTTTTTCATGTTCAGTTTTGTCAGGTGTAGTTCAATGTTTTCTCAGTGTCTCAACTCTGGATTTTGACGCTGATATTGATTTGGACCTAAAAGCTATGATATCAAATGTTCTGCATTTTACACTCTTCATATCCAACATATCCTTTTTAGAATGATGTAAAATGAAAGGCGAAAATAAAGGGGGGAAAATAGAAAAAAAAAAGCAGATGCTGCCAGGGCTGGGACCTTTGACCTTCAGATTTCTATCCATTGTGCAGAGCATGTGAAGCGTTGAAGTTTTGTATCGGAATTTATTTGATTGTTATTTATACTTGTGCTATTGATCTCCTGCCCTGCCACCTACTTGTAAATTGACCAGTCTACAAACTCTGTTTTAATCAGGTTCTGCTTTTGTCACAATTTTGGCATCAACAAGAGCTTTTCATTAACTCCTCTGCATTTTACACTGCCTTTCATTTGATTCGAGGCTTTTACCAACATTTTTTTCCTTTTTCAGGTTAAGAGCAGTGATCCTCCTATTTCCTTGTATGGGCAGCTACTGTGGCGAGAATTCTTTTTCACTGTGGCTGCAAACAATCCACATTTTGACAGAATGACAACAAATCCCATGTGTTTACAAATACCATGGAAAAAGAACCCAGAAAACCTGGCAAAATGGGAAGAGGTATATGCACTGTACATTCTCCGAAGGAAAAACATATTAAGTTGAAATATTTATCTAAGATACTTGGAAAATAATTTAATTCCAAAATTTAGCAAAAGAAATGTCTTTGCTTGAAAGTGAGGTGAGATATTTTTAATTGCAAACTCAGAAAACTCTTCCGCAGCAGTTAGTGAAAAGAAGATTCTGACAGAAAGCAAGGTGTGCTACATAACTCCACTGCAGCCTTCATCAAGCCTTTTTACATTCCTTTACCTATATTTTGTATTTTGTTAAGCCATTAATTTAACATAAGAGAGTGTGTATGGTTAAAATAATAAAAATTTGGGACAACAAACCAAGCATAAAATTTGCACTAAGTGTATTTTTCTTGAATGTTTGTACTCAGGGAAGGACAGGCTTCCCTTGGATTGATGCCATCATGATACAACTGCAGCAGGAAGGATGGATACATCACTTAGCAAGACATGCTGTTGGTTGCTTCCTGACAAGAGGAAACCTTTGGATCAGCTGGGAGGAGGGCATGAAGGTAATCAAGTTCTTTGAGGAAATCTTTTAACAATCAAAGTAATTTCTAGAGCACATTAGACATGTAATTTGCTCTTAAGATCTATTTCTAATTCTCCTTACTACCTGCTATACAATTCTTATGATGTGAGTTTGGAGAATTTAATACTGGATCAAATAATGATTGCCTGTCTGATATTGTGTAGTTAGGAGAAATTGTGACCATGAAGGCAAAACAGACACTAAAAGTTATCCATTTGAATGGGTAAACCGTTCGTCATCCATTCAAATGCCTAAAAAAAAATCCCTTCAAAGTGTTCAACAAACTGTTTGGTTTGCATATCCAGTGTTCTCCTTTTTAGGCAGTAACCGGTAACATTTACTGCCTGTAGTATCTCTTATTACCATTTAGAATTGCTTGGAATTCTTGAAAATTTAACAGGTAGAAGGATTCCTGTACTGGTTTGAAAATTTATTTTACCTGTCATGCTTAAAATAAGGGAGAACACTGTATATCCGTTCAAAATACATAAGGATCCATTTGAAGTATTGCAACATCTGTTTGAACGGTTTTTGCATCCGTTCGCCAACTAGAAGTGTCTTTCCCATTTGAACGGTTTGACGTCTGCTCTGTTCATCCCTTTGAAAGGTGAAAATTGAACTTGTTGTTTCTCAACAGATATTCAGTACAGTGGTTGAAAAATTGCAATCCACATCTAGGTGATTAAACAATTAACTCAGCTGTCATTTTAAACCACGATGACAAACACCATTCATGAGATATTCAGTAGTTTCAGACAATAACTAAAAACGTTATTTCGATGAGTAATTGAAATAGTCTTTATTTTCAATTATGAGAATAAGGGCCTTGAAATTGAAAACAATGACAAATGAAATAAAAACAATACACAGCAACATCTCTCGTTCCTTGATCAAGCCATACACTCGGAATGGTTTCCAAAAGCATTAAGGCAATTTATTCATCTGTATGATTGGTAAACCAATCGTTCAACCAGTGGTAAGGATTAATAATCTGTTTATCCATTTTACTCATCCATTCGAACAGCTAAGCAAACCATTTGGATGGTTAATCAAACCATTCAAATAATTTATTCACCCGTTTGAACAGTTTGCCCTTCTGTTTGAAATTTTTACTCATGTCTGAAAGGCTGACCAAACCGTTCAAATAATTTTTTCACCTGTTCAAATGGTTAGGCAAACCATTTAAATGCTTCAAGGACCGTTCATGAAACGTTTGTCATCCATGCATTTTTGCTGTTCGAACAGTTTTCCATAGTGTCTGTTTTGGTTTTCAGGGTCACAATTATGTCTCAGTCAATCATGGGTATTAAATGTGTAAGAATGTTAATTCAAACAAGGGTTGTGAAAAAGCAGAATAAAAAATGAAACTTTGCAATGGCACATGTGCCAGCTTCTCAACCTATCAGATTCAAAACTTAAATGAATCCCTATTTTGTAACTCTTGTTTTCCTGTAGTTGAAGCAGTTAACATGACATTCAAGGTTTACTTTCCCTAAGTTGTAAATTTCCTACTATCTGATGTTTACTTTTATTTGGAGGGGTATAAACTAGGATAATATTCAACATCACCCCTTGTACTAACTTGAAAATTGACAATAATTTTGATCATGGATTTCAACTTTTTGAATGAAGGTATTTGAGAGGTGGCTTCTTGATGCAGAATGGAGTTTAAATGCTGGTAACTGGATGTGGCTGTCGTGCAGTGCCTTTTTCCAACAGTTCTTCAACTGCATATGTCCAGTTGGATTTGGAAGGAAACTTGATCCTAATGGAGATTTTGTCAGGCTAGTAATAACCAGTAATGACTAAAGTATAATTTGGAAATTATCTATTTTGAATCTAATTTTTCAGAAAGGGGAGAGAAACTATATATTATGGTCTACAATGTTACTGTAGTTGTTAATGAATGCCTTATCATTGCTATGTATCCTTGGTTTGCATGTGATGTCATAAAAATCCAAAATACAGAATAACAAGCTAGGGCTATTACAGTTCTACCTCTGAAAGACAAAAAGATCTCCTAAACGTCTTGGTAAAGTTTCCATTTTGAAAATAGAACCATTTCTAATTTCCTAATGTTTTGACACTCAACATCTAAATAGTGGCCTGGAAAGCTGATACCTATATAAAATGTAATTTTGTCATGTGACGTTTTGTTCGCTGAGCATTAGAAACTTGTGGAAGGGCAAACCTGTAACTTGGGCGAATTGTTTATCTATCAGTCTGCTACAATAGCTCACTGTCTGGGCATCAGGCATTCAATAGTTTTGATTTAAGATTCTGATTGTGTGATGGTGCAAAGCAAGGATTCATTAATTTGATATAGTATTGTGTTGTTTTTTTGGTAATGTGGTTGTTGGTGAAAATTTGTTTTGTTGGAAAATGATTTAAAACAGTTTAAGTTTCATTTTTTTTTCTTTTCAATTCACATCATTTAGAGAACAGAGAGAACAGAAAGAAAACTGATTCCTTAAACTGCTTTGAAGAATTTAAAACCAAAACTTAAATTTGAACCACAACTATTAGCAGCTTTGTGTACTCTTAAATTATATTGCCCCCCTTCAAGTTTGAAATTCCTTACCAAAAATTGCCTTGATCAGGCAGTCTTGTCTTACAATTTTGTGCTTCCAATCTCAGCTCAGATTTTAAATTTTTCTCTGACTCAAGTTGTCATATTTTTAATGGACTCCTACAGGTATGTCTGTTTTTCTGATTGCTTGTTTCTTTACCTTAATTCAGAAGACATGATTACTGCTCTAACCAATCAATTTTCATTTTATGACAACTTGATTTTCAAATTTACATCCACAATCACAATTTACTTCTTTGTTTCACAATCCTTAAGCTTCAAATTTTTAAGGTTCCAACAATATGCTGTTTTAAAAAAGTAGTGGTTATCATAACTGTAAGAATTAATTATTATAGAGTGCTTTTCAGTTGAGTGTCCTTAAAACTAAAACCAAATTAATTGCAAGGGCCAATCAGAAGGAAGGAAATACCTTAAAGAGCCAATGAGAACTGAAAGTAAAATCAGTCAAACTCCCTTAAAAGCACAAGAAAACACAAGTGATTAAGGCATGATCTGTTGTGAGTTTGCATCTGATTGGGTGAGAGGGTGATGCAAGTTTTCAACACCAATTGCAGAGCATAGTAAAGCAAAACCATAGTAACCATAGGATTGGTCTGACAATCAATTGAAAATAGCTCTAATTTTGATATTGTAATAAATGATAGTGATTGTCATTGCTAATCTGATATAACACCATTTACTTTGGATGAATTGAATGCTTGTGGAACTGGGCCCAGTTGTTCGAAGGGTGGATAACACTATCTGACAGATAACCTGCTATCCAGCTGTTAACCCTTTAACTCCCAGAAGTGATTAACATAAAACTTCTCCCTACAATATCTGTACATTTTTCAGCAAATAGGTAATGAGAACATTCAAACTCATCAGGAAGAAGCTGCTATCTTGATCTAGCACCAAGTTCTCATAACTAATTTACAAGGAAATGTGTGGCGGTTAGAGGGGAGAATTAAGAATCAGATCTTGGGAGTTAAAGGGTCAACAAAACACACTGCTCTATCCACAGGATAGCCATTTATCCAGTGGATACCACAAACTGCTGTTTGAACAACTTGGGCTTGTTCTAAAGAGCACTATTTTATGACTCATTTTCCAGAAAATACCTTCCAGTCCTGAGAGGGTTCCCGGCAAAATACATCCATGCCCCATGGACAGCACCAGAAAGTGTACAGAAGGCAGCAAGATGCATCATTGGTGTGGACTACCCTTATCCAATGGTAGACCACTCCAAAGTAAGCTGTGCTAATCTGGAAAAGCTGAGAAACATCTTTAAAGCACTCTTGTGTTATAAGGATTCAAGTAAGTCCCTTAATTTTACTTACATATTCCTATTAAGAGGTGTTGATGATGGAATCAATGATTTACCAAGATGCAAAGATCCGTACTTTAAATGTGACAGTGAGACTGTTCAATTTTTGCAACACAATTCATCATCAGAACCAAATTCTTAACCCTTAAACCCCAAGAGTGACTAGCATCTAATTTCTCCTTACAATACCACCACTGAATCACACATTTATGTCATGAGAAAAAGGGAAATGAACACCAACTAAACAAACTCTTGATTATTTGATGGATTCTCCTTGTCAGTACCTTAGTAAATGTACAGAGAACAGGATGGAGAATATGTCTTGAATACTTATGTTAGGGTGCAAAGGGTTAAACAGAAAGGCCTGGTATGCACAGACTTTCCATGCTCTCAGAGATAGCTCTGAGCTTAACTGGATCAGCTGCCTTTTGACTGGCACCCCTGGCTGTAATAGTAAATCTGAGACTTTGAAAGCTTATGAAATTGAAAATGGAGATTTCAAGGTTGCAATAAATTCACTATGTAAACAAGATTTTTAAACTTGAGGCTGATTCACATTTTCTTTGCCTGGCAGACTTGCTGATATTATTTAGGGGGGTTGGCCAGCATGAGAGCACAAGGTCACAATTATTCCTTCATAGAGCTTTGCCTAGAATGTTCTCCAAATAAGCTTTTTTCCCCCTATCTCTTGTTTACTAAAATGCTTCATCCTCATTCCTAACAGCTGCTGTATCTTCAGAGGAGCAAGATAATCTACATGGGCAACAGGAAAAATTAAAACAGCAAATGTTTCTCCTGGAAGACAAAGAAAATGAATAATGATGCCACATGGATAACTAGCTTTCATCTCATAGGTGAAATGAAATAAGAGTAGAGGGATTCGTATTGTGAGCGGCACATAGTTAATATATCAGTGTGTCACTTCTTAAAGACATTTCAGTGGCAAAAAAGGAGTGCCGTTAAAGGATTTTATAGTCCTCGCAATGCATTAGAGACAAAAAATGTAGAAAATAATTTCTTTACCAAGGATACTAAAGGATTATTGGAACTTAAATAAGCTCAGCTATGTTTTGAGCAATATGGAAATGTTGACCTAATGCATTGAACAGATGCTTGGAAAAAGTTCAGCTTTCTGCAAGAATTTATCTCTGCACCTAGTAGATTTTGATCAATGTTAGCAAAGTCTTCACTTATTATTTTTATTAATTTTTTTTTTTAAATTTAAAACCAACATTTGTTACACAATTAATGGAGCAACATGTAGTACATATCCATACCTTATTTATCATCAACATCTGTTCCTTTTTCCTACACAAAAGCACTGAAATTGAACACTTCTCAAACAAGAGATCACATGAGGGATAGTAATGATTGGATATGAGTATTGTAATTTTTGATCAAATCCATTGTCACTCCAAGCTGGCACTCATAATTTTGTAGTTTAATACTCATAAGGTAATTGCCTGTCGTGTCATAACGTCTTGAAGATGAGAATCAATTGTTTTGCTCATTTCACAGCTATTAAAATCATTTGTTGAACATTTGTAGGTCTGCAATTTATGATCCTCATTAGTTACATGCACACACCTCTTATTGATTTATTGTGCCCTAACAAAATGGGGACATTATTAAGTATATATAAACCCCTTCAGGTGCCTAGTATTTCAGCTGATAATATCCGTCACTGAGGTATTCTTAAAAAAATGAGTGTTTGGTAACGAAGTGAAGCTTTGAAGGAATACAAAAAATTCAAAGCACAGTCTGTTAGCCAGGGACATTATCAGCAAACATATCAGTAAGCCAAAAGGATGTTTATTTATTTTAAAACCCACCTCTTAAAATCTGTATTAATAGGACTCTTTTGTGCATGTCAGAGCATCATTTGAGATTGCTTTTTTATGTCACAGCCAGTGGGCTCTACCAAACTAGTTCATTTTTCTTCCATGTGAAGTAGCGAAGATGAAAAAGTGAAACTCTTCAGCTGGCCTTTTTTCTGCTGGCTTTATTTCTTTTCATTGAAAACAATCAATGGACAAATGTGGAGTTGTGCAAAAATTGTACTGAGTTATTTAAGCAAAAACTCCAGCTAGTGAAGATGGTGGGAGGCTTGCAAGAGAAGCTTCTCAACCCTATTCCTTCCTCGACTTTATCTCTGGATTAGCATGAGGCAGAGGGTCGGCGATGCTTTACACTCTGGGATTTAGGTACGTCAAAGGATTAAATGGAATTAATTTTCCTTGATGTCCAGAACAATAGTGTCTTTTCCTCTGAGCATAGTATGATCCAGGACATTGAATAATGGCAGTGCTGGATTTTTCTAAACAATACCTAGCTGATTACGAAAAAAATCAAGTCTTAAAATTTGGTTTTATGTTTTCCTGATAGTCAAGAGAGAGCCCGACAAGTGCTTACCCCACAAACATTTTATTTTTCTCTCCTGGATCAATGTTAACCACTGTAGTCCCAACTAACTCCCAGGGCTGGAGGCTCAAAACCTAAACTCCCTAACCCCTGACCTCCTCAAATCCTGGGTAAAACGTGTGCAGAAATAATATTTCTTCATTAGAGTGATGTCAAGCTTAGAGGCTATTAGTGTTTTGAGCCTTGTTCTTTCCAAAGAAGCAACATTTATGCAGTGGAGTTGGGTGGGGTAGAGATCTGTACTGCTTACTGCATTGGCTGACATTGATTTCCTTAGCATAAAAAATTCCTATTATTGTATGTAACCCCTCCCAGATAGAATTTCAAATCTTACCTTGCTTTGCCTTTCTGTATGTCACATGCTAACTTTTGGCTTAATCATGAGCCACATATAAATCCTTCTCCACCCCCAGATTGAGTTTAACCCTTTCACACTCAGGAGTAACTGAAATGAATTTTGATTTACAAAGTGATAACTATATATTAATGTGGAAAGTGATTAGAAGAAAGAAAATCATCAGGTTGGTGCTTTATTCAACATCAAATCAAACTCTCAGCACTAATATTAAGGGAGATGTGTGGAAAACAGTGCACAGAATTTAAACTTTACATAAGGGGAGTGAAAAGTTGGGGAAAGTTTTAAGTTGAATTGTAGAGCTCTCTTCCCTCCTCACCAAGTAATGATTTCACATTATGACATTGAATAACCTTGGTTTAAATTGCTTTTTTTAATAAAGATTTCAATTCTTCAGATTTCTTCAATTAAGTTATAATTTACAGAGGCGATGTTTGTTTTTTAGACAAATATTTTAAGCCTTTGAACATGAATTTACATCATAATAGACTGGGAACCACCAAGACATTTAACTCTGATCTGTGAGAATGTGCAAAGGATAATTAGAAAAGTTACCCCAGAAAGGGTACAGAGTCAAGAAGAAAGCTGACACTGATACAAGCTTTTCCTTAGGAATGACAGCAACAAAACTCTATGAAACTACATCTTGAAAGAATTGTTATGGATTCAACAGAACTTGTAGCAAATTGAATGGGATTAACACTATTGCACCATGCATGACCACCCTAGAGTCATCTTTTCCTCTGATGACATGCATTTCCCTTGAAGAAAAACTTATCAATATGATAAAATATCCTTCACGGAGTGAATTACATCAGTAATAGAATAATTTAAGCCTTAGTGGCTGTTTTGTAGCTTTTCTATTCCTTGTTTCCCAGTTGGAACACTTATATCTGCATTATTTACATTTTTTTTAGACTTAGATTCTCTAATCATTCCTGTTTGCTAGACAATCAAACTTCATTCCATCAGCCAGTCCACTGACTTGTCTTGACAATGAAATGGAATTGGAATGGTGTTGCTTGTGCCATAATTTCATTGGAACTGCGCTAAAAAATAATAAAAATATGTGATCTCAGGTTTTTCAGAACTACTATTTTTGTGATATCATATTCCGTGAGTACGATATTGTCACATAGCTACCTTTTGTCTTCAAGGGAACACGCCCCATATTCCTCGGATGCAATATAAGCCCCAAGATTACACGAAATTTTATCGATAGAACATCGAAATGTTGCCAAAAGTACTCGAACATTACAAACGTAAGAACTCAATTACTTTAAAGTAAATACAACATCATTACCGAAAAGTGAAATAGCTGTAATTTTTTTTTGGCGATGTAGAGTCAATTTAGAAAGAGAAGAGAAACACGTATTAAAATCTAGAATGGAATGTACTCATAAAACATTCCATTACAGAAATGAACGCGTTCACTTTAAATAAAATTCAACTGGCGACACGTGCCTCTAACTAGTTTGAGACCGTTGGGTAAACAGTTCTTTTTCAACGAGGTCGGTGATCAGTAATCCAATGAGTTTTTTTGACAGAAGACAAACAAATGAGCATTCGGTGACAACTGTTCACTGTGGGGACATCCTTAGGGAATAATCGATACACCAGGATAATGAAAACATCACCAATAAACCTCTTAAGGCAACGTAAAAATTTAGATTTTGCTCTGTTTGTCACGAAAGGAAATTCACGGATGAATTACAGTACAACTGCTGTGTTACACAACCCGTTATATCGATTTAGTGCTTATAAAACTACTGACCTTAATTGAAACGCCTAGTTATTGTTTGCGAACGAACAAGTCTATACTTGTTTGTTTCGGGATTGATCTTCGTTTAGTGCTTCGTGGTCCCTTTTCACTCGTTCTTTGTCTTTTGGCTGATCGCAGAAAATCTGAAAGGAGAGATTACAAAGGATTTATAAAAACCAATGCAAATCGATACCAAGGGCCTGGTTTATTGTCGCATTTGACCCAGCTGACAAAAGACTATTATCATTACTACATCTAATAACCATAGATTGGTCACATATGAACGAACGAAATGACAGTTATTTCTCACGGAATGAACAAAATTCAGTGGAATCTTGAAAAGGAAAGTTGCAAACAGATCTAGCGTTCAGCTGAAACACGATCATCTCGTGCTAAACATGTCACGTCGACGATCATAAGAGAGTTAGTTCAACGAGCCAAAGAGAAGAGTTAAATATCAACAATACATTACACAGAAATATTTCTTGACTCACCCGTTATTTTTCCTGTAGATTTAGTCTTCCTGATTTGCCTCAGGCGAGATTGTGGGTGACTTTTGCCATTCATCGATACAGTCTCTTGTGTAGAGCTCGAGCCATCTGATGTCGACGTGCCTAAGCTTGTCGTAGTAGTAGGTGTAGTAGTAAGTTCCGTTGAAGCGCGACTGAATCGTTCCGGTGTTTCCATTTCACTGACTTGGTCAGTAAAACGTGAAACTGTTCTATCTCCATTCACTTTAGGAAATAGTCTCTCCCAGACGTACTTTCCTACTAAAGGAACACCATTTTCAAAATCGAAATTCCACGTCTGATTGTTGTCCACGCTAAGTTTCTCCTTCTCGCGGAGTAAATCTGCTCGCAATTGTACGTGGTCAACAGGCCCAAAGAGCTGTCTGCAAACTGAACGGCTGGGAGTGATGTCTGGTCTCACTCTTCGAGGACACTGTGGTTGAAAAATTGCTTTAGTGGCAGTCATATCTGTTACCCTGTATTCTGACGTTTATCTATCGAACGACTTCCTCGAGCACCTCTGACAGTCTCGTACTACGAAATACGCAACAAGAATAAATAGCCGTGAGTAATGTTACACTTCACCTTATTGGTCGATGGTTTGTTTCTATGACTACAACTTATTGTTACTCCGTTTTGGCGCGAGAAATTCTTTCACAAGCTAGTCGAGGAAACAATAGATATTTAAATGATATTACAAACAACTTCCTATTGTCCTTTCGTTGTCTTTTTCTTAAGTGAAAACGAAAGAGCGAAAAGTCTATTCAAAGAATTAAATCAAGTTTTGAAACTTCTCAAAAGTGATGGTACTAGGCACGAGAATCATGTTGACATAATTTTGAGAACTTTCGTCGTCAGCAACGGAGAGGCATTAATATCGTCTTCTTAAGCGCTCAAATTTATCAGTAAAAAATTTTATGCTCTGAGTCACATCCTCGGTTGAAATAGACGTACAAAGACATGATTTAAAGTTGTAGACTGCAGATGTTATCAATCAAACCGACACGTGTGTATTAACATTTCAATAGACCTTTGAGCAATTTGCCACCATTCGCATTACCACCACAACTTGTAACATTCCAGCCATCGGCAACATAGCCACAAGATTCAAATAACCCAACTAAACAACGAATTAGAAAGCTTTTGGTCACTACTTTTCCTCTCTAGATCGTTAAAATCAGCTTATGGTCGCTAAAGCTTGTATGATGAGCACTGTTTGTTTCTTTTTTTGGAATAAATTGCCTTTTTCTTCAATGTAAACTTTTGTCCGTTAAGTTCTTTGTTTCTAACTGGCTGCACGTGGCGTTAGGCTTACAAGAATACAATTGCACGGGCTAAACAAACGAGTTCGTAACTTCATAAAGATTCATTTCCCAAAGCAATCAAACACATGCCATATCCTTAATTAAGAAAATAGTTCCTATTTAGTGTAACTGCATGAGACAGCATAAGAAAATGGTGGTTAACTTTTGACAAAATGTTACTCCGTGTCGCGGCTTCCAGTTCAGGTATGGGTTGCATTTCCAACTCGAAAGGTTAGCGATCGTTTCACCGAAAAAAAACTGACATTTCTTTAATAACATACCAAAAAGTTAGCTTTTGTTTGTTCCAAACCAAAATCAGTCGTGTTTAATGAAAAGGAAGATATGAAAGAATTAAAACAATGACTACAGCCAGCTTTTTCAGTTATCCGCTTCATAGGAGCGGCGTGTTGGAGCAGATCTTTTAAAAAATGTGTTTAGTTCACTTTTTAAGTGGTTCACAGGTGCAACTTTCCTGTTTCTAGAAAAAGCAGAGTACATCTTTGAGTAGTTGCCCCGTGGAGAGGAATAACTTTTAGTTTTTGTTAGCCTAATGAACTAGCCTAGAGATTGAAACTGTACCAGCTAGAAAACGACTATCACCCCCGTTTTTGAATCCTGGGAAAAATCACGTCAAAAAATTTGCACAGATCGCGCGATTCTACTGGGTCTGGTGAGGGGAAAAAATATTGTTGAAATTTGGTTTAAATTAAATGGCGAGCTTAAAAAAGCAATCAGAGCGACGAACAATACAGACACGTGCGACGTTAATTATAAGGTATAAGAGGATATGTGTAATTATTTGCAGTACTTTGTGTTACGGATGAATAGCTGTCGTTTGCTGCCCATGAGAAGTAGTATGTCAGTTAAACAAAAGTAACATGTCAGAGCCATGAAATATAACCTGTCAGGATGATTACGTTTTGGGATAAAAAAAGATTATGGCATATGGAGGATCCCAAGTGATGTATTTCGGCATCAAATCAATGCAGTTTCAAAGAGAGCTAGACAAATTAAACTAAGTGTCATCGGCAAATGCTCTAGGTGTTGCTCAGATATGTTAATCATTTTGTCCTAAGCGCGGGATAAAAAAAAAAAAACTCTTAATACCCCACGAGGAATTGCCAAGATCAAGAATTACCCAAGACCTTCGGATGTCGATTTCAATAGCATTACCTCTTCATAGTAGATGTTGGGTCTAAAATGTAAGACAAACAATCAATCTTTCTTCTTATATTCTTAGATGTTTGGCTCATTGTGTCTGTGAAGCATTGAAGTTTTCAGTCTCCAGGGACACGTGGTTTTCTTAAGCAACAACTGCCTGAAGTCGCGTGCTATGATAATAAGTTGGAAGTCCATGGGGATGTGGCAGATCAGCAGCTTTGAGTGAAATTATGTCATCAGGCGGCACGCGCGCCAATAAGTTCAATTAACGGGTTGTTTACTTTGCACGAGCAACATGCCTACGCAGAAAAACAGATTTCAAGAAAATATTTTAAGAGCCATTGGAAATATATTTAGTGTTATCTATCTCTTTACTTGACGTTGTCTTGGTTAACTAAACAGCTCAGGGGGGTCCTGAGCTCATATGAGGGCTACTTTGAATGTTTTCGCAAATAATAAACAGGATAGAAAGCATAATCTAGAGAGCATACGTGTGGAGACAGCGAGGTTCTCAGTCAGTGGTCTTTATAATGACTATTGTTCAAAAAAAAAAAAACTCTCGCATAATTTGCCAGTGATTGATGAAAAGGCCCCGTTTTATTTTTTTATTTTTTTATTTTTATGATTCACGCGTCCACTGACTGAATAATAGAACCAAAATCTGGTACCAGAAGCAAGTTTACTCGTAGATCTGAGCTGCAAAGCGTGCGCGGCTTTTAACCGCAGCTGGTGAGCACATGGTCCTACTCTCGGCTTACCTACACCTTTTCGACCTCGCCCAGGTTTCATCTTCCTAAGCTTTTCGTTAGAAACGTAATTAGGATGAACGGCTAATATCGGAGTCAATGATAAAAGAGTAAAACTGCCTCAGCTCATCTGCTCATGTCTAATACTTTTTTCCGGATTCATAAAATTTATTTAGTCGCTTCATAATTTGGGAAATCTTGTAATAGTTAGCTTGGGAAGAAACTTTTTGCAGTGTCTGCGTCCATTGCTTGACTTGAAAAGTGCAACTGTCTTACACTGGACTACGGTTTTGACAAATCAAACGAAGCATGTAATGCGCACGTATTGCATACCTATGTGGTTTTGAAAGACTTTTTTAAATGTCCACTTTATTGTAGAGGTGGTTCCGCTCGCTTGTTGCACGCATCGTTCACGTCAATAAAGCTGCGTCACGGTTTGTAAGCTTAAGAATAAAAAAATTTCAGTTTGGTTCTTTGTTACCTGTTTCTACCTTCTCCAATGCTTACTAACCTTGTTTCTTTGTGATTCCGGCATACTATTACACGCCTTTGTTAGGACCTCCACCGTATCTTAATAAATTTGCGAGGCGCAAAATAGAAAAATAAAACAACTGAAAATATAACGAGCTCTTTAAGAAAAAATCTTACTCTAAGCGCGAAACCCTCCGCCAAAGTAACTACAGAAAGAAACTTCTATTATCAGTGGCACCAAGAATAGGGTAGCTTATGGTGTACTGTGTCCCTGAAAAAACAACGAGATTGTTCAAATTAGTAATCAGCTCCTCATCATCAACGCCGTTCAAACAACCAAAAGTAAAGCATAGTCAGTTGGGAAGTCGTCTCCAGTCCTCTTTTTAGCTCGGCTAAATATCAACAACCTCTCACACAAGTTGGTTACAAGCTGTCGTTTATGTTTTCTCTAGCCTGACAAAGATCCGCCTATCATTTTATCGTGCAACATGGCAATATGAAGCAACATAAAATATCTCTCCATCTTTTTTGCAAGCGGCTTAGTGAGTGAGTTTCAAGATTTTCGGGTTTTTGCTTTTGCAGATTTTGCAGATGGCGCATGGCAAAAGAAGAGGATCATGTTTTGTTTGATTTTGTTGTTGTGTCAGTCTTTTGGTTGGAAAGGCATTACCTTCCCGACACGATTTGATTTGAACCGGGAAAGGTGACTCAGTTAATTATGAATAAAATGTGCTTTTACTCAACGGGTAATAAAAGTTGAAAATATTACATTTCCTTCTGAGTTTATTTCGAGCTCAGCTTAAACAGTCTTTGAACATAAAATTGCAAAAAATTTTTTAGTAGTTCAAACTTCTATCCTCTCAAACCGCAAAAGTTTGCTCTCGCAAAGTGCAAGGAATCGCAGTTCGCATCGCGGTAGTTTTTTCCAAGAAAAGTTATGAATTCCTGAGTCTTAGAACGTGTTCTACCCGTTTATAAACTATGCTAAATTTTATTTAGCCAATTCATCAACTTTAAAACACCACTAAAATCTACAATGATGAACCAGACAAACTCAGAACCCTTTGAAAGAAGACCTCACTCGAAGCATCTATTCACCTGGAGAACGTTACGGATCTCTTTTAAAATCATTCATTCATCGATGTTCGGTTTAATAACACCACCTTTCTTTTTTCCTTAAGTTGACGCAAATTATATTGACGCCATTGTTTTAAAGCTCCTTAATCAAATAAGCAGGTTTTAATCACACACAGAGGACAAAGCTATATAAGGAATGAAAAAGAAAACACGTGTTGCACTTTTAACTCGTTACCTAAGCGATGAAGCATAGAACTTTGCAATTTAAAATTTTAACAATGCAGTTTCCTTTAACTAAGTTCTATTCAGTTTCACTGAATTCGAATTTTATTTTCCAGAACAATAGAAAAACTTGTCACCCTCGCCACGTTTTGAAGAGGGTGTTTTAAAATCTTTTCTCTGCGATGCGAAAGCGTCAGTGCATTCAACTGTGATCTCATTGAACTTCACGAGGGATGCAATTATTTTTTTCATTTGCAGTCATGGACCGATGGCTAAAGGCTCCATTCGTTAACGATAGAACGGTTACTCTGGATTGGGAAGCTGATACGAGTTTCTCCATACCGGGTACATAACGGAAACTTGCCTCTCAGCTGTTAACTGAATACGTAAAACAACACTATTATTAGGATAGATAGACAAGTATATATGGATACAGTATCATAAATGTAAAGCAGGAATTTGCGTGTGACGAGAAATCATTTAAATCACGGCGAGCCACTAATCCAAGTTGATGAGATTGTAGACATCATTATTTTTATCAGTAAAAGCTAACTAAATGTTAGAGATAGTTACCTTTCCTATTTTTTTTTCTTTCATGTCATAAAACTGTTGATTTTCTTCAATTTAACAACAATGTATCTAAGTGGCGACATGAGAACGTTCATTCTTGTATTTGTTTCTTGTACTCAGCCAATGGTATCACTTCCATGTTTCCTCCTCTTGTTAGGAATGATGGGTAAAGAAAATAAACTTTTTAAGCCACCAATTTATGTCCTACAGATGAGGGCAGAATTGTTGAAAGTTAAGAGAAGGTTTTTCAAGAGGTTTCTCTTGGGAGAAAAGTAAAGTTATTTGATTTCGGCCGAAGGGAAGTAATTAATCAATCTCGTGCCAACTCAATCTCAGGAAAAAATTGGTCGTCTCAGAAAACCTGTCTCCTGTCTCTCGATTCCTAGCTGAATTAAGTAATGCCACGAAAATACAGAGGGGTAAGTTTCTAAAGAAACTGTGGTGGTACGTCGGTGGGGGAATATCGAGATAATTTTTTGGATTAATATCAGTATCTGGGCAACTGCCCACCTACCCCTCCCCTAACTCAACAACAGTCAATTGACAACAATTTAAGGTTAATGTTGGGTTAGGGGTGGGGCAGGTGGGCAGTTACCCAGATACTGATATTGATCCAATTTTTTTTATCAAGTGAGTTGATAAGGTAAATTGGTCCCCGTAAAGAGTTTCTAAAGCTGACGTTTCGAGCGTTAGTCCTTCACCCGAGCGAATGACGAAGGACTCTGACGAAGGGATAGCTCTCGAATCGTCAGCTTTGGAAACTCTTTACGGAGACAAATTTACTTATGCCCAAAGAACACGAGCAGCTTACCTTTTCTTGATTACACTCCATCAGGGGGGGCTTTTTTCCCGAACTCAATCTATTCAAAACCCTGCTAGCCAACGTGTAGCCGTACCCACCCCTCCAAAGGTGAAACGGAGGCGAGGGAGCGGCTGGGGGGGAGGGGGGGTGCGACTAAAACCCTGCACATTTACACAGTGCACACCACGCGAAAGCTTGCTGTGCTGGGAAAACAAAGGGTGACTGAAACACGCCGATTTGCTTACTGTTAGATTGAAGAAAATAATAGGATTACGGATATAAATTAATGTGATATCAGATGAACAGTATTAACTAACATGGAGAAAACGCACCCTTTTTTCTAAAATTATTAATTACCCGTGACGGGTCGATATAGACATACACACCGACAATTTGTGAGGTTCGTTTTATATGCATCGGGTCACCGACTGAACGCCCTTAGCTAAATATCAATTTCTTAACTTGTTTTGTTTGCGGTTAGAAATGTACATAACAAACGTGATTTTGAAGTGTAGAAGATAGCTCACGAAAGACTTCGTGCCAGTTTGTGTTTTATTTTATATCCTACCCACCCGAATCAGAACAACTGAGTCTAATGGCCCCATTTTCCCAAAAGCACGAATCAAGTTAACTTAAAAGCTTTAAAAACATTTTCGCAAGATTCAGGAGCTGACAGCTAAGCGGTGAACACATTAATCATTTCAAAACAATAATTAAATGCTTCAAAAGCGGTCTCTTCTGTACCCCCACTGAGATGAGACGACACTTGCCGACACTAAGCACCTTTGCCTGGTGTTTATTTCCTATTCCATTTGGTATTGAGAAATGCTTTCCGTACTTGAGATTGACCACGAACAATCCAAGGGGTAGCGACCTCACCGCGCGTATTTCTGTCAATTTATTGCAAACTCCTCTGGCATCTTTGAACGACACTTGCCGACACTAAGCACCTTTTCCTGGTATTTCTTTCCTTTTCCATTTGGTATCGAGATATGCTTTCCGTACTTGAGATTGACCACGAACAATCCATGGGGTAGCGACCTCACCGCGCGTATTTCTGCCAATCGATTACAAACTCCTCTGGCATCTTTGAGAATTTAGGGTTGTGTCCTCGTGTACCGGTACACAAAGGAAGGAAACATTAACGAACTGCGTCATAACTCCATGTATGGTTATGAAAACAAAAGGAATTCCCTCGTGTACCGGTACACCAGGACAGCCCCGAATTTAGCGTGTGGCCGTTTCTTCGTTGGGAGTCTTGTACCCAGACAGAGCTGGTGAATATTCCCAACTCATTTTTAAGATTCGCATGATATATCAATATAACTGGGTTAACTGATGGAGGAAATGCCGGAACCAAGAGCACAAATATTGCAATAGGACTTGCTTCATTTCTCTCAATACAGGAGAAGAACTGGGGAGGCTGGCTTGCTTTTGTAATTTTGTTAGAATTTCGTGAGAGGTCTGGTAGCTAGTACTAGTAGTATCGCCGCCATATTGAAAGTGGTAGAGAGTTTTGAGCGTTTGCAGGATCGTCAGTAGTTAATTTGGGCTATTAATACGTTGAGGCAGATAGGTATGTGACATAATATGTTTTATCTTTAAAACAGGCCTTGAAATTTCATAATTTGGAACATTTTCACTCCGTTGATGCACATATGAAGAGGATTTTGTGCGTATGGTTGTATAACTGTTCTCAAATATTGTTTAACCTGTGCTGTTTAACCTGTGCCGTTTAGCCTGTTCTATTTCATTGGTTATATGGTCTGAATTACCCTGTAAACTGATGGTAAGATAGGTAACAACTTAAAAGTTACTTGTAAAGAACAAAATTATGATTACTAGTAGCAACTTAAAAGTATTTGTACAGTTCTCTTATCTTAAATGGCAGACCTTATTATTGTTATTTTATATGCCTGTAGGCAAGCCTTCTCAATTTTATTAACGTGTATGGAAGGGAGCTGAGAGCGCTGTTTCTTCATGTACGTTAACGTTTGTGTGACACGAAATTTTTTGGCGTATTTATTAAGCTTATCATTTTTACAAGCCAATTCTGATAGAAGGAAAAATCTCACGGTCATTTTCGGGTCTAAAAGTTCCCTTATTTTGTCTTCAAGTGTCCTGTAGACTGGTAAGGAGTTACCAGGTGATGACAAAGAAAACTGTGAAGTCTCTCGCATCTCATGTACTTTTGTTGAAATACTCTTGAAATAATGTCCAATAGTGATGTACCCTTACCTTCAGCAAGCTCTACCTAGAGTTGTGATACATCATACTCAAGTAGTAAAATAGTAAGAAGTGGAAGTTGTGAGTACAGTTCAGTCCTACAAAGGAGAACTGTGTTCATCAAGGGAAGATTTTGACAAAGACTGACTAAAAGGCTTTCTTGCCTGCGGTGTTCAGGTCAAGATTTGAACAAAATATTTCCGTTACTGATTGTTTAGTTTGTTGCATATCTGTTTTGTTTTCTGTGGTGAAATCTATGTTAAGAATGGGTAGCTGTGTTCCTTTCTGTTACTGTAACATATCATACATTACCCTTGCTCAGTGCTCTAGAATTTTGTTACTGTTGAGAAATTATTGTAGCAAACTAAAAACTAACTTTAAATGGCAACATCAAAAGAATTGGCTGTATCACAAAGCACAACGATTTTCACTGAGAAGTCAATAGCTATTTTTACTGCAAATTGTTCATCTCCTTGAGTGTCTCAAGGGTGTAAAATAAACAACAATAAGAAGCTCACCATTCTTTGCTTGCAAAATGTCAGCCGAAAAGTATGTGGAACAACAGTGTCCAGTGTGGAAACAGGTCCCTTAATGGGCATTCTTTTTAGCTGAATTCATAGGCCATCTGATTTGATCAGTGGCATGTGTTGTAACAGCTGTCTTCAAAGCTGTGACAGAGCATATGGCTAATGACTTTGAAGTAGTAAGATCTCCTTGATGTTGATGATCAAAACTGCAGTCATCGAGGCTATACAGCTTCACAAAACAATGTATAACAAGACTGACTTCAACAAGTGGATCTACAAACCCTACAAAAGTGGCCCATGCTCTTCAAGCATGAAATAATCTTGCACATGAAGAAACCCCTACAATGACGTTGATGTTTTGCCTCTCTTCTTGATTCCTCCTTTCTCCACCTTAGTTGCTGCAGTGTATTCACAGTTTTCTATGTCACAGCTATGTGACATAATCATTTTGGCTGCATGCTAGATAGCGACACTTCTCAGCTGCCAAATTGTACTTTCAATACGCAAAAATGGTCAAGGAGAACTCGCTAGGTCAATTGTTTCAAATTTTAGATACAGCTATCAACCAGAAAAAGAAAAAAAATTTAGTGTCATAGGCACTTAAAGAAAAGATAGTCATGCACTCAGACTTGCTCTCTCTCCTAGGAATATGTCACGAACTGTTCTGCCCCATCCAAGCAAAGTCCATGTATTTCTGTCTAAGCTTATGGGTGGGACAATGGTTTTCTGGATGCTGTGGAGAGCAAAACATGACTGGGCAGACATAGTGGTAAGCACATGCTTGGGCCTTGTGGAGTACAGTACTAGAATGTGACAACTGAACTGAGTCTAAACAAGTTCTATTCGTTGGTTGACGACTCAAGTTAATTTTTACTTTGAATAGGAAATGTGTTGTGTGGTCGATAACTTTTTTCTCCCTTTAAGTCTGTTATTCTCAGCTTGTTGCTTGTTTTTGTTCTTAATTTTTTTTTGTAATTATGAATGTAGTTAGGTACAATAGTTTGTTGGGTCTATGGAGGCCAGGTTCTACTGTTTCTGGAAAAGAAGTTGTGAGCTCCTTTAGTCCAGCTGATTCCTATTTGATTGATGTACCCGTTGTAGTTTAATATGATTTCAGGTTGAAAATGATATTAAGCTACCAGGAGTTTGATTTGCATGCTTTCTTTTCTCTTTGTGTTTTTTTCTTTGCTTGTTTAGTGTTTGAAATGCTATAAAAGAAAACTGAAAGTAAAATTGAATGTGCAAGTGGACTCCAGGGGTGCAAAATGTTTCTTTTAGCTTGAAATTATTTATATTATTTATTTATAATTAAATGTTTTAATCAGTACCTATTGCTGTTTTTATTTGTAACAGAATAATTTTATCATTTTTTGCCTTGATAATGATGTTATTTTTATGTTGAAATGTTGTTGACTAGCCTTTTTTTTAGCTTTTTGAGTGTATTATAATGTTTTTATGAAATATTTCATGGCAATTTTTTTAAAAATATTTTTCTAAATCACTTATTCTTCATCTTTGTGTAAAGACTATGGAAATGTACCAAGAACAAAGGAGAAAACAGATGGAACTAAAGTAGATTCGTTTGACCTGAAATGGATTTTTGATCACTACCTATACTTCAACAGTCCCCTCCCTGGAACAGATTTTAGATGCAGCTCAAAACTTTTAGTTGCATGAATTTGTGTGGTCAGCAGTCAACTGGATGTCTTTGCATTATGTTTGCAGGGGCACAAAGTTATGTTTGAAATGGAAGATGCAGAGAAAGCAAGAAAGAAGGGACTGGAACATCATTGATAAAGTGTTTATCTATTAACATTTTGCTTGTATTGTGGAGAGCTGAGGTACCTAACTTAAAAGTGAGAAAATGGAAGTGGATGCAACAATTATTGCAAAGGGGGACTAATCAATTTTGATGAGATTAAATTGGATAGTGTTGATGTGGTTTGATGTATCTACAGCAGTGATCAAGTAATTTTGTAAATATATCATGTACTTTATGTGGAATATTTTGTCTTGGTTTGTTTGCTTTTCTGTTAGTATGGAAGACATAAATTAATCTCTGTACAATTAAGAAAACATCTTCCTAAGTTCCCCATAGAGAAGTTTATTAGGATCTTTTGAACATTTCTTGGGTTGTTTTTCTTTTTTCACCAAAAAGTTTTGACTTAGGGGTTTTATGATCTTTTTTAGCATTTTTTTTTCACAGTTTTCTGCTAAAATGAGCTTTGTTTTTAGATTTGGTTCCCATTTTGCTTTTCTGTAACATTTAACAGTGAAGCATATACATGGTACAACAGATCAGTATAAAGATCATTGTGATTTCGTTGAAGTTACATATACCTGTGAATAGCAGAAACAGTCATTACCCAAACATGTTATTTTTAATTTTGCCAACATCTCTTACAACCTTTTTAGGCATTTTATGTAATGCATGAAACATTTCTCCATTGAAAATTATTTTGATCACCTTGCATGATCATCCTTCAGAACAATCCAGTCTCTCGGTGTGGTTTATATGTGATACTGTCATGCTTTATTGCTACACTGAATGAGGGGAGCAAGGGCATTCAGGAGTTGTGAGGCTCAATCTTGTTGCAAGAAATTTTGTCTGAGACTGTAGCTTTCCAGGCAGCTTTTCATATCTTGGGACCAGCCAGAATAATTTTCTATAAGGGGTCAAAAGTAAGGAATTTTGGTGCTTGGAAGCTAAAATAATTCAAGTTTGTCACCTTGAAATTACATTTGTGTGCAAGGAATGATACAGACTGGGTTACTTGGAACACTAATGTTTGGACTGATTGGACAGCACAGAGATGATAATTTATCTCTCTTGATCAAGCATGGAAGTGAACATTCAGGCTGGTTTTCGGAAAGTTAAGGGTTATAGCTCTTCAAGCTAGTACATACATAATTTTTTTTATTAAAACAGCTTATTGAAAATGATTGCAATAGTGGAAAAGTTTGAGTTGAAAATAACCTTAAAGAAATGAACACTCCAAATCAAAATTCCACGTGATTACTCCTATTATTACATATAATATTTCTTTAAACCAATTTAAACAGTTATGTTTGGTGTCCCTTTCAAGAATTTATAACCCAAAAAGATCTCTGCAAGAGGGGAAAGCCTCTATGAATCATAATATAGTTTTATGTCCCTAATAAGTTTAATACCTGAAACTTGCTACAGCTCTCAGAGATGCAATGTTAAGACTCTTGCAATTCATTTGAAGTATTCTCTTAAAAACTACACCACACCACTTGTAATGAAAGTGGATCAAAAAATGATGAATGTATGTCATCTTTGTCCAATTATATTGTTACATGAATTGAATTTTTTTTTTTTTTTTTCGGAAAATGAACACACTCAACCCACCATGTTACTACTGATTGAAACATTACAGTAAAGGGCCTCAGATTTACATTACATTTATTTTACAGTGTTATGTAAAGCTTGAACTTCTTCATACACTTAGGGTGTATATATTTTATTGTATATTCTATTGTGAAAAAACTACAAGCATTAATTATGTAAAGTGTGCCACTGTGCAATTGCTCTCCGTGGCGATGCCAGCATGTCTGTCCAGTGTTGCTGATCTGGACCTGTTGATAATTCACCTACAACACATTTTCCAATGACTTCGCTGCGACCAACACGATCATAGTCCAACACAGAGATTATCAAAGATGTTTGCTCTATGTTCTCAAAGGGAACTTGAAAACTAAAGTTCTCATTGAAGTAAGGGTTAAGTGTTCTCTTCTTGACGGTTGTCTTTTTCTTCTTGAGTTTCCGTCCATCTTGAATCAAGGCTATTTTGACATAAGGATCTGTAATTTCAAGAAGGTAACTTGGAGTCTGGTTGTTTTAAAGAAACATTTGCCTAAGTTATTTCACTGAAGTCTTCAGTCCCTAACAACGATCAACAATTCTGACTACTTTTTAGGATAATCTTTAGTGCAGTGTATTGTATGGGTTGAGACATTCATCAAGTCGCTGAGCAAGCATAAAGTGATAGATTTTAAAAATCTTACCAAATTCATAATAACTTGACTTAATTATTATTTAACTGTTAAACCTTACACAGACCATTTTTCAGTGTTCCAAACTGCAACTGTTTTGGTCACCAGGGCAAGTTAATGAACAATTTGGTAATTTGGTTTGAAGTCTATTGTTAAGTCATAAATTTGGCATCTAGAGTTTCATGGTCTATGAACAAGCTATAACATTTTTATCATGGTTCAAAGGTAAACTGTGCAAACCAGTGTTTGTCAGCCTTTAAAATAGCTATATCAATTATGTAACAGGCATTGTTCATATGCTGAAGTTAAAATACACTAAACATTTGCTTAAAATTGATTATATCTAATATTGCATGAAATGCCCTCCAACTTTTTCTCCACCAACTAAAAGTTTGTAGTTTCAGCTTGTCAAATGGCAAGTTTGAAACAGGTTGAATGCAAAGCCCTGTCTTTGAAGCAAGTAACAGCTTTGGCTTAACATTTTGTTACAGGTTCCTCACTGAAATGTTAGCAAGGGTGACTATTAAGAAACCAGTTTTAACCCTTTAACTCCCAGAAGTGATCAACATGAAACTTCTCCTGATAATATCCTTACATTATCCAGCAAACAGCTAGTGAGAAGTTATTAAAACTTATTGGGTAGAAGTTTTTGTCTTGATCTAACACCAAATTCTTGTAACTAATTTACAAGGATTTGTGTTGCAGCTAGATGGGAGAATTACCAATCAGATCTTGGGAGTCAAAGGGTTTATTAAACCCCTCAAAGTTATCTAAACTGTGGAAGAGATGCATAACTAGAGGTCTTTTAATACTCTTACCTGAAAAACCTGATACATCCATACTTTTAAGATCTTTAGCTTCTAATATTACCACTTGAAGTTTACCAGCAGCAGGGACATAACGCAATGAGAAACAAAGCTGTCCTAGTTCAGACTTGGAATGCTAGAAAAGATTCAACACAAGAAGATCAAGGGGTGAAATTTAGAAATTCTGTAAAATTAATGTAAGAGGTTGAAGTCTGTGGACTTGTTAATGATGAGAACGCTGTTTGCTTTAGTAGTGAGTGAAATAAAATGAAGGCATCATTTTATAGTAGTTAAAGGCATTGGATTTGAAACCTGGAAGACCAAACTTCAAATACCTTACTCTGTTACTAAAAGCAATTTGTTTCTTGGAAGTTCTGACTTCATGTTTTTCGCTATACTAGCTGGTTTGACTCACACTAGAGGGGATATTTTTTAAACAATTTACAAGAACAAATTACATGTGTAAGTGTTGTTTTTTATACAGCAGTGATGTGGGAACTCACCCCAGTAAGTCCTCCTGAAGATGATGGTGGAATTAAAGCTCGCCATTCGTCAATGCTAGTTGCTAAATCTACATCAATTAGAGGGAGCTTGGCGTCTCCAATGATATCATGTCTAGAGAACCGATCAAAGTCATACAACTCTATACAAAGAGTTCTGTTTGTTATGTCACTGTATGGAATATTCTTGAAAACAAATGTTTCCTTGAAAACTGGATTTAGAGTCTTCCGGTGAACCTAAAATTTGAAATGTTAATGAGTGGGTAAGACTTTCCTCAACTTCAGAAATGATTGTTTTCAGTATCATCATGATGTCGATTCATGGTATGGATGGCTTGTTCTCAAACAGACAGTTGTTCGAGAGAAGTGCCAGTTGAATCAGTTTGTTTCAGGTTGAAGTCTTTTGAGGGTTTTCAAAGGTGAACTGAGACCAAGTGGACTTTAAATGATAGGACCCCATTTGGAACACGCTGAGGTCCTAGCCTGAGAAGGAGTCTTTTCATCTTCCTCCAGCCAAGCAAGAGAAACAAGAGTAAAGTGTGGGCTTTGAAAAGGCATAGGGCATAAGCAAGAAAAAATAAATTGTCATGTTCCTTTCTCTCCACACAACTTTTATTTGGTTAAATGGAACTGGAAACAACTACCATGTCTACTATGCAACTGCAGTCCCTGTTGAAACTCACTTTGGATTATTGCAGAATTTTCACCAGGAAGGAAGATCAGGCAATTTTAGTGAGCTGTTTGTAATTTTATCAAAACTTTTTCCCTAAGATAAGTTGGATTGTTTGTTACCTTAGTATCAAATTTCTTTTTCCTGTCGGGTAACAGCATAACTCTTGCATATGGATCAGAAGTTCCACTGAAATCTTTAGCAGGGACATCCTGAGCTTCTACTACTCCAACTGTGAGACAGTTATCATTGAAGCTATAGTCAAGGGTGAAGTGAATGCGACCTGGAAAAAATAATCAACATTTAAGCCCTGTATATCGCTATTATGCCATGTCTGTCAGTATTATGTTATCACTCACATCAGTCTCTAGCCTGTATTTAACCTTTTCACTTCTTAGGTAAAGGTTCTTTCAATATTATCATCACCAGCCATGTTTTTGTAATGTTCAAATTTTTAGGAAATCATACATAACAATTCATTATTATTGTGTGGCAGTAAAATGTAAGAATGCCTCCTTAAATAAGATATTGACAAGGCGCAATCGCGTAGCTTGTCATTACCATAGCCTAAAATAATTCATAAAATAAAGAAATTCTCAAATGATATTAGAAACCCAAAAAGTTATGTATCAATGAAAGATATCAAGTTGTTATTATTAATGTTATTATTATTATTTTTATTATTATTATCATTATTATTATTATTATTATTATTATTATTATTTACCTATTTTTACTCCTGAGCTACCATCAGACTGGAATTCATCACTGTTGTAATCTAACTCATCTACAGATGGCTGAACTTTCTCTTGGTAGCTGGCTGCCAACATTTGTACGGCTTTAAGGTCAACTTTTTCCTTTATGGCTTTTTTCTCATCCTTCTTTTTCCTTTTGCAACATTGACGGTAGCAGACACAATAACAGCAAATGCCAGCTATAAGGAGTGCTAACCCAACAGCTGCAAATACTGCCCACCATGGTACTGTGAAAGAAAGATAAAGAACAATTTTAGTTCTAGTTCTTCATGTGAATTTTAGTTTTTCATCATTCAAACAAATTTAGTTAAATTTAGTATGTTACAGTTGTGTTTAATTCATCTTGACCTAGCAACAAGTAGAAGGATAGAATGAGTCAAAACTTGATGTTTAGATTTCTTGAACATTTGGCAAATAAAATGCTTAGGACCATGAATTAATTACATATCTCAACACAGTCTGCCCTTTAAAAAAGCAGGAAATTGAGGCATACTTCCTTCAAAAGATGCTTCCTTAGGCACTGGAGTCATTCTTTTTGGTGGCTTTACTGTAGGTGTTGTAGTGGCTAAAGTAGTTGTTGTTGTGGTGGTGGTGGTGGTAGTAGTTGTAGTGGTTGCTTTTATTGCTGAACTTGTCTTTGGCTCTTTGCTGTCTTCTTTGTCACTTTTGTTGTGTTTCACAGTTCGGTTGGTAAGTGTTGTAATTCCCATATGATCTCAGTGGTGCTGAAATTGGAATATAATGTGATGTCAGTCATACATTCAAACAAGTGTGCTTTCACAGGTTTGAGTAACATCCTCTCCTTTCAGATGTACCCTTTGAGATTATTATACCAGGTGCAATCAGATTTGTTCTTGAGTTAAAACCACTTTTGGCCAAAAAGTGGATATTACGAGGTTGTAAGCCAGTCTCTAAAACCAACAGGATACTTCTACATCATGCAACACATGAATTTTTCAGAAAGTGTAGTCTGGTAAAGTTGGCACCATGACTGTGACTAAATCACTTGGACAGCGATTATGATTGCCAAATATCATATCTTTGCCAAAAATATTTGCATTGGTATCTTGGATTTTGAAAGCTTTATTCTGCACCTGAAAGATGTACAGCTCATTTTTTGCACTTAAGCTAGTAAAAACAACCAACTTGATAAATTCAAGGAAACATGGGCAACTTTTTCTTGGATGTGTGAGTAAGGTGTACCTACCTAGTATTTCATTGCCACACAAAATAAAAAGTTACAGGTGAAATTTCAAGTTGTGCCAAAAGGTTTAATACTGTTGGGGGTTTTAAAGATGTATATATTAAGTATATTTTATTTATTTGTTTGTTGTATTCATTTACCTACTTATTTATCTATCCACTGTAAGTAAGGTGATTCTTGCATGCAATGGTGTAGTACTGTTTTTAACTTATAGCTGGCATTATTGATTTAGAATGTAATATTTTATCTCGGAAAAAACAAAAAATCACAAAGAGATGTCTAAGTCCGTGGAGAGTCAAGCTACAACTGTAATGAAATCTCCCCTCCTTCTACTAACCAATCCACTAGTTTCGTTTTGCAAGCTTAATCTCACCTGCTTCCACCCCTCCCCGCTTGCTAGAAGTATTTTACCCTTTGCCAGAGCAAGGGCCCGAGTGCAAGAAATTAGGTGATATTCTAGAACCAGACCCGAGGAACTCATCACTTTAAAATTGTTTCTGGTGGAAATATTTAGGAAACACTAAGCGCGTGTAGATTCGGACATTATTTCATCAAGTGTGGGTACAAAATCTGTTCAAATCTTCATGCAGCTTAGTCGAGAACAATGCAAACATTTCAAGCTCCAAGTGATATGAATGAAGATAACTAATACTTACTGTACGAGTAATTCTTTGCGCATTGTTCTAAACAGATGAATGAAATCGTGCGACCGGAGCCCTTGATTTTAAAATTAAGTTTGGGCATCAAGCCCAGCCTGGATGTAGCTAGTATTCAGAGCAATTCCTTATTCGTAAAACAGTCCACTGAAAACCGTTAAACTTCAAACACAACAATAGAATATAAACAAATTCGTGAGGTGTTCAATTGGTTTACATCAATTAGAAATTTGCATTCATTTGACACGGGTCGTTTCAAACCACTTCAGGCTTACACGCGATTGATAACTACAAAACAATATCTGAATAATTTTACGATCCGTTATTTTAAAAGTGTTTTACTCATCAATGGTATGAACACTTGCCAGTTTTTTTTTCCGTCGTTCGCTTATCAAAACGAAACAAAATAGAATAATCATGGTAACGAGTGTGACTAAACAGATTTATGTGTCATTTTGCCGCGCCGATTTTTAAACAAGTACGGAAAGGACTGGTGCGAGAGCCGATGGGAAATAAGACCTAAGTACGGTTCTACTTGGCGAATAGCAGAGTCGAACGTGATATTTTTTCCCATAAGGAAATGCTTGCCGGAGGTTGGAAAAATTTCAAATGTTAGAAATGATATAGATTACTATTCTTGTGACAATATAGGATACTGTTGTCATATTGTTTGGTTGTCATTCGCCCGTTCAATCCGTTTTCATAAATGAAAAAATATATTCTTAGATTGGAAAAAAGCTCATCTAATCGGTAAATCGACTTCCGTATTCGGCAAGGTTATAAGTACGAGTATTTAATCGCGAGATATTTCATCCTCTCTCTCACAGGAAATTTTATATTGATTTTCCCTAGATCGCAATCAATTGCATGCGTGATTACATTCTAGAAATTGTCAGAAACCACAGGCGTAATAAAGCGATTCCATATCGTTCTTCCGCTAGCTACTTAAGAATAAAGCAGTAAAAAAGTTACCACCGGAAAAAGTCCTATATGAGAACGTTAACGCATGCAACACACGTTTACTGACTTTAAATGCGTGAAACAAACTGAATCTGACAAGTCAATACGTTACCGGTCAGTAAAATGGTATCCAATATGTTTATCTTCAGTTTGTAATTACGCTGGTGATTTCTTCGAGATAAAGACTCTCACTAGACAACTCATTCCTCCCTAAAAGCCAAGCTTTGTAAATCTAAACAGTTTTTCTCGAATAAGGATTAAATATTACTATCTGAAGGCTGCCATGTTGCTTCAACAACATGCGGTCGAGGGCATTTTTTTAGTCTGATCTAACGTTGTCAGTTGCAGATAAACTTTTAAATATTTAATCGACCTCGAGAAGGGATGTTCAGCTCGGAACATTTGTTCCACATTACTGCATATTGCAATTGTTATGTTAGATAGATGCCGTGCAAATTGATGGCACAGTCGGCGAGAAGTTTTATTAGATGAGTTTTTCACGCACGATTGGGTTAGTTTTCCGCATTGAGAGATTAATGAACAATGGGATCGGGAAAAAAAAGTAATGACAATTTTGTTTACTGTTTCTCAAAAACAGCTAGATTCCATTTTGTGTCTGTTTGCATCAAGCATTCTTGCTTCAGATGTTTTAAATGACTTCGTTGTTTTTCTTTAATATAGCGACCCATAAGTGATAGAGTGAAGAACAGAGTTTTAGGAAGGGAGCATTTAAGTTTAAACCCCCTTATCATCACTCTAAGAGACCACAGAATAAATCACACTCACCTTTGTAAACACTGCATGATTCCGTCTGTCGAAGATTTAAAGTTTATGCAAGTCTAGTCTAAACTTTGCAGCAGTTTACTTCAAATGACAGTGGCGATTTCTGAAATTTCTTTGAGTCAATGTTGATCACAAATAAAACGCGCGTACGCGACCGGATCACAGTTCAAAAGATTCACCTTACGTGGCCCTGAAGTTTTAATTTTGGCTGTAATGATGCACCTCATTACTTATATCCTGTGCATTACAAGAGTGCAAATGTTTTATGACAGGTGTTTTGTTAAAGAAAGACAGGAATTTAAAATACAAATAGATATTTAATACGCCCACCTATCCACGTAATCGAGGCTGTGTTCCCCTTATTCAGATGCAAATTAACCAGCAATTTAGTGTTTTGCGAAAATATCCTTTCATCGAGATCCTCAGCAACACAGTTATGAGCAATATCGTAAGTATTGACTTCGGATCGTCGTCGATTGGAAAACATTCCACGACGGTTCGAACAAATTTGACTGGGTTTCCTGTGCGGACCCTCACGATCATATATTAAACACCACACCAAGCTGATGTAATTGACTTTTAGGAAGAAGTTTACTCTGAAGAGTGGAAAGTTGATCATTGAAAGCAAATTCTACCATTAAAAACTTAAATGTTATTTAAAAGCGTATTCTAATTTACAAGGAAATTTCCTTCTGCGGGCAGTTTCTTGTGCGCCAGCTATTTTCTGCTGGTAACCTCCATCAATAACCGCCTAATCATAACCTGTTTCTCTTCAAGGATAACAAAAGTCTTTTAAATTCATGACTCAGTCGTCTAGACCAAAAGCAACTTGCAAAACCCTTATAGAAGAAAAGAACACGTGTAAAAGCGCAAAGTTTATGCGATACTGCATGTTATTATTTGTTACTATTTGTGTTATTGTTGTTGTTAATGTCGTAGTTGGAAAAAATAAAAATTCTAAGTCGCGAACATCTGCCGGGTTAATTTTTTGATTCTGTGTTCCTAATGTCAGAAAAATTGAAAAAAAATTCGATTTCAGACAGTTAGGAAAGCATATTCAGGACATGCGAGTGATATGTGACAAGTTGGTCCTCATATTGTTTCATAAAACTGGACAAACTAGTTATGATGGGCTAACACATGGAAGCATGTTTCTGGAAAATTTTAGCGCGCACACAAATCCCCAATGTTTCTCACCCGATATGATCGTGTGAAGAAGTCATAATATTTTCATTTTGAAAAAAAAGTAAAGCATTCTGAAGTATTGCAAAAACACATTTGTTGCCAAAACATATTGAGAAACTGCATGTCGTAATTCATATCTAATGCTGATATATTCTGGAAAAACGCTATCGACTGTGCTTCATAAAAAATAGGTTTGACAAGAAGCCGAGCAAATAATTGGTTGGAAATGAAATACGCAAATGAGATACGGTCAAAGAAAGACACTTTGTGCTTGCCGTAAGTCCATCTTGGTTGAGACTCAAGGTACACGTAATGTATGTAAAGGTCGCAGCGATAGATACGCAGACTTCTAGATTAAAACAATTGATATAAAAGATCGCTATGTGAAGGTTGAAAGCTTGAATTCCTTTTTAGAAGGTGACAGGTTGACAATGACTAAGGAACTATCACGTGTCACATAACAAGGTGCAAAATATCAACCATACGAATAAACGTTTTCGTCCTCTTACCTGCTCAACGTACTCCAGACAAGAAATAATCCCTCACTTACTTAAAAAAATTACCTAAACAATTGATTACAACGGAATTTTTCCGATATTGGACCTCACTAATTTTTATGCATCTCTAGCGAAGTATTTTTGAGTATTTGAGTAATGTTGATCAGTATCAAGTGATGGTTACATAACCCAACTAACAATACAGCCGCCTACCCGACTATTGGTAGCACTGCACAACAATGATAACAAAAACTGCAATGGGCGGCGGGGCTGGCGTTAAAATTGTGGGATTTACGAGCAGTGGAGGGAAAAAAAAGAACGGCTTGCAAAAAATCGAGAAATCCTTTGCTTCTTTTTACCGTTCTGCTGCCTTCATTTTCGTCTAACGCTCCCAAAAAAGTCACAAAATAAGTAACTAGATATGCCTAGGTGCAGGACCTCATGATTTGAGGTCCAGTGGGGTGTAACTATAGTCTCGTACCCAGACCTTTCACGGCCAACCGGTTGTGTAGTAGGATCTGGGTATGAGATAAGAGTAAGCATGTCACGCCTCATCTCGAGGATCTTAGTCTCTAAGTGCTACTTTGCTGTTGTCATCCTCATGACCAGAATTTGTCTTTTATGGATAATTGTTGTGAATTAATTACTAAAACTTCATTGTGTAAAAAATGTCCAAAGTACCTCCAAGTTTATCAAGCTAAATCAAAATTATGTAATTTTTCATTTCTCTAGTACCAGTGTCCTTAAAGTTTGAGTCGGTGCCAGGCCGCGACAGGCCTCCGCGGCGATATCAACACTTGATGCCAGTGCCTGAGGGATTCTCCAGTGGTAGCTGAGCCTATTACCACTCGACCAATTACGTCACTTCTTGTTGAGTCTGATTTAGCGTCAGCTACTGATATGACAAACAGAACCCTATGGAGGAGGTCTGGGGGGACGTCAAATATCATACACTCATTATAAACAGGATTAGGCTCCTGTTTCCTTGTGGACGTTTTCTTTTTCTTCACTTTTTTGCCATCGAATAAAAGAACAACTTTGATGAATGGATCTGTTAAATGAACAAAAAAACCTGTATGAATGGTTTCAAATGTCAGCAGACGTTAAGTTGTCAAAGAAGCTCCTGGAGGTATTCAACGTAGCGGGAATTAGAAAAATTTCAATGCAACTAAAAAGTGTATATTTGTTAAATGTTATAAATGACCGCAGATCTAATTCGGTGCTGTACATTGTTTGTCTATACAAGACAGGCTGAGTCAATAAGGCGAAAGCACAGGAAAAAGCTTCCGTGTGGCCAATCGTTCTCCTGTTTCATATTTTAAATAACATTTTTTTTGTCCTTATGATCTTTTGCAATCACAAAGGAACGTAATGACGAATTCAAGACAGAGGGGAATACAAATCAACCACAGGATACTTACTGATTGGTTTTGACTCTGTGTTCCAGTCGCTGAGTGGTGGACTAAGGTTTCTGGCCTTCATTAATACTATTGACATTCTCTCAGCAGTTGGCATATAGCTGAGGGAGAATAAAATCTCCCCCAGATTGGCTTTTGTCTGCGAAATTAGAAAGAAGGTTTGTTACTGAAGACAGGGAATAGAGTGCCGTCATTAAGTCATTCAGTCAGTCAGTCAGTCAGTCAGTCAGTCAATGAGTCAGTCAGCTAGTCAGTAAGTCAGCGAGTCACTGAGTCAGCGAGTCAGTCAGATAGTCAAAGAGTTCCAGTCTATATGTCCGTCTGTTTTGTATTTATGGCTGTTTGTCTTGGTTGTCTTTCTGTTTTTCACTATGTTTGTCTGTGCACTTTAAGGTCTCTTCGTCTATTTGCTCCTCTAGTTATCCTTATTGACTTGGAGTGTTTTCGCAATTCATATTTCGCATCTTTTGATGTCAAGTATATCTCATGAATGTACCACAAACCTTTTGAAATGACCTCAGCTCCTTATCAAAGGCAACAGACTCATCTGCCTTGAGCACATGGCCAAGTTCAACTTGAACCTCTCCTATTATGTGATGCCGGGAGTACTTGTCAATTTCCCAAACAGATAAATGAAGAATGGAATTTTCCACATCTTGTAATGACATGTTAAACTCATAACTCTCTCCAAATTTTGGATTTGTGGATTTCCTGAAGACGTCCGTCTGTCCCTTCAAAATTCCTTCTACATCTGGTTGAAGCCTCACTTTTACGTAGGTATCTACACTATCCCAGAAGTCTTTTCCGACCAGCTGGCTTGCCTCGATGATAGTCAACAAAAGAGTTTGTATTTCATTTTGATAAACCATAGAAAATTTAATTCTTCCTTTGTTTTTTGGCGGACTGAGCCTTTGGGAAGTTTGCAGCTCTATCTCTCCGTTCATTTTATTTCTTTTTTCCAGTTCACACTCGCTGCATTCAGCAGCAAAACTTGGGAATGGGATGACAGATACTTTTGCAGCAGTATTCTTGTCAGCAGTAGTCTTGAGGTACGACGAGTCTTTGTAAGCTGGCTGTTTGTGGAGTCGACTTAGCTTGCAGACCATGCAAACGACCATAAGAATAAGGATCGCTATTGCCCCACTCACTATACCAAGCTTAGCTTCTTCGGTTAAATAAAGCATTACCAGCTGCTTCCTGGTTTAATTGACATGAAGAATAGAAATGTTGTTTGAATAAGAGCTTATTATCAAGGAGTTTATAACCTCCCTTAATATATTCTGATTGGCCACTCAAAGTCCGAATATCCTTTGGTATTCATCTCCAAGCAACGCGCACGGGATATTTACCCGAAAATATTGTATCGATAGATACAATAACGATCTAATAGGTAGTCAGAGATTGAAATTTTGTTTGCGGGAAAGCTTGTTGCATGAACCGGGGATTTGTTCGCTACTGCATGCAATTTGGTATTCAATTCGGGGTGTGTAGATACATGAAAGTGATCAATTTCCATAACAGTCTTCTCGACCAGGGAAGCATTTTTTCAGTAAGCCTTCCAGTTGGTTTGTTTGTCTGGGTAAACAGCACATAAAGGAACCCACCGGGAAATAGAGGAAAATCAGTTTGAACGCTAAGGATACAAAGCCGAGCTTTTTAATGATGGTAATATTTCATTCTAGGTTGTTTTTTTTTCAAACAAAAACAGCCTTGGAAATCAGATGTAGGCCAACGATAAGAAAGAAGTACTTACCCGTGTGTTGACTGCCGCCAAGCGACAAACCGGTTACTAAGTCTATTAAATTTATAAACTTCTAGAAGGCCAGCGTTTAACAAAGATACACCGGCTGGAGACCTTTTATGCCGTCAAACTACTCATTCATCTACACAGTAGTACATTTTTCAGGGTATTTAATCTATATGAACTGAATTTTATAGTAAAAACTTGAACGATTAAGAAAGGTTTCTTGGCCGTGATGAACAGAAATTTCCGAAAAGCAACAAACATGAAAGTGAATCAGTAATTTCAATACTATCCTACGGACCACAAATCAGAATAAACACAAGTCTTATCAGCGAAGCTACAGTTGGTAATGTTTATATTAATCAAATGAGAACTTTACGCGGAAACAAAACATGAAGAGTTACCTTGAGGAAACACTTTTTTTAACTCCTCAGGACAAAACCTTTAACTTTCATCACTTGCCATGGTAAAACCTCTCACACTTAATGAAGAACGCCCAGCCATGTCCTAAGAACGAAAAAAGTGGCTGATACAACCACTCCCAAACCTTACTGAGCTCAGTTCAGTGCCGGCTCAGCGTATTAATTTTAGATCATAATCTATGCATTTCACGTGTGTAAACCATAACGCCACAGACCGATTTGGACATTGTACGGACTGTGTACAAATTCACCCGCGACTCAAATTTAATCGTAAACGTTCAGTTGAGAATTGATCTCTGTTTTCTTATTTCCTGAGCCTGAAGTGATATTTCGAAAAATCTTTTGTACTAAGCGTGGGAAGAATGTAGCAAAAACACAACAATTAAACCTGCTCTTACTTCAAGGTGCCACACTGTCCGGGTCGCCACTCTTCGAGATGTTTACGGGATTTTTCAGGTACCAGTTCTTCGGTGAAGTCTCCACTGAGTCAACTTAGTTCACGGTTAAATTAAAGATGTGGCGAATTTTAAAAAGCATCACGGCGAAGGTTAGACGAAGAAATAAACACACTTTAATGAGTTAAATGCTCTTCATACTGTTATCATTAGGCATTTGAGGGTATGGTCACCTTCGTTCACTAAAAGCTAATCTTAGGAATTTTCCGTCAAAAAGGTAACTCGATGTATCACAAAGGGCGCGCTGGGATTGGTGGGTAGCATGGAACCTCTTTCATTCGCAGTACTGAAACACAAATTGTAATCGGGCCAACGATGAAAATACAGCCGCGAGAGGCACAGACGACGAGCAGTCCCTACTTTTCAGTGAAGTCCGTCGCACGAGTAACAATAATTATTAAAAACGAAGTTGATGCTAACGTGCCGCGCGGAACTGTGGGAGTGAGGCGCACGAAAAGTAGTAGGCTCTACAATCTAACTCTCTAGGTTTGTCTGTAGTCCCTAATTTTCGTGTACCTCACACCTAGATTTCTGCACGGCACACTAATAGCAATTCTTTTTTTTCACTGATTTACAGTTTTGACTCACGCGACGGGATTCGCCGAAAAGCAGGATTACAGGGTTCCTAAAGTGGAGTTTTTGGGTTGAATTGGTTGATCTGCAGATACAAGGCATCACCAGTGAAAACCAAAGGCGTGCTTGCCGCGCTGTGAAACAGAATCGTGACGTAATAAATGACCAAGGACCAGCAAATGGAAGCCAATAACACAAGTATGTTCCTGGACAATCAGGATAACGAGAAAAAACAAAAATTGTAAGGTTGTAAAAGTGTGCAGTTCTTTTCAAGTCATCTAGTGAACTCTTTGCTTTGAATTGGTGGCCAGTGAAAGAATTTAATTCTTCAATGCTTTCTTTCTCGGCAAGAAATTTTAAGTACAAATCTGGAATAATTGACATGTGAATGAGAGGTACAAGATTCTTGAAGGATTGTCCTCTTTGATTTTTTTAATATTTGTACCAGTGGATAAGAGATTCCAGCAGTTGAGTTTCACTGGAAACAATATCATCATTTGCTAGTAATGTTTCCAAGTCATCTTCTGTTACCTGTAAGAGTTGTTCAGATATTGAAATTTGCTAATAATTGCTACAAGTCATCTCTTAAACATCTGCTTTAATCTCGGACAAGAAATGAAAGAACTTGGCTAAGTCAAATAAAAGCAAGAAATTTGACAGTCAGAGAGCTTTTTAAAAAAACAATAATTGTCTTAACTCCTCAAATAAAAGGTAGTCCAAAGCATGCAACAAGCTCTTTACATTGTCAAATGTGATAATGATTTCTCCACTATAAATAAAATTCAACTACTCATTTACTATTGCATCATCTATGATTTCAAGGTGAACATCATGTTCCTGGACTTCCTTCATGTCAGACCTAAGAAGCCCTTGGAAATAGCAACTCACAGCTGCCAATAACTCTCATGAACTGGAATAGCCCTTCCAGAGCTAGTGATGAGTCTGAGGTCACACAAAAATTCTTCATGCCAAAATTCCATTATTTCTTTCAAAATTGACTCTTCTTGGCATATAACAAATTTTTTTTTAAAAGTAGCCCCACAAGAAGAGCTATTGCTCATTGAGGAAAGATTTTCAGCTCAAACTTCTTTTAAATCCTGTAAGATCAAAATATCTGAAATATGACTGAGTCTATATTTTCCAGTGTGAAAAAAGTTAAGAATATCCTTCGGAGCACTACCATCCACATTAATGAGTTCATAATGAACTACAGCTGGTGATACTTTAAACAAGTCTCTGAAGAACTTATAGCTTACTGCCAGTACATTCTTGTGCACCAAGAAATCTTTCCCATCAACTGTTAAACTAAAATCAACATGAAGTTTCTGATGTCTAAAGCTGCTGAGAGTTTCCATAATAGTGGTTCTGTACAACCCAATGTCTGCCTTCTGGTACTGAATCTCTTCATTACAGATGCTTCTTCTTGCTTTGAAACTTCTGTTGAAACTTCTGTTACACTTTCATTTGTAAATAAACATACACATATTGATGTAAATACTTGCATTATCTTGTTTTCTGTTGAGTATTAAAATCCTCCTATTGGTAATCTGTTATATCCAATTTGAAGGAATGTCCTACAGACATTAAAAGAACATAATTATATCATCTCTAATAATATACATGAAAAAATAATGTGCATCTGATTGGCTGAAAGTGAGTGCATTTTTCATGTAACATGAGTGTAAATTACAAATAGCACACACGTGGTGCCAAAATTTTGTCTGTCTTGAATTACTATGAAATGTTTCTCATGTAAATTATAAATGGGCAACAACAAGGTTTCTCAAGCAATTTGGTGAAATTAAGCACTTATAAATTGTTCAAAGACTACAAATTGCACTCACCCTACAAGCTCAAGCAATTCTTTTGTCTTTGAAAAATTTACTTGTGCTTATTAATGCCAAATTGCACTAGAAATCATGTCATTACCTATACAAACTTCATAGCTGACAAATTAGAGGACCATTAAGAAATGGCTCTGTAAACGTCCGAAAAATTGGACAGAGTATAATTCCTTTAACCATAGATTTTGAGCCACTAAACAAATCTAGCACCATCTCCTACTCTATTATACAGTTAAGTGGTTTTGTAACGTCCTCAGGACTTTTTTTTTGCAAAATAATCCAAGCCAATGGTACCATGATCAAACATGAGAGCTAAATGGTATGACTATAGAAAATTTATTAGCATTCTACTCCTCTTTGGACATACAAATAATTCAGAAATAATCTGGTGGGGAAACAAAGGCTTAAAAATAGTTTTTACTTGTGTAACAATCGTCGGAATAGATGATAATCATAGGCATGGGTGAACACTTTTTAGTGGATGTCAACGTTTTAAATGATAATTCCTTGGGTTGTGTGAGACTTGAGATCTCTGGAAAGGCAAACCTCTTGGTGGCATTTACTCAACCCCCATCTTGGAAATCATCTGAGCCGTCTTTGAAACAATGAAGGGGTAAGTTTCTAAAGAAACTGTGGTGCTGCGTCGGTGGGAGAGTATAGCAGGTAATTTAGTGTTAACAACTGGGTTGAAAACGTAAATTAGCCACCGTAAAGGGTAAAAAAGCTGACGTTTCGAGCGTTAGCCCTTCGTCAGAGCGTCTTTGAAACATACACGAAACCACAACAACCTCACGAAGATTGTGCTAAATTTCGGTCTTCCCGAGCGAAAAATAATGGATCTCGATCGTAGATCACTTTGCATAAGACAGTCAGTTAGAATGCCAAATGTAACTACTATATGTACCTGAAAATTTGGTGGATGCAGAAACTTCCGGAACTGTGAGCCATCCTCTCGAAGAGTTTATCCATCGGGAAACCTTCGGAACATATCCGAAGTTCACCGAAGCTGGACGAGGACTTTGTCGTTTATTGCGTTCCAGTCCCACGATCGATGACTCAATATTGCACGCCATGATAATGCTCAAATTCTACCACACTCGACGCAATTTCATAAATTGTGTGATACCTCATCCTTCGTTTGGATGAACCTTTGTACGTAGATGGTATCGAGTAAAATTTTGCGTCGCAAAATTGGCGTTGTAGGACTAACGCAGAGAAAAAATTGAGGTAAGCATTTAGAAATGTCACGAAGGTTCGATCAACACACCCTCAAATCTTGAGATAAGACTAGTATTTATTAAAATTTCATAACGCTGTTATTTAAGATCGATAATTTCATGTCCTGTGGAGAACATGGTCATATGAAGATTGAAATCTTTTCTGTGAACTTTGAGAGCACAAATTTAATCGAGGAAAAAGAAAGTGTAATACTTCAGACAGAAGTGTGTCCTAAATTAAGAATATTTTACATGTGTACTTTTTATTACATCACACTGTTAAACTATAGTTTAGTTGTTCGATGTTTGAAAGGAACTGACTGTGGTTTTGTAATTTTTATTTTTATCTTGATATGCTTAAGATCAACTTAAGAGAGTTTGAAGTATCGAAACAAGAAAAATATCAGCTGTGATCAATGAGTATTGTAAAGTAATTATGTTACAAAAAATTTTTAAGATCAGGCAATGTAGGTCCTGGTTTAAGGTCATTCCTCGGTATTGAATTTTACATCTTACTGCACACAATTTTGAAGGGATCTGTTTGCACATATCAAAGTTTAAAATTCAAATTTTTACAGGGACTGTGATGCATTGAAATTTTGAGGGTTTTGATTTTTGTTGATGTTACAAATGGCAACTGATCTGTAAAAGTAAGTTTGCTCTGAAAACATTCCCTGGAGATAAAACACTTCACATATTTACTAACATCAGTCTAATTAGAGGAAAAGCAATTTGTATTCTTTGCATTGGAACTCACTTGAAAATCCATTTATTAACAATGAATCCTGTATTTTTTCTATAAGAATTAACAAGTTTGAAAAATAGGTTTCTTTCCTCAATAACATTCTACTGTTTGAATAGAAAATTGTAACAATAAGTTACCAGTATTAATCTCAAACCACTTAAATTTTTCCCTCTAAACAACTGTAACTGCCAATCTAGAGGATAAAACACCTTCAAAATTTTATGATGTATGGTAAATTGCCATATATAACTTTGCTCATTTTTGGAACCAATTAATATAGATATGAAATCATTTCCTAGTGCAGTGCACCAAAGTCTGAGAAACAATTTTGAACATACTTATTTTGCTGTCAATGTACATTTTTCATGTGAAACTGTTAAGCACAAAAAGGATTTTTTTCAAACTTTTCATACACAATAGAGACAAAATGAACATTTTACTAACCATGTCCTAACCTTATTTCCTTGGTGGTCTGTACTGTACATTATGAATCCTCATTTTTCCCCTTTGGTTTATGGCCCACTCACTTCACACTTACCTTAAATTGAAAAGGAAAAAATTTGGTTTGTAACCTACATTTTAAACCTGATATGTGATTTCTAAGTTGCACATGTATTTATAATGATACTTTGAGAAATGATTCTATGTGTGAAAGATACACATGCTCCAATTGTGTTTTTATTTCAACTTCACAATTCAAGCTGCAACAAGTTAAGTCTCTGCTGTTGTAGATTCTTAATGTTGTGTGGTGGTGTTAATGAAGACATCATTTGAAACTCTCCATAGATGCCTGGGTTTGACCCTTTAACTCCCAAGATTTCATTAGTAATTCTCTTTACTATCTGCCATACAATTCATGTGATGCTAGTTTGGAGAATTTGGAATTTGATCAACCAATAATCTCCTAATTGATATTTTTCTTTATTCTCATTACTTGTCTTCTTGTTATCGTACAGATAGTGTAAGGGAAATTCTGTCTAGGTCACCAGTGAGATGTAAAGGGTTAAAAGTGAACTACAAAAATTGCATCTCAGATTTTGTTTGAATTTCTTTATTTTTTTACAGCTTAGTGCCACCACTTGCCATTGTCTTAGATACCCAAAATTAAGCACCCAAACACAATTCTGAATCCATAAATTTCAACTTGAAGCAAATGCTTGAAACCTTCTTTTTAATTAACACTGTTCTGAATTCCACCTCTTGGAAAATACATAATTCTTAACCCTTTTACTCCCAAGATCTAATTAGTAATTCTCCTTACTATTTGCCATACAAATCGTATGATGTTAGTTCAGAGAATTTGGTATTGGATCAACTAATAATCCCATAATTGATATTCTTCTCTATTCCCATCACCTACCTGCTAGATATTGTATTCATATTGTAAGGAGAAATTCTGTCTTGGTCACTTGTGGGAGTGAAAGGGTTAAAAAGGAAGCAAAAGAAGAGTTTACAGGATAAGCAATCGCATTGTTTTCCTTTATTTCTATAATCTGTTAGCTCACTTCAATGAATTTCAAGAGAATTGGAATAAATCCATTGGTGCTGAGATTCATGAAACTTCTCTTGATATTAAATTGAAATAATATTTCTCCTCTATTGTATTTTTCCATCATTCAGTGTTGGAACATGTGGAATCAAAAGTTAACTCAAACAATGTTGTTTTGCATTATGTTGACCAAGGGGGGTGGGGGAGGGGAGAGAATGTAAGAAAGTAAGAAATGGTCATCTTCCTAACAATTTGGATGGTGATTGTAATTCAGGTTGTTGTAATAATTGGTGATGTTTTGTTTAGAAAACTAAATTTCATTCTCAGCCAGGCTGACTGTTAGTTGCAAGAGAAGCTTTCCACCTGTGAATTTTAGAAATTGACATGGCATGAAAGTTTGCTGTCAGATTTGTCTGATAATGGTTGTATCCCTGCTTCAGTAGGGTAATAACCTTTTTCATTGGATGTGTTGTCTGGATCCACTCTACAGATCACTGTGGGGAAAAATTTAAACTTACATTAGATGGCAACTTAATGTAATAGTAAACTACAGGTACCAAAATACTGCAAGGTGACATCAGTTGAGAACTTGCATGCCTAAGGTTATATTCTTTCACACCTTCTAGGTCATGACAGTGGCAAGTGAATTCATCTGCTTCTAAATGAATATGGAATATTGTCTTGGGTATATGATGTGGCGTGACATTACTTATGGTACGTGTGATTGGTGTTGCGTGACAAGCAGGTCAGTACTAACCTAAAACGCTAGTGATCATAATGGGTGGTCAGTTGGCAAAATGTGTGGGAAGTTCTACAGAGGAGCAAGCTAATCCTTTAGGAGTTGTAGAACCATACCAAGTGGAGCTGTCTTTGGCAGGGGAAGAGGAGAACAATGAAGGGGAAGTGGAAACAGAAGAAACTAGCGACGAGCCTTTGGACCCTGAAAAGGCTCCATATCAAGTCTTCCTGCTTGAAACACTTAACACTTTCAGAAAGGAGAAGCTTTTTACAGATTTTACCTTAAAAGTGAATGACAAGGATTTTCCAGTCCACAAAAATGTACTGGCTGCAAGTTGTGATTACTTTAACGAACTGTTTTCTAAACATGATGATTCGAATTTTGTTCTACACGAGCTGGCTAAACTGGAGCCGAGTGCCGTGGAAAATGTCATTAACTTCTTATACACTGGAAAATGTAAATTGGATCGACACAATGTAACATTGATGCTGCACGCAACCAAAGTTTTAGGAATAGAAGATTTGCTTGATCCTCTGGAGAAAAATATGGCTTTGGCTTCTGTTAAAACGATGAATGATGAAGCTCCTAAACGAAAAATGTTTAATTCACACAATCAGGGCACTATGTTGTCCAAACTTTTAACCTTCCAAAGCGAGGGATTGTTCTGTGATCTAACATTAACAACGGGAAGTGGCATCGTTATTCCTGTTCATAAGAACATTCTAGCAGCTGTAAGCTGTTATTTTAAGGGGCTTTTTCGCTCTGAAATGAAGGAAGTTCACGAAAGTAATGTTGAATTAGCTGTAATAGATGAGGCTGTCATCGACGAATTGTTAAACTTTGTTTATAAGGGAGAGATTACAATCACTTTTGACAATGCAAGGAATTTATTACAAGCGAGTGATTATTTGTTAATAGAGCGCTTAAAACGAAGGATCATTGAATTTGTGAGAGATTCCTCGACGTTGTCCAACTTCTGGCTCGTTTATTCTCTCGTTAGAAGCTTTGATTGTCTCAATGAGATTTACCAAGAAATATTGAATCTTGTGTGTAATCATTTTTGGAGTATTGCATCATCAGACGTTTTTCTTGACATTCCTGAGCAAGATATGAGGTGGTTTCTATCAAACGACGATATTTTGGCGAGCGAAGCACAATTGTTAGAATCTTTAATTCGCTGGTACAAGTATTCTAAGCTGGAGAGGGAAGAATCTTTTAAAAGACTTCTTAATCTCATTCATATGGGAAGCATTCCAGATCTTTTCCTGAAGAAACTGACAAATGATGATTGCATCGATGAGTTGAAGTCGCTCTCTGGTTACAAGTTAAAAGACGACGTTTCCGACGAAGATGTTTATAAGGCAGCGCATTTCTACAATGTCGCGTTGTTTGGATTAACACACCGGCTGCATTATACACATTCCTACAATCTGTGTTACTGGCTTCCCTTTGCAGGACCTTGGTCTCTTATTGCTCGTGTCCCTCATAACAAATCGATGCTGGCTAATGGAACTCCTCTTATTTACACCAGTTCTGGACTGTACGTTCAAGTGCCTTGGAACAATCCCAAACTGGCTTTTCACCGAAATCCTTTGACTGCGCGACATTTCTTTCCAAACTCGGGCGTGGCACCAACATGTGACATCGAGCCATCCGCACCCATGACATTTGATTGCGCTGCTGTAACTATGGGTCGTGATATCTATCTGATTGGCGGAATGTCCATGCAGGAGGTTGCAGAGGTGAAGCGAACCGTACAGCGGTACGACGTCGAAAAGCAGACGTGGACATCGGTGGCGGACATGTGCGAACCAAGATATGAGCTCACAGCGGTGAACTACAAAGATGAATACCTCTTCGTGTTTGGTGGTATCGATGGTTCGGCGCACAGGCAATGCTTGACGACTGTAGAAAGATATGATCCCATGGAAGACCGCTGGTCATACGTGAAGCCCATGCACCAGCCTCGATCTAGTGCGTTTGCCTTCGTCCACGATGAAAAGATTTTTGTAATTGGAGGAGAGCGAGGTGAAGACGTCACGCCGAATGACTGTGAGGTGTACGATCCCGTGACAGACGATTGGCAGGTGATTGACATCCAAGTCAACAAGCTTTTTACCCTTAAAGGGCGTGCTGACAAAGGATCCTTTCTGCATCTTGATGGTAGCAGGGAAAACGGAAGGCGTGGCACAGAGACATTAGATCCTGTTATGTACGAAGAAGCGAAAATCACTCGACCGTACGTGACATGTATCAATGGAGCTATCACCGTCCTTGACTTCAGCACATGTGCAGATGGACAGCGGAAAGCAGAATTCTACTTTATTGACCCCGTCTCTGGTGATTTTAGTATGCTACATTCACTCTTTGCGTGGCCGACGGACATCTCGTACGGCGCGATCATGCCGCTTAGCCGGAGGGATGTGATCAAGGCACTCAAGGATTATTCTGCCCAGGACTCTTCTAAAAGTCATTATTGAACGATCGCCGATAGATGGAATTAGGAACTTTTCTATACCGGAAGTGATTAGGTATATATCTTACGGCGGCTCTCTTTCATTTTTCTCTAATTTTACCTAGATTTTTTTTAATTCTCAGAATCATGAGTATGTTAGTTGGACAGGATAGAGGATTTCTTTCATTCTCAGATGGCCAGTAGATGCCCAAAATGGACAAAAATCCACGGGCAATACAGTCAAAGTTAGGTGAAGTTGTGGCGTGAAATTTTGACCTTATCGGTGTTTTATTCTTAAAAGTAATTCCGTATTTCCACGCCATGAATTGTGAAACTGGTACGTCTCTACTCTGTCTTCTTGGTAGAAAACCGGAGAACGAGCAGATTAGAAGTCACTACAAACCTCTTTTCACCTCATCGCTCTCTTCTTTAAAATTGTAAGAATGCTGATAACGTTTTGTAAGAGAATTTTTTGTTCTTTAACGCTGCTCGATGAAGTTGCCCAGAAAAATGGGATGCAAAATAAAATGTTAGAGTTTGTTTTCAAGTGTGTAATTTATGGAATTATCGCCAACAAAAATTCATACACTTCGAAACTCCACCCGAAATTTAAAAATATCACAGATCACAGTATGCAGTTCGCTCTTTGAGGATAGTTAATTTTGTTATGTTTGATCTCCAGAAGTTTCGACATACTTGCTCCCAGGCTCCCAGCAGTATGCAAGATTCCGTGTTATACATGCACTTTAGTAGTTCCCCCTAGCTGAACGGTAAGGCTTCCTGCCAGCACTCGGAGTTCCTCGTGCTCGTTAATATCGGTGACTCGGCTTCTTCTTTATCCCATATGCGTGACAAATGGATTGAAGGCCTTGTAAAGTATTTTACGATACGTATTGGAGGAAGAAGTAGTCTCAGACGTTTTTATTTTCACCTCGAAGGGGGAGGGTGGGGGTTGGGGTGGAGAGTTATTATTACTCGCCTCTTATGATCTCATACAGAAGTGATGTTTTTCAATACCGCTACTATTGCTGGTCAAAGTTTGCTTTAAATTTCAATGGCAAAAAACACAGTAGGCATAAAATCAGAACAAGATTAGGTTAAACAAGAGACTTAAGACCAGAGACGTTATGGTAGACAAACAAGTCTTTATTATTTTGCATTATCCTTTGCATTTGGACTTGATACAAGGCCTGAAAAATTGACCACTACCTCTCACAACGATTACGATCCCTTCATTTCACTGTGTGATAAGTGGAGTATCCGAACATTGAACTACCCACGCACCTGGACTCTCTCTGCATAATATTTTTATCGCTTTCCTCGCGTTTTCATAGTGCTATATATCATTTACAATTGCGAGGCAAGAATGATAACCCTTTCACCCAAGTTACAATTCTTAAATTCTTATTCAACGATGATTATCCCAGTATATCGAATTTTCATGTATCGTCAAGCCCAGCTTGAAGTTATTTGGACAACAACATTTACAATAAAAACTAGAACAAGCTAACACTAATCCTTAAGAGTGCCTCTACTACTCTATTTATAAAGGAGCATTATCAAATTTCGACTCGACGGCCAAATTTTTTGTCCCAAATAAATAAAACAGAAGTTATCTTTAATTCATTGCAGATTAGCACAAACGAGAAAGAATTGAAAAGCTTTCTTGCTTCACACGTTTCTTTCAGTCTCCACAGACGAATATAGCCACTGTAAGCGCTCCATTCACCGTTTTGTACTACAGTGCCTGCACTTTCAAACACTTATTTGTAATTTTCTCTATTAAGTCAATATTTACAATTTAGTCTTCTCGCATAAATATACTTCACTCACAAATCGCGTCCGCAGCACAGCTTCACGCGCCAGGAATTATGGGATGCCACATGGCGATGGGCTTCCGCAACGAGGCTAACATGTGGTTCCAATGAGAAAATCCACTTCCGGTCACCTGCTGACCCAGCAGCACGTGACCAACTGTTTGCTCAGCACCGTGTGAATGTTTGTTGACTACAAGGACCTTGAAGGTAACTTTCGGTAAGGCCTCTGATGTAACTTTGAATGTAAAAGCCTCATTGTAAACTGGATTCAAAGTCTTTTTTTGCATGGCAGTCCGCTTCTTACCCAATCTGGTTTTGTTCAACATAAGAATCACTCTGACTGTCGGGCCTACAGCAAAAAAAAAAGTGGTCGTATTCTTTGGCGAAAGTAATATCTTTTTTTACTTCAGCATATTTCATGTTTTGTCTGTGATTTTTGAAGGTAAGGTCAAAGAAGATTAAACTATTAAATGAAATTAATGCCTCGAAGAATTTGTTCTAGATTTGCTTGTCCTTCATTTATTGTCTCCTTCCTTTTTGATAAATTATTTCCATTTTTTTCTGTGTTTCTTTGATTTTTTCACTTTTTACCAGAGACCACTTTTTGGTGCCTTTGCGCTGGTAATTCTTTCTCGAGCCAAACTATCCTGTAGAATACATGAAAGTTTCACATTGGTGAATATTTTCAGTTGCGGCAGTTGAGATGTCATTCGGAGCGAGAAAAATCGCGTTATAGAGTAGAACTCACCCCAAAGTCCGGATGTAGAGTCTATTTTGAGATTCCGCGCCTTCAGGATCACAATTGTCAGACGTTGTGTTGTAGGGAAGTAGTTTAACGAAACAAGCAGCTCACCTACGTACTCGTGAGCTGGTTTCTGTAAAGAAAGACCAGAGGCAATGAGTTACCGAAGAATACCTTGCACTGAGATATCTTTATTCTGTACTTAAAACGTTGAAATGGTTGAGTATGTAAGGACATCTTCAGTGACTCGGGGAATGTGATGAACGAGACATATGAATGCCCAATTTGTTTGGTTTGCGTATCATCCGTACTGAGGATTAAGTATCTTCAAGGCTTTCAACATTTGTTGGCCGCTTGCACTGAGATTTTCTCTTCTCGAGAACTTAAAATGTATCGAGGAATTAAGAAATGTGACTCATAAAGTGCAAACTACAAAGCTTAAAGTTTTTTTTTTCATTTGGTATTTCAGAAAAATATTTAGGGAAAAAGAGATAAGCCACACTGACTCAAAATATTCTTTATGTTCCCGGCTTATTATTACTTAGAGATCAGGTAGGTGGAAAGCGTACCTTCGAGTCGCACGCGATATCGTACCACTTGGGTTGTGATTTTCCAGAGCCCCCTGTGAAGTCTGCCTCTTCCAGCGATACGTCCACCTGACCAATCAGATGAGAGTTTGAAAACGAGTCCAATTCGATCAACCGAATGCAAAACGAGAGTGTTTCAACAGGATGCCCATCCAACGAAAACAAAACTTCTTCATTCCATTGCGGTTCAAATGTCATTTTCTGTTTTTCAATTTCCCTTTCGTCCAAACTGGTCCCTTCCTTGTACAGCTGTATGACAGGGTAAATATAAGCTGTTTGAACGTTGCTCGTGCAAATGATTCCCTTGGCTTGCACCAGTCTTAAGATTAAAACATCATCTTCTCTATTCAAATCAAGCCAGAACTGGAGTTTGCAAAATTTTCCAGGCGTCTCAACGATATATGTCTCTTCGCCGCTGGACATACTGTCATGGTCCGCGAGGGAACCGTTCTCGTATGTTTGATAAGTGAATCCTCCCCCAGGCCACTGCTTCTTTTGAGTGATGACATAACTCTCTTGAGAGGCGCTGCGCCTGAGATGTGTCCGGCGGTAACGCCACCACACCCAGCAGCATTTGCACAACACAGCCAGCAGCGCGGCGACTAGGGCCGCGGCTACCGCAACCACTACTGCTAGTACCAAAGATAGTTTTACAGCCACTGCAGAAAACAAACCAAGTTGATTTGAACTTTTTCTTCAGTGATATAACACAAGATGTTTCAATGCTGAATTGCAACTTCAATAATACAGGTTATGAAGGCAAAACTCTCTAACTGTATTACTACAACCAATTGGATGTAGTATATTCCTTTTTATCTCAAGCTAGTTTGTGTCTCTTGTGGTGCCATCTATAACCTCTTAACAAACTCGGAAGCTCAATGGTATGTGGAGTCTTGCGAAATTTTTCATCTTTATTTATGGGTTACGTACTCGCTAATACAGCTTTCTACAGTCGCCTTCTTCCCAGTTTTATTACGATGCAAAACGATGGATAGATTTACAAGGTAATTTGATATTATCAACTGAGTCGATAACGTAAATTGGCCACCATTAAGAGTTTTAAAGCAGACGTTTCGAACGTTAGGGCTAACGTCAGCTTTGAAACTCTTTACGGTGGCCATTTTACGTTATCAACTCAGTTGATAATACTAAATTACCCTGTTATACTCTCCCACCGACGCAACACCACAGTTTCTTTACAAACTAACCCCTTTATTGATAGATTTACAAACTCATTTAAATCTTCGAAGTGCACCAACTATTGCAGACCTATTGTTATCGTTCTTAAAAAAACATCTCATAATGTGAAGAAACTTAACCTTCATTTCGCGTTCACGTAAATTTTTCCACAGTCTGTTTTATTTTAATAAAAATTAAAAATAAAAGCTGGAAACTTAAAAAGTGGCGGGAAATTGCCGGCTTGAAAATGTAGAACCGTCGAAAAGGATAATAATTTCTGCGAAAAATTGTTTTCACTTGAGTCAGCTATTCAGTTGTTTTTAGTTTCTGGTGGATAGTGAAAGCCTTTCATTATAAAGTTAAGGTGGGAAAAAAAAACGACAGCAAGTATTATAATCTACTCTCGACTAAGAAAGACTCTCCTTTACTTTATTAGAGAGACCTACTAATCCTAGCGCTGGTTTCGTGAGCAATAGATCGCACTTTCATCGGTCTAATGGCGCATTAACCCACGCAGTAGATGTTGGGAGGACGTTCGAAAAGTTTGTTTTCTCCTAGCATCCCAAATGGTTTATTACGCCGGTAGAATGATAGAAAGTGTAATCTATTGCTTTTCTAACTAAACGTAAAATATTTTAATTTCTTATGGGTTTGCTGGTGCAATAAAAGACAGGTTTTTGACCAATCAGGGCGCTCGTAGTAATTTAGTTGTCATAATTTTTTAAGAGAAAAACTGGCGAGGAACCACAGAAATCGAACTTCAATTACACCAAACACATTTGCATCGACAGCCATTTGTTATGTGACGGAAAAAGAGGCAAATTAAATCTCAATTAAGTTATCCTGTTTTTTTAATTCTAAAGATCGAACTATTTCTAGTATTTCCTTTACAAGCTGCGTATCACTGATGCCGATGTAAGAAATATCAGTAAATAACTAAGTCAAGGTAGAGCTCTAGCAAAATTCTCCGTCCGGACACCACATAGCGTTACCATGATTTTCTCTGACAAAAATAATAATCTACAATGCAGAGATTGGAATTTTTTGTTTGAAGAAAGCCGAGGAAAGTACATCAGTATCTTTATAATACAATTCTAAAATCACTGTTTCACCGTTAAAACTCGTGTCGATATTCTTTGGGCGTCGTAGGGAACCTTAAAAAACGGCAGCAGATGGTGTTTAGTTCGAGATACGCCTAGGGGACCCTTTAAAAGGCAATTCTCCTTGATCTTCATACACACCCGAATCACAGTGGTCATGGTCTGCTGACTATTATTTCTTCCGTTCGAGTCAGCTTCTGATATTTTGTTTTTGATAGAACTCGAGTGCAGTCTACGTATTCTAAAGAAGAAAAATATTTTTTTTCAGAGAATTCAGTTTAACAGTTGGTACTGTGCTGTTTCAAGCTGGTTTTTCATCGACACCGTTGTTACACATTTGAAACTAGCAAGTGCATTAAAATACACAGCTACAGAAACTTATTTCTTCAAGACCGACTGTCGGCGGGTTGAACAAAATTTCAGTTCAACTGAATGTTACTCTTGATCTTTGTAAGACAAAAAATAGTAAATGGTATTTACGATAGGCGCTCCAAATGTATTTTATGCCCGTATTTGAGAGGTCTTTTAACTTCGTCACTGATAAGAATACTTAAAGATCTCAAGTTAACAAATGTTACAGAAGTGGTGAATGGACAGAGAGTTTAAATTTATTTTGTTCTAATGCTTATGTTTTTCTAATCAACGTTTTGAATTTTCAGAAAGATGTTTATAAGCTTTTGCCACACGTATACACCTGTTTCCACTTTGTTATTCCCAGATCAAGTGAGGTGTTCATACAGACAATTAGAATTTGTTACGTAGGGAAATAAAGTGATGCGGGCTTATAAGGAAACACTGATAAAGGAGAAGAACGATAATTTTAGCTCAAAGGCAAAGATAGCTGCTTAAATACCCCCATAAAATAAGCGATTCGCGACACAAACCACGCTCTTCGCTGGCTTTATTAAAATGTCTTATTCAATGCGGCAAAATGAGAACACTGCAGGCGCCACTTTCGGTTTTTTTTGGATACAACTTTCCTTAAATGCACTTTTTTCTTAATCATTTTGAGCTATCGTCATCAATCTCTGGTGTCATATGGCTGTTTACTTCTTTTGTAATCTCCTTCCAAAATAACTCTAGTCGATTATTTTAGTTTCCCGGGACAACCAACTTATCAAGAATAAAATGGAACTTTAAATATTGACCTAAATTTGCAATTCAGATTCTGAAGAAAATACGCGATGGTTTCTGACGGTAAATACAGCAAAACGCCATAATTTTCGTCATCTCTTGCAATTCTGTGGGGAGCAAGGTTTACTCGAGAGTCAATACTCTCGCTAAATTGCATCTCAGTTAACTTAGAAAGGAACACAACTCGAAAATAAAAACGAACTTGCAAAATTTGGATTGTTTTTCAAGGAGCCTTGCAGAAAGAGTTGAAAAACCTAAGCGACGACAGCGCGATCACTTTTGTAAATAAACACATATCATTCTATTTTATTCTAAACTGTATTAGAATAGATTTGCCTTTAAAAATTGAAAACACGCCATACTGGAAAAAATTGGTAGAGAGTCTCTCAGTTTCGAACCAGAAAACCCTAATGCATCTAAAACATTTAACTTGACTCTATAATTTGCATTCACATGCATTGATCGCGAGTAAATTTGGACGTGTTTATCCAAGGTGCAGTCAGCTCTGTTTATTGAATTGCATGCAAATTTTACCGAGCAGAAACGACATTTAGGAAACCCTTTTTGAGGCCATATATGACAAATAGTAGAGCTTTTAGGGAAAAATAAATCATTGAGCCATTAATTGAGAATTCTGATAGCGCTGTGGAATAAAAAGATGACACGCATTTTGGCGGACCTGTGGGAGCGAGTCTGTTCTCTTTCCGCCATGCGATATCGTCAGATGGGGGCAACAAACGCGCCTAAAAACCGACCAGAATACTAGCCTCTTCAAAGGTGTCAATAGAAAACCCTAAAAATTCAGCGTTTAAATGATCAGAGGAGAAACCCCTTTCCGTTGAACTGAGCGACAAAAGTAACCACAAAATTGTCATGGAAAACAACGATATTACACCATCCAGCTAAATAGACAGCTCTTAACATGTTTTTTTCTCTGTATGTAACATGAGTCTATAACAGTGAAAGAGATGATCTACTTACTGTATAATCCATTCTGGAAGACTTGCCTATATTAATCTGTTTCCTTGCAGCGGTAGGTCACGTTTTCTGATTCGACAGCGCAAAATGACCACAATTCTACTTTGAAATATTAAAATTCTGCGTTTTGGACCTCTTGCCAAGTTTCAGTTTGCAACCGAAACGGCTCGAAACTGCAATTAAGCCAAATGCGCTTTCCTTCTTATCATGGCCGGATCTTTCAAGCCATTTTGCAGATCTGGGGGCATCGAAATCAGTTCAACAACCTCATAATTTGCAAGTCAAAAGCCAAGACCGAGATGTGATTGGTCAAACCGAGACAACATTTAACTATATTTTCAATAATATGACTAACGAGGCTTCTCAGAGGGCAAATGTCAGTTTGTAAATTAAACAATTGCATTTGAAATGAAGAAAAAAAAAGATGAATGTACACTGAAAAAGGTATCCACTCTTTTACATTTTATGATTTCACTTAAAGCATTAGCTGTCCCCTTGCCTTATGAGTGCTTAGCTTATCCTAAATAAGGATCCTTTCAATGTATCGCAATTGATGTTCAAAATATTTACAGTTTAAAACGGAAATTTATCACCCTAAATTTCCAGCTTATTTCAAACATCCTTTAGCTTTTTGCGAAAACATATTTCTTGATTAAGCAAACTTTGCACGATTAGTTGTTAGACAATTGTTGACGAATCGAAACGACGTGTAAATGCTTTTGAAAGTGCTTTGCCTTGTCAATTTCTGATCATGATCTTAGAAAATTATATTAACTATCTGAAGTTTTCTATTAGGCTAATTCTCTCTGTGTTATTAAATTGAGTATATAGCCTTTCCTTTTCTTCCTTTGTACCTCACTTTGTCGGTTGTTTTCCAAAGTATCGGATGCCTGCCTCTCTAGGTCAACTTATCTGAACAATTCTTACAAGTAATGGGTTCGAGGTGCTTTTTTTAAAAAACAAAATAAGATAAACACTGCTCGCAGTTGGCTACAGCTTCCGAATGTTCAAATATAGAATAAAGCCTTTTATCTTAAAATATTTTATTTTCGAACTCACTAAAAAAAGAAAATGAATAATGTATGGTACGAAAACAGTGCACGAAACTGCACTGCTTGGGGGAAAATGGTTCTTCCTCAACAATTGGCTGGACTACAAATCGTGTACAGTCTTTATTCTATTTCTGCGGCTTTTACAGCAAATTTGTTTCCGATCAAAGAATAACAGGCGGGTCAGCAAACAGTTTAATAGGTGAGCGAAGAAAAACGTGCTTGTAGACCGAAAGCGTGGTCAAAAACCGTTTCACTTATGGATCAAAAGTTAATTTTCTGGTGGCTTGAACGGCTACGGCTACTGTAAATCAACATGTTGACTTGAACAGGAACAACTATTGCCATTCAGTCAACGACTTATGCATCAAAGGAGGTGTTTGCGAACAATGTGGTTCTTTACAAATCTTTACGGATGGGCCGACATAATAATGCAACCGCAGAGGACAGGTCCTATTTCTGAAAAAAAGCGATTCCCAACAGATTTACACTACGTTTTTCAGCTTTTTTTTTAACACCTTGCTTCTTTTCATTCACCGTGTGCTAATGATGATGAACGATTGCCGACACCTGCTCAGAGTTTTCCCACTTCCGATATAATCGAGACAGGCAAACGAACTCGAAGACACTGCCGTGGAAAACGTTAAGTTAGTGGCGATTTCATTCCTACTTACATATTACCTACGATCGATATCGATCCGCTCGATCTGTTTGCCGTAACTCAAGCTATCCTTCGTTTGATACAACGTTATATTGCAATGAAGACAACAATATTTTCAGTCACCGTATGGGGTAAATTTTAATAACTTGACAACGGCTGCTTTTCTATCAGCAGGAGAAAGCAAACGCCGGGCATTAAACTGTGAGGCCGGCATGCAAACATCCTTGGAGAGAAACTTTCCTCCTTCCCGTTTGAAGAATGGCAAACAAGGCGCGGTACGGTGAAGGGGGAGAGTTAAATTTCGAGTTTGAATCAACTTTTTGAAGTTTGAATCAACTCATGCTTCTTTAATAAATGATCATACAAATTTAAATTTTTCCAACTGACATCAGCTCAGGGTAGTTATGTTAGCCCTTTACATCCTAACACTGATCAATATGCATTTTCTCCATACTGTTCCCTATACATTTCCCAAGGTGCTGACAAGGAGAATTTGTTTAAAATCAAGAGCTTCTTTAGTTGGTGATCATTTTGTTAATTCCCGTGACCTTAATGTGTGATTCAGAGGTGATACTGTAAGGAGAAATTAAGTGCTAGTCACCCTTAGGGTTAAATGATTAGAGGAAAATGGTCGGCTCGGTCATCAAGTAAAGGATGATTTAACATTCCTTCGTCAGGAGCCGGTGGGACAAAGTAAAACTCTCTCAAAATAGCTCTTGATATAGCTCTATTTTGAGAATAGCTCTCTCAAAATAGCTCTTCGAACATCAGAACCTAGCATTTCGCACCTTGATCCTCTTCTCCTGTTTACAGAGGACTCGATAGTTATTTTAGCCTGAAAAAGACTGAAGCTGCTTCCTATTTAGATTTGCATGGTATCAGCTCTACGTTTCTGCAAGTCTTTTTACACCAGGAAATGAAGGATCAGACATTTTTCAAAATAACAATACAAAAAAGGAACTGATCCATATCAGTATCCGTGATGTGAAGGATATAGGAGTCTCGTGGAAGACACGGGTTTGTCTGTAGATGATCGGGGTAACATCTGAGCACTATGCTCTCTGTAGTTAGGCGGCTTTGACACCCTGTCTACCGAACTGTTTTTAACTCCTTTGTTAGACTTCTTAAGTGACGATATCAACGGCAATCGCTTGCGCCCTGGAAAGTCCACAAGTGTTGCTGGAACTACACATGCGCTCCACGAAAGTATACTTTTACGGCTCGCAAGCTCGTCGCTTTTACTATCACGACCGTACGAAGAAGTTTTATTCAAATTGATCGAAAAATGCGAAGAGGGAGCAGAAAAAACTTGGCGATTTAATCTTGGCAGATAATGAAGCTTGTCTTCTTCTTCACGAAAGCGCCGTCTACAAACAACTTCCGGAAGAGTGTTGTTGTCACGTGCTAGTTTTATGCTTTTCTCGCCTATAGTCTCAGAAACTTGTCGGTGTAGAAAAAGCCTTTCCGTGACTATCTTCTCCCTTTGCAAGCGAATTCCCCCTAAATTCCTCACAATCTTCTTTGTTTCCTCTGGAGCAGTTTGTTTCAATTTTGGGAACCTGGGTGAGGTGTCTGTTTCCATGGGAACAGGTGGGTGTAGAGACAATGGTTTGCGATTGTTGAATTTCGAATCAAAATGTCCTTGCATTTCTTCGATACAGGCGTCCACAGTTTCCTCAATATTTCTTAGTCTTTCTTCGTTTAAGTTTCTTTGTGTCCTTGTAAAATTATTTTTATTAGGAGGATTATATTCAGCCATAAACCAAATCGGAGATCTCCATCATCCATGCCTTGTCAAACCCCTTTCCATTCCTTCTTCTGTTTTTTCGGACAAGTCGTTTTCTTCTTTCGGTTGATTTTCCTTGTAGTAGTATCCCTGTGGTTGTCCGCTTTCCAGTTCAGAAGTATTTTGCGTGTTTAACTTCATGGTTTTCCTGATTATTCTCTTTTGTTTACTCTAATAGTTATCATCGATGACGCTGTCGACCATTTTCCTTGTGAATTCAAAATAAAACAAGAAATCAGCTGGTAAACTTTTGTTTGTATCAGTTGAATTACAGTACTCTCTTCCTCGACGATCTTAAGAGTTTTCAGTTCTCTTTTCCTTTAATTGCGATCGACAATATTTATCGCCCTGATTGAAATTGGAGACGAGTATATTTCTTTTTAGTAAACTCTGCCGTCTCAATTGTTCTCAGAGAATACGCTATCTCTTCGCCTTCACTTCTTTCAGAAGGTGTATTTGAATGACCAGAAGTTCAGAATTCCCTCTTCGTCAGTTTTTGACTGGTTCAAAAGCTTCAAATCCCAGCAAGTTTTGGAGTCGAGTGACAAGTTAAAGCTGTAATTAGTAGCTTTTTGAAATTCAAATGAAGCCAAAGTCACGACAGGTGCTTACGAGGGTTAACGGTAAAGCAGGTGCCGTCTCAGGAAGGTAACCGCGGTGGAAAACATCAGTAATATCTAATAGGCCATTTACGAATTACCATTGGCCTCATTTTCAAAGCGAGTCCCCGTTCTAATCCTTTCAAATGATTAGAAGTTTTCATTCACTTGTAAACTAAACTCAATTTCATGCGAATGGTTGAGCACCAGACCTTGTTTTGAAAAAGAGGCAAAAGATAATTCAGATATGGCCTATTTATGTCTTGCATGCCGGATCGACATGCACAAGGTTTCATTAACAACCTTTAATTTTCAAAGTTCAATTTTTTATTTCGTTTGTGTTGGACTAATCTGAGCTTCTTTTCCTTGACGAGTGCCAGAGAGCAGACATTTAAACAAGGAAACTGGGAAAAGATGAATTATCAAATTAAAAATGAAATAAACTGATATGGAACCTATGGCAATGGTTCCTGTTCCCTCACAGTAGAGACAGATTAGTAAAAACAATTTTTATACATAGGGGTGGCAAGTTTAATTTGCTGGTTGGCGAAAGCAGATGAAAAGAACCATGCCGTAAAAAAACTGCCTTAGTGATCCTGAAGAAAACACAGCGCACACCATTTTCAAACAAGCCACGCCGGCTTAACGAAGAAAGGAAAATACCTATGGATTGAAATACCCTGTATTATTTGTTCATGAATAATTATCTTATTCAATACATGACAAATGTTGCAGGGTACAATCATGCAAAGTTTCTAAAAATGGAAAGCGCGTGATTTATACACAACCCCTTTTAATTCAGTCTATGTACAGCAAGTAGAGATATTTCTATATTCACGCTGAGCTTTGATATCTCTTACATAATATACAAAATGTCTTAAATTCAGACCATATCCTTTCATATTGTCATAACCATTAGCTATCGTTACTACACTGAGAGAGGCAAGGGTGCCACCGAAGAGCTTCTGCACGAGTTCCAGATCCCGCTAAGCACTGTGCTCTGTAAGTTCTCCACAACAAAGTTACGTCCAAAGTTCTTAAGCGTTTCATGCTGAAAATTTCTTATCCTTGTCATGAAAGCTGCTCCTCTTTCTTTGCCCTTACACGATGTTTGTATCGTTGTCTGTGAAGCAGATCTCTCGTCCAGATTGTTTACTCAGAATTTCAGAATTCGTTGTCATCGCCTAACTCCAGAAACACGTCATATGCCTCTCGGTTACAGTTACCGTCTGGGGTAAACACGTACTTGTGAAAAGTACCATCTACGCATACAGCTACATCGTAGAAAAAAAAATTATAATGATTGCAAGTCGTTGTTCATGTAGTTGCCATAACCTAAAAGTTTTACAAAATACTTTGTTAACCTAACTAAAGTTTTGACTGGTTCAAAAGAAAAAAAAGAAAAACGCATACATCATTTAGTGATCCATTGGAAAGTTACAGCAGTCGCCACTTCCCGCTCCATCTTCCAGGCTCACGGGAAGTGTACGACGAAACTCTTTTGATGATGTTGAATCTCAAAACTACAATTCTTCTTAGAGTTAACTTGTTAAATTAGCGTGTAAGACACAATCTATGTAGCGTGCCTTTTGCTATTGAAAAAAAGGGGCTATAAGGCCGTTAAAATTCTGGATCTTAGTCCTAAATGAGATTATCAATACGCACCAACAACAGAACTGCCAGACCCAAAGGCACAGATACATGGCTGTTCAGCAGGCACAGTAAAGTTTGCCAAACCCCACTGAGATTCCACGTACTGCCCCAGGAAACCCATCTTTGCGAGGCTGAAAAAGAACAACATCGACGAAGAAACAGACCATTCAGAAAACAGAGTAAAACTAAACGATCACAGATCAATGTCAGTATCTGAACAACTACGCACCAACCCCTTCCCCATTAACCCTAACTTGTTGTCGGTCAAAACTGTTTTCGTGTTAGGGAGGGGTAGGTGCGCAGTTACTCAGATACCAACATTGATCCAAAATGACTGGTGACTGAGTACACATATCAAAAATGGGGAACAATGAACTGAGTTATTGTAACGTAGTGAAGCCAAAAAGGCACGCCTCAAAAGCTTAAAAACATACACTTTATTCCAAGCACACGAAGTATATCACTCCTTACTTTCCCGCTCTCGCAACACACTTTAAGTTCCCGGATATATTTGCGAACTACCGCTGTCCTAATACACTACAGTTATAGGTGAGAAAGAGGGAGGCTTTTTTTTTTTTTTAACAAATTCAAGACACTTGGTTTTCAAGAAGGTATGACTCCTTGATCCTGATTGGCTGTGTGCGCGTCTTTAAGTTTCGTGCTTAAAACTGCTTTGAAAAAAAATCCCTGAACGCAATGCTTCTGAGTTTGTTCTTGATGCGATAATTTGATGAAAACATGAAAAACAGACCGTAACTAGTAGAGGAAAGGGTTATGGCAATATCCATTACCTTGATCTCTTGTTCAAAGAAGTGTTCTTCAGAGCAAAGATATGAACTGTTCCTTTATCACTGGAGACACACAGATATGCAGAATCGTGGCTGAAATTAATGCTGCCAAGAGAACACAGCTTTCTTTTAATATTTTATGTTCAAGATAAAATACATGACTGTATAACAGACCACATTTAAGAAATCACTAACCAATACAGAGTGGCAGGATCTGCCCCTCGTCGTAATTCCACCAGTAAGTTTTTGGTTTGTGAGTCAAACACACGGATAAGTGTGCCCTGCAAAAAGAGGAAAAAGAAAAAAAAGAAAAAAAAATTAACTAATAGGTTTACACAATTTTTGATTTTAGCATTGGGTGCAATTTTAGTCTGCTTATTTGACCAAAACATTTTGTGGATATGTTCGACCTTGACTTCAAAACCCTAACCCTTTTCCACACCAATTTCTGCTTAAAGGTACCACTTTCATTTTCAGATCTATTTAAATTGCATATAAACCATATTTCTTGTGATGGCAAGCTACAACTAAAGAAGATTTTTAATTAGGAAGTTTTACTTTGTTTTCTTTCAATTACATCTTCAAATCTATCATGAGAGGCTGGAAAGATTGTCACACACCTTAACTGAAGCTGTGGCTACTTGAGTACCTTGTTGGTTGACAGCTAGACATGCAAGTTCACCTTGATGGGCATTAATTGTAAATGGTGCTGTTGAAGTATCTGGTTGTCTATTGGTCAGGTCCTGTGAAGCAAAACAAAGAACATGGAGTAGCTTGAGCTATGTACATTTTTGAATGAAAAAAAAAAAGTGATTGTGGTACCTTACCTAAATTAGTTTAGAATTTGAGCAAACTCAGTTATAATTTAAACTCAATGCAGATGATAAATGGAAGAAAATGGACAAACTCACTTGGGTTTGGTAGCTTTATTCAATTATGGCAAATTAAGTTTGGCTAAGTTATACCCCATTTACACCAAAGGTTCAACATGTTTTAAAGCTGTTTTGTTACACATGGTTTTAAATTGGTTTCTTCCTATAAGCTGTTTAAACTGATGTTTGTCTACTTCAAATTTAGCAAATTGAACATACATGTTGGAGAATACTTAAAACCTATGGAAGTTCAGTTTATTGGTTCTCTCCTTCTGGTTTTTATTAAGTTAAACCTGGTCTAACTACATGTGTTTGTTGGTGTGAATGGGGTATTAGTTTCAGCAGATCAATTAGCAAGTACTTTACATTGGATTCTCATAGATTTAATTCATGCTTAAAGCATTACATTATGTTAGTGCAGTGTGAAACTACAGTAATTTATGTAACATCAAGAGTTTCCATAAACTTTTCACAGGTGACTTCTGGTGGTGGGAAAGGTTACTGTGACCATGAAATGGACTGTAAGAAAATGTTAAAAATGCAATCGAAACAGATACTTGTCATGGATAGCCTTCCATAACATGATTAGAAATGAAAAAGTCTGTAGTAATACCCCTCTACTATTGGGCTAGTCAGGCAGTGTCCCACATGACTGTAGAATTAACTCAAACTTTCTAAATTAACCAGTCATCATTTTGAAAATCAGGTGTATACGTATTTAAATGGCTATACCAAGTTAAGGATAAGCAAAACTAATTTTTATCATACCACAAGTTGTATACTTCCACATTTGCGTGATGGAAAAACCAACAGGGGCCTGTCAATACTTGGACAAACTTCACAGAGACCTAGGAATGTGTGAGAGATAAAGTCATAAAACAAAATTAAATACAGCCAAAGACAAAGGCTGCACAATTAACCCTTTCACTCCCAGAAGTGATTAACAAGTAACTTCTCCCTACAATATCCATGCCCTATCCAGCAAACAGGTAATGAGAATACTCAAATGTATCAGGTAGGAGTTGTTATTTTGATCTGACAACAAATTCTCATAACTTATTTAGAAGGAAATATGTAGCAGCTAGAGGGGAGAATTGAGAATCAGATCTTGGGAGTTAAAGGGTTAAAGGGAAGTCTGTTTAATTTCAAATAGCTATCCAAAAGCTTGCAATAAACTGTTGAAGAGCAACTGTCTCTCGTGATTATAACAAAAAGTGTACCTCTGGGATTTTCTTTTGTGTCAAAGTAAAACAGCAAATTTGGATCTTTAGGAAATGAAAATACTTGAATCCTTGTCTTCAGCACTACAAAAAGCCTGAAAGGTATAAATTGTACCACCACAAAATTAACATCTATAGTGGGCAGATCACTTGTCTTAAGAAAGCACAATCAATGTAGTAAGGATGATAATCCCTATAAATGATAATACTTTCTCCATGTACACATGCGTTGCCAGACATTTTTATCCCTCCCCTCCCCCTCTCCTCCATCTTTGTCCTTAGACCCTCCTATTGTATGTAATGTACTACGTAAACACAAAAACTTACTTGTCTCTTCTTAACCTGATGCTTACAACTGGACAACCAAATGAGAGCTCCATCACAAGCTTTTTTAACAGGTCATCCCAAATGTACACTAAATATCAATGAAACAGAAAATTTACTCTTCGAGGTTGCTTGTCATAGGTATGTTTTAGTGTTATCAAACTTGCATTTTCAATATAGCACAAAAATCTGTTTTGAAAATGTTTTTTTCAGTGAGTCTAATGGGATATATGAAGCAAGCTGGTGCTAAAGCAAAATGCAGCATCTAAATTTTTTTTTTGACATTTTTAAATTGAGGGACATTACTTACAGTCATAACTACCTTACAGTTTTGCCATTGCACTGTGGCACTTACAAGACTCCTCTCACAGAAGGCTTAACTTCACAAAATGTGGGATGTAACACTAACAAGGGTGACATTGCACTTTACAATTTGCATCTTAAAAGAAACCCTCTCACTAACAGCTACTGTCTGATTCGATATTACATGTACGTATGATACCTTTGTCATTAAAAAATCTTGCTCCTGGTCCCGTTCCTACAATGGCTAATAAGTTACATCTATGTAACATGTGAGCCTGGGATATCTGGACTGGCTCATTCAAATCTGCAAACACAACAATAATGATAACTTAACGAAAAACTATTTACAAACATGTCTACAGGTGCGCAAATTAGCTAACTTAAATCACAAGGCAGTGTTTTTTTTCACTCATTTCTATTTCCTTACATGACACCAGCACTTACCCCTAAAGAAATTCGTATATGCTACAAGTTTATCTCTGTTCTATAGATACAGCTAGTAACATATTTGAGACATAGATAGTATTTTCTTTCCAGATCGATTATTTCATCAGACATTATTTCACACGAGCCTCTCACATTAAGTAAATCACCACCATCACACATGATTTTACACGTGGAAATAAAAACATAGATGTAATGAGAATTACCACGTTATAGATTGACTCACCAACACGAGCCTTTTCTGACAGAGGCTCCACATTATAAATTCTAAGCCCTCCATCCATGGTACAGCTAAAACAACCTAAATCGGTGTAAACAATAATAACAGTCAGAGTGTCTCATATTTTCAAATTTACTCACTCGTTTCGTCAACATTATCATTCCATCAAAAGCCTATTTTATCTACTTTCGACAATCACCACAAGAGCCTATTCCACGAGGAAAGGTTCTGCCAATCATTTGAAGAGCACGTAAGTTGGAGATTTCTTACGAAGCACTTTCGCAAGACAGCACCGGTGGTGAAGATTAGCGGATATTTCGTGAATCCGTCGTTCTCAAGACAGAAATCACTGAGAAATTCAGATAGTAAAAATTCACCTTGGTCTTGGTTAAAATCTAGATGGAATATATCGTTTCGTCGCGTCATATTCGAAGAATAATAATAAATTTCCTCCTCACGCTCACGCCAGTACCATTAATATTTTTTGAAAATGTCCCTTAGTAACCTGGCACATTTTGCTTGTAAATAAAGAATAGTACCAAGTAGCCTCCCCTAGGGAAAGCCGAGATGTCAAGAACAATAGTTCCTGGAATGATTTAGAGCACCAAAGGAAATACTTGCAAGGGTATTTTTTCACGTTTGAAATAAAACCTTGTCAGGTGAGTGAATTTTTTCTTGAAAGGATTTCATGAAAATGTAAACAGCTTATTCACCTCTCCCTACACTGGTAAGGATCTGTTTGTTGTTGTCCGTGTGGTCGTTTCTGTGGGTTTGTCTGCGGGGGCTTGAAATCGGGCGGCATCAAACTCACACGTCGAGCTGTTTCCTGGTGTTTTTATGAAAGATTTTGGCCTCTGTGAATGCTACTATGTATCACAAATAAGGTATTTCAAATGTAGGTGCTTAATATTTTCAGGGATGTCGAAGGACAATAGTTTTCTTCAACAGTTAATCCTCATTATTATTTCTAATCACGTCGCGCATGAGAACATTGAGGACAGAATTGTGAATATCATTTGACCTGATTTGACTCCTCTACAACGTTACATTTGAAAGCTTTGACTGATTATACAATGCTCCTGAATGTATTTGACCCGAGGATGTTGTTTCACGTAAAAAGAAAGATGTGTAAAGCTCTGAAGCTGAATTAATTTCGTATGGATTATAAAAGCAACTAATAAAAGACAAATCGGGCCTTATTCGACTTTGATCTGCTCTGCTTTGCACTCAGAAAGTGAAAACGTTTAATTCTTTGGCTCAAGTGAAAACTTGTAGTTGCCTGTTTTGAGGTTTTCTCTAGTGTCATTACAAGTTGGTCCCCTCATTGGGCATAAAATTTATTGACTTAAAATCAAGAGGATTATTATTGTCAGAGAATTGTTCAGGGCTTGAGGAGGGTGAATTCTCACCACGCCTGAGTCAACTTAGTCTTGAAGTAGATTTATACTACATTTCATTTGCATTTTATTATATCATTTGCAACAATGCACATGGGTACAGTTGACCTGGACAAAATGACCTAAGGTTGATAAGTCTGAACAATGTGGTTTTTTTATTACATCCATTTTGGAATCATTGGTGATCCTTACAATCTGATTGGCTCTCAGCAGTGAATGAATTGCACTATTATGAATGAATTGCACTATTTTTTGCTTTATTGGTAATTTAATTAATTTTAATTGATTAACTAGCTTTATGGGAATTTTTTGTTTTTGTTTTCTTTCATGTGAGGTGATGGAGAGACAGATACTCAAAAGATTTGATTTTGTACCCAGGGTTCTTGTTTATGTTAGGTACCTCAAGGGAGGGGGCTTATTCTAAATCAGGCACTTATTAGGTACAGGGTACTTATTGTTATAGGGGTGCCTATTGGAATGAGGATGCTTACTCAGTAGGGGTGCTTGTTAGAATAAGGGTGCTTAATGAGCGAAAAAATGTGAGAATGGTGCTTTTTAGAGAGGGGTTGCTTCTTAAGAGGAAGGCACTCAATTGAATCATTAATTTGTGTGGCAAATTTTTTCAACTTTTGTCCTGAAAACTTCTTTTTTCTTTTTCCAGTTCTGCTGTTATTTTTTTTTCACAAAGTGGCTCAATACTAGATTAACCCTTTAAATGCTAAGAGTGACTAGCATCTAATTTCTCCCTACAATATCTCTTCTGAATCACACATTAAGGTCATGAGAATAAAGGAAATGGTCACTAGGGAAGGAACCTTTGGATAAGCAAGCAAATTCTTCTTGTCAGGAAATTAGGAAATGCAAAAGAGTGGTGTGGAGAATATGCATACTGATGTTAGGGTCAAAGGGTAACAATAAATTGGGTGATTGAATTTTACATTTTCAAAATGGATGTATTGATTTTGTGGTAGTTGAACTTTGTGTCATGCAATTGTGGTTTGATATTATACTTGTGATTTCAAAGCAAACTGATACTACGTGTTCATTCAATTTTGAAATTAATAATACATATGGAAAAATTACTCAGTTTTGATTGGTTAAGATAAATGCAGTTTTCAGGTAATTCAGTGCAGAAGAGAGTTAATTCAGTGCAGAAGAGGGTTAATTCAGTGCGGGAGAGAGTTAATTCAGTGCAGAAGAGGGTTAATACAGTGCAGAAGAGGGTTAATACAGTGCAGAAGAGGGTTAATTCAGTGCAAAGAAAGTAACAAATCAGACATTCTGATTGGTCAATAATCAAAGAAACTCACAGATAGCCAATCAAATGCGAACCTTGGATGTCATAACAAAATTTGAAAATTTGAAAATTTGCGAGCGAAACGATGGCCAGTGTTTTAAGTAGGTTTTCTTTCACCACCACAGCTGAAAAGCAGCTTAAACAATGAAAACACTGTAAAAAGCACCGCTTTTTGGTTGTTGATTTGGAAAAAGTGGTGTTTAGAGAAGGGAATTGCCAAGGAAATCGAAAATTTACAAGCCAACCCAGCTTAACACTTTGCTCAAGTGATCCAATGCTGAAATTAAAAACAAACATGGTTAAACCTCAGAAACGATGATTCCATTTTATCAAAAGTGATTCAGACACAGACTAAACGATTCCTTGAACTGTTTAGCCAGACTTTGAACTCTTTTGCACCTTAAAGATGTGAAGATATCATTGCATATTATTGTTTTGATGGTATGCAGTTGTTTTGACCGAATGCACGGTTTGAATAAATTATTTTTGCACTTGATGTGTGTGCTTTGCTTATGCTTAATTATGATCAGCCACCTCATATTTTTCCATGTATATTTTTAACAAGTAATCACCTGATTTTTCTCGTGCAATTTGGAATAAACAAGCACTTGTGCTTATTTATTCCAAATTGCACTTGAAATCATGTGATTACCTACACAAAGCAGATGATTTTAGCCAAAATTGCACTGGTCTCAGCTCAATTACCATCATATATATAGATAAATTTCTATTACTTACAGGAAGGCAGTGTTGAACTATTCCAATCATGTCAAGTAGAAATGAATCTGTGATACATTCCCTGGCTTACACTGGATGTTTCAAGACGTTCAGTACTACTTCATGTGTAAGGTACTGGTCCTGAATAATTTTGTATTCCATTTATATTTTTATATTAAAATGTGGAGACCTCAAACTGACACATTTACCCATTTCGTACTTTTAGGGACACCAGTTTAACAATACTGGCCATCATCACCTGCATTGTCTGTGTTGTGAGGGTAATTTTAATGGATAGGTTTTTATTTATACTTTATATTTTGTCAGTGTAAATATTTTTAGCAGTTGGTATTGAAAATGTGATAAGGTGAAAGGTAGGAAGCAGCTCTAAATTGTTAGTTGCAACTGGAAAGTCCTTTCTGATGTAGTTTTACCTCACATCCAGGTAGACGAGCCTAACATTCTGCAGTCATTTTTAGCACTTTTTAATGGTGCTCTTTTCTATAACATCTGCTTGCCTGGACACAATTTTCTCTTCCCACTAATTTCTGGATATTAACATTATATTTTCTTGGTATACTTTAAGCATACCTTAGGGAATCTAAACCCAAGCTAATTTATTTGTTGTTGAATTAATTACTAGTGATAACTTTAATAAAAGAAATGATGAATTATTTAATTATAATTTCATCAATTTTTTTTTTTATAATATAGCTTCATAAGCTCCACTCTCATCGCCATTCCTTGCCAAATCAGTATATTGTATTTTACAGTGGGATTGTGGAATGCTTTCTTTGGTAAGAATGGTTGATTCCAGGTTGAAAGTGATTAATTGATAAAATAACAAAAGAATGGCCAAACCAAATTTTGACATGATTTGTGATCTTTTACTGATCGTATTTGTAACATGCTACACAGTATGTATTCTCTAGCTGTAAATCAGAGACTATAATATGTCTGATTAGCTGGTATAAATGTTCTGTCTAATAGAACATGTTATATCTGTGTTTTAGTGGCTTTAACTGGTTTTACCTGGCTGTTACTGCTGTATACTTTCTAACACAGTTCATCAAAGTTGCTTGTCAGGTGAGGTGTTTGCTAAAATATGAATGATGTACATGTGTTATTGCTAATGTATGTGCACATGGATTTACAAACTTAGACTACAAGCAGTCCCTCCTTTCCAGCAAAGTCCAAAAAAAAAGAAAAGACAAAAAATGCGAACAGCTTGCAGGGTGGGACTCTGGGTGAAGCTTTTTGTGCACCTTAACCTGTGCTATATGTGCCTACATATATTAAATTTTTTTGTCACTATATACTTTTTTGACTTGTGAAATGGACTTTGCTGAAAAGGAGGGACTACTTGTAGTTTAGGACTTGCAAATTATAATCATACAATGCCTGTCATAGTGCAGTTATTAAACATTTGATATTCTTTTTTTCCTCCACCAGCTTCTTGTAGTCACAAATTTTCATTGCCATCTAGCAGCTAGGATGATGAGAGTTGAGGATAGATTTAAAAGGTATTTTCTCATCTACTTACATTTTAGGATTTTTCTAAGGGTAAGTGGTACATGACATATCTCCTCAAATTAACTCACTTGAGGTGACTTTGTTACAGCAATAAATTTGGATCTCTCTGTTTACCCACCTCCTGATCTTTAATTTTCAAAGCACAAGTGAGGGCTTAGAGAGAATGGGGGGTGGGAAGAGGAAGTGGGGAGTGAGAATCCAAAATCTTGTTTGTTACTCTTTTGTCACTTACTCAGTGTTCTCACCAGAATTTTGCCTTGGCAAGTCCTAGGCCCCCCTCTGCAGATAAATAGGGGCCCTGTAAGAACATTAGGAGAAAAAAGTCCTCATGGTCCTTAACTGGTGTGGAAAAAATTATTCATGATTTCTCTGCCTTCCATTTCATTAAAGCATGTTCAAAAGGGAACTCTTCCAATGGTGATCCTTCAGCTGAAATCCCTATTTGGATGTCGAACTTTTCTTTTTGTAGCCTATTTCTCTCACAGTTTTTAAGGTTGTTTCAAAGGATGAAACCACACGGTATGAATAAACTGAGCTTGCATTCATTTCATTCGAACAAGCAAAATACTGCAGGGTGTTAGGTTGACCAGGTTGTTAAAACTACTTAACTATAGATGTTCTAAAGTCAGTTTGATAATGAGCTTGTCCCATCAGCCTTAATGGGCCCATTCTCTTGGCTTTGAATGCACCATCTTGGTTTCCTTACAGGAATCCCGCAAGGCTGTGGCCTGTTGAGAACACTGCTTACTGCCTTTACCCTTTACTTTCAATTGGTATCTTAGCCTTCATTGCAAAATAAAGGTTGCAAAGTCAAAATGAATCAAGGTTTTCTGTTTTAAATTGCTCTCCTGCTTCCTGCCGTAATTAAAAATTCTACTCATGGCCCTTTACTTTCCTTTGTGTCTTATAAACTACACTGGTAGTTCTCCGTGGCTCTGCCCTCCTCTTCTCTTCCCAAAAGGAAGTGTTGAGTAGGTGTCAAGGGTTACATCACATGTAGGTAAAATAGCTTACTTAATGCAATCAAAGATAGAGTTTTAACTTCACATGAATTTTGCTAGATATGTTGTTGTGTGGACAGACTTATCACTTTTTTTTATTTCAGGTACTCTAACAAGCTGGTGGCAGCTGTATTTATTACCCTGGCTGTCTTTGCTATTGTTGGACTGGCAACAATGAAAAATGAATACAGAGAGTGTACAGGTATAATCATTAGGAGAGTGTTGTTCCTGAGATATCCATTCCCCTGCTGTAGAAGGCTTTGGTTTATTCCCCTTACCCAGCATTCTGGATCTTCTAGCTTTGGCTCATCATTTTCTTTTGAGAATTGTAACATTTGAAAAATTGAAACATTTGGGGTTGGAACAATTTCCAGTGGAATTTCCAGTGGAATTTCCAGTGACTCTTCATAGGCTGCATGGGTATGGATATTTTTTTGGGAAATTCCTGCTTAATGGTGCTTTGACACAATCATCACAACAGTCAAACCTGTATTAAGTGGTGACCCATTGGGAATGGCAGTGTGACAGCTAACTACCAGTTGATTACTCAATACAGGTTCCACAGAAGAGGGGTAACACAAAAAACAATAAAAAAGTGCCATTTTCTGCTGTAATTGACCACTTAATGTATGAACTCTTGCTCAATAATACTGGCAACTTTGATTTTGGGAGAGAAACAAGAATTTAATTGTACTTGAAAGATTATTCTTAGTTTTACTAGTAAGAGTGGTTGTGCTTTAAGGGACTGTTCAATACAGATAGAAGATGTGATACAAAAAGGCCTTTGGTACTCACTCAAAGGTGACCACAACTGCTTAAGAGGTGATGGCTGATATTAGAGGTGAAAATGACAGTGATTATGGGGAAACTGCCTAATATGATGCTGCTTTATATGAATTAAGTTCTGATGTGCCATTGATGTTGTGAAACGTTAGTTAAATGCTTCAAGTTCCAGGGGATGTAGCTTTTTCTGCATTGATTTCAGTAATGATTTTAATATTTTATTGCAGAACCTGAATGGCTGCTCTTGTCAAGTGCAGAAATTTTAGTTGTCCAAGTTTTCCTGATGTCAGGAATTTTCATTACAAGGTAGTTCCAAAGAGAATAGCAAATACTATTCACTTCCGAGCAGCTAATGAGACTAAATTGCACATCAAGAGTTTAATTCCCAACCATTTTTTTGTTATATTAAAAGAAAGAAATGAATTTTTTGGTATCTGTGAGGTATACATCAATAAAAACAATTATTCACCTCCGTGTTGGTGAAATTGGTGGTCATTTACCATGCCACTTCATGGCACAGTAAATTTACATCACTATTCACCTTCCCATCGTGAATAGTTGTTAATGGGTAAAAGTACCCATGACACCCCATCAGTCAACTAATTTTCCCTCCTGCCCTTCCTTTTCTTGGGGGGCCTATAGCCCCCTTTTAAACCTTCTGAAGTTTTCCATATTCTCCTGTACTGGGAATATGGACATTTTTTTGGAATCATGCATTGGAAAGGTTGAGATTGGAGATTAAAGCTTTACTATTTGATTCACAGGGAGCTCAATAATGTTCGTATGTTAGAGGATGACAGGACTGCCCAAAAAAGAGATTTATGGGGGTGAGTGTTTGAAAAAATTGATTAATATTTATTTAATAAATGTTGGTAATGAAAGAGTCAGCTGATGTCAGATTTGATGTAAAATGGTAGATAGTTTATCAGATAAACAAATTATGGAGATAAAGGTAGAAATGTATCTCTAAGTTACACCATGAACAAAGTTTTGCATTATTTTCTTGATGATTATTTCCCTAGGGGAACCTAGTGCCACAAATATTAGATGGTAAACAGATGAGAAAACAATGCTTAGTGAGATGCAGGTGCAGGCCACCTACAGCAGACTTTATTTTGTGATGAATTTTTAATAAGGAATTAGTCCCATGACCTCAAGATTACGATGAGATTAATGTTGTTTCATTTTCATGTGTAACACTTTGAATTATTGATTTGGTTTTCTATTTTTTATCCTGTTAAAGGATAATCTTCATTTTTGAATTATCAGCATTGGTCAGCCTTGTTCATGACCTGGTCATGAGAATCAGTAAGTACTTGGAACATTCTCTCTCCTTATGGTACAGCTTGGAAATACTGCCTACCTGGCTATTAATCATTCATTTATTGTAACCACCATAAGTTTTGGGACAGCATGCACCTAGCTAGATATGCAACTTTAGATGTATACAGCTCCTGTGAGTGAGCATACCTAATTTTCAAAATTCATTTGGTGGATGTACACTGTATTTTTAATTAAAACTCTTCCCAAAAGTATTTTGTTCAATTGCAGCTGGACCAAAGAATAACTGTCAAGGAGTATTGGTAAGAAGATTCTGTTTAATGCTAAAAAAGGAAAAAAAACTCAGTATTTTGTCTTATTTAATCAAACTGATAAGGAAATGTTACAAGTAAACTTTGCACCATGCTGTGCCTAGAAAAAAAAAACCAGGGACTAAATTTGCTGGGAAAGTGGCCAGTTTGGATACCTGTGTGGGTAGCTATTGAGCTAAATGTAACCTTTCTATTACTTTTGATAATGAGCTGTTCAGGTGAGACAAACACGTTTAATGTTCAAACTTGTTTCTTTCAGCTGTCAAGCAAAGCAGGCTACACAGCAGTGTACATCACTGTTAATGTAAGTTCAAAAATTGCATGTTTGTGAAGACAAACACTGGGACATTTAGTTGCAGTTGTTTTGCTTATTAGAGTTTTAGGCCATTAGAGTTCATTAGGTGGAACAACTTAAGGAGAAGTGGCACTAAACATGTGGTTAAGAAGATTGGTCTGCATAAATGTGATGCTGTTTGGTGCAAATGTCAACAAGCAAAGAGCAAACCAAGATAGATGCATTGCTGCTGAATTTATAATCAGAATTTTGACAAGTGTCACTTGTATGTCGTAAATAGTTCAGTTTAGAATGCACCAAAATTTTGCATGGACAATACACTGTAACTGTAGAAAAGGAGCACCTCTCTGAAATGGGGACTGAACATCTTCCAGTTGTCTGCTAGATGAGCCCCTTAGCATGGCATATTTACTGAAATTAAAAACGAAAATAATATTTTAATCAGCAAAGGAAATTTGCTGGTGTTGCTGTTATATGCAACCCACCCCCACTTTTCCTTTTCTCACTTAGTTTGTAATTACCCCCTCAAAATAGCCAAGGAAAGACCAATTACCTGGGCTTATTTACTATAATTTAGAAGAAGAAGGCATATTCCCCCACATTTCTTTGGTGGAAATGGCATGACTTGTAACAATGTGTCAAAAGCATTATAAATATCTAATGTAGAATTTTAACAATCAGATGTGGTGGTTGTAGGGAAAACCTGTATGGAAATTTTACACATGGGAATAAAATCTATTAAAATTTTCCAGATTATCAGGTGGCTCCTACCAATATGGGCAATGGCAGCAATATTTGACACAGAAAATAACCAGTGCAGCCAGGATGACTATATTGCACCAGTTTTTGCAGTGAATGATGACTCTGGGGTCAGTTGATATCTGTAGTCTTAAGTTTTGTATGCTAATGCAGTAAGTGTAAAGTATAAGTTGAAATAATATTGGTTTATTTCACTTTCACACTGTAGTTGAAACCTTGGGTGAGCAAACTTTCTCTGTTGAGTGCTTATTATTGACTTTACAGATAAAAATTAGCATAAAGAGTTGGATCAAATTCAAATGATACAATTCTGGGTAAATGATCAAGGGTTGAGAGAACGACTTCAGTTTTAGAAAAATTTTTTAAATCAAGTTTTAAAAATTAAATTAATTAGGGTTTGTTTTAATTTTATGTAGTACACTCTATAGCTTGAATTTGTCACTAGGAAGCTAACATACAAAAGAAGGTTATTTGCAAATGATATAGAAATGTACCATGATTATCGCTGCTGAACTGTCTTACTAGTTTTAATAGGGTTCATCGAGAATATTGAGAATTATAGTGTAAAACAGTAGGACAAGACTCTCCATGCACAAATTGGTAGTAGCTTAGGCTATAGAAATGTAGCTAGAGAACCCAGGTACTGGCTGAGCCAATACCTAGAGAATTCTCTTCATCTCTAATTCCTTACATGTACATGTAGAAACACCCAGAATTTTAAGTTAAAACATCCACCTTTACATGTTTTGCTGAAGTTTCACTTTCAGCCCTTTTTTTCTTGCAGAACTTCACCTCTGAATTCCGTCCTAGGGGAAGTAGTTTTCATTACAAACATTTACATGATGGTGTTGATGATGTTGCAAGCCAACCCTTAATTCCAAGTCTTGGCCCTAGCTCCAAGTCTTTGTCAAGTATGAGTTCATCTTATGGATCAACAGCATGGAATCAGAAACCTTGGGGTCAAGGCTCATCAGATAGGTATCCTCCCATATCGTAACAATTTTGTGAGGGAGCACAGTGTTCTGTAGTGGTGCAGACTCCTGGATTCCAACATTTGCAGGCAGTTTTTAGATCAGTCAAAATTAGATCCAGTTGTTATGATAAGATATAATTGATGATGATATGACAACAACATCATAACACATCATGATGTTGTGTAGTTGAGTATTAACAATGCATAACATTATCAGAGATGGGATGCCATTTACATATCAGCAAATTTTATTTGCTTATGGAAACAATTTTACCTTCTAATTATATGTAAGGCGTACGCATTTCATCAGTGCTTTATGTGTTGTTTTGCCCTGTATGTTAATATGGAAATTTCTGTTGTGTGAAGGTTAGGTGGGTTTTACATGAACATTGCAAAAAAAATTTCATGCAAAACAAGTTCAAGTGTTAAAAATGAATGAGGTTAATTTTCAAGTTCTATTGGAAAAAAATATTGTTTTTATAATTGTTTGTAGTTATATAATTATTAACACATTTTTAATACTTGCTACATTTTCATCTGTTTGTGAACCATTATTATTATATGCTCTAAATTTTTTGGTATATTTCACTAGAACTTGAAAATAACCTCAGAAAGGTGGAAACATTGTTCATTTTTATTGCTGTTTTTTTCTTTTTGTTACAAAATCTATATATGAGAAACTTCTTATTAAAAAAAATTTACTTGTTTTACGAGCCAATTTGCACAAGAATTAAGTGGATGACTTGAGATTATTTTTCAATAACAATAGGCATTCATCTGCTGTTATCATATAAGAGTGACTAAACATGTTGAAATTTTAATATGCAGGGTTTACTAATTTTTGCTGTGAGTACCTTCTCTTAAATATAAATTTTATAAATTGAAATGTACTTTTATAAGCAAAATAATGTAATTTTAGTGGTTGCTGTGACTGCTTATGTGCATCATAATTTTAAAATGTATATTTTAAATATATAAGTCACCTGTTGCATGAATTATCAGAGTTCATGTTGATAAGGGAAAAGTGAAAAAAACAAAACAAAACAATATTTAATTATTTGGTCATGCAACAGGGGAAATTTGTTTATTCCTATGAAAGACATGATTTAATTTATGTAATCTTTACTTTGTAAGAGGTTGATATTTAAAGAAGTTGATGCAACTGTCAGATGTTAAATAGAAGTGCCAGGTAGCTAACATGCTTTGATGTCTTAAGACTTCAATATCACTCAAGGCTGGGATTATTTCCCCACATAAGTAGTAAATAATCTTGATGTTAATGGTAAATATTATACTTGTGCCACTGAGCATCAAATCAAGTTCTGTTTATTCATCATAAGAGGTCTCAGAACATTGGAGAGCAGATGTTTTTCTTTTTGAATTGGAGGTTACAGTAGATGAAAAGGAATTAGAACTAGCTGCAGTAATAATCATAACTTTTACAATGCAGTGAACTTCTTGGGAAGAAGTGCTGTTGGCCAGTATCTCACAGTTGTTGTTAAAGCACAGTGCTCCGGATCTAATTTAATTGATAGGCAAAGTTTTATAGGCCTGGTCAATAAAGCACTCATGTTAGGCATCAGCACATTATAGCTATCCTGTTTCAAAATATTTATTTCATTAGTGCTAAACCTCTTGGCTCTTTTATTTACAACACATTTGGTTTAGAGGTATACTTTGAGCCCCTCCCTCTTTCCATAGGAAGTTAAATAGAATGAGCATTGGTTAAGTTTTAATAAAGGGCAGATGGGTTGTAAATATTATTTCAGGTATTTATTAGTTCATGTGGTGTTAGCACTCATCACAAGTAGTATTTATAAATGTGCTGGTGTGAATGAAATAAAAGTATAATGATGGGGTGAAAAAGAATGTTAAAGTTCTCTTGTACAGTTGTATGAATAGATGAAATGGTGCTTGCATTTTAAGCTTGTCATCAAATGAAGATGCCTTTGATGCTGCCGATCCTATTAGGGAACAATATGATTGTCACATATGAACCCAAGACATGGCTAAGCTCTCAAATGGGCCTTTTTTGTATCTCACAGCAGAGCAACTGATTGTGATATTGGAAAGGTCTTTGCTTTGAATTCTCAAGGGGAATTAATTTTCTTCTTTTTCCGACATTTGTGACAAATGGTTGAAATCTATCTTCACATTTTTTTGTGTAGGAATGTTTTTGTAATCTCATACATGGCTTTAGTTTACTTAGTGCAGTGTTAATCTGCTCACTCCCTCCCTTGTTCCTGTGCTTCTTTTGATTCAGCAGCTGTGCTCATCCCTTAAAGAATTAACTGTATTGTGTACAAATGTCATCCTAAACTGAATCACCCATTTCATGCCAACCTCAATGCAACACCCAAAATTATTTTAAGGCTCTTTTTATATGCACAGGAGGTGACCTAAAGAAGTAAACATGAGTCAGGGCCAGGAAGTATGATGACAAAAGATCTATATTACACGTAATCCAATATAATTTATTCCACCACAGAGCACAATGCTCCTTTAATTTAATCTGAAATTAAAAATACATCATTTCCATAAATCTCTACTCCTGGTATGTAATTGCTATGCTGTATGATCACTACCCAGACAGGAAGAATAATCTAGTAGATTCCATCAGAGTTCATGTTTCATGTAAATTTTTGTTAACTTGTCAACAGATCTTTAAATGGAAAGACGTAATTAAAAAGTGGTACTGATATCAAAGAGGTCTGCCAAGATAATTAAAGAACACTTCAAAATTTAACCTTTTAACCTGTTAAGCCTTTAAATGTGTGAGGAATTTAAGTAATTGTGAAAATAATCTGAAGAAAATGGACATTTGCCAACATGGATATTTTTACCGCCTTTCATCTTATAACTTTATGCTTGAAGAATCACCCAAGAAAAAAATCTCTATACATTTTCCAATTTAGCATTAACATAACCACAAACTACATCAAATTGAATCTTCAAAAACTTACAGGAATGGAAGAATATAAATTAAAAACTTGAGGAATGTATCAACTATTAATAAACTCTTCTGTCTGTCATGTTTTTGTAGTGTCAAGGAAATTTCTGCCTTTGTATACCTTTTTTAAACCACTTGAATCGTCTTTTTGGGTTTGACACAATGTTGCAGACCCAAGGGCAAATAATTGTGTGGGAGGAAGAAAAACAGCTGTTTTGACTCATTTTGAAGATTTCCTTGTTAGGGTTAAGCCAAACTCTTCTTCATTTTTCTCATCCAAAATTATTTGTCCCTGGATTTCCAAAAATTTTGTAGGCATAAAAATGTTCTTGAAGCATAGTATTAAAGGAAGTGGGGGAAGGTTCTGTAAATCTGTTGGAGATGAAATTACACGTCTTGCACGTACATGTTATGCCTATTAAATGTCACTTGTCTTATGACTAAGATCTGTTTATGAGTCATGAATCATTGGTCAAAAGACATTTTTGTACCAAGTATTTTTAGTAAATTTAGTTGTGTCCATCTGTCTTACTAAGAAGTTTGCCAGAGGCTATTTTTACTTGTGTTAGGGTATGATTTGTTTCACCTGGTCTTTATAGCAAATGAACAATACAGATCTAGGTATTTTTCAGTAATACTTCTGTTCATTATCATTGTTCATCATCAGAAGGTAAAAAAAGGGAAGTGCAATTGTGTTGTCACAAGGAAAAAAAAATAGGTCCTCTATTTTCAAACTAGCAATTAAAAGTTGTAATTTTCTGTACTTTTTGATATGTAGACTCTTTTCTTATTGTTTTTTTTAAACAATTGATCTCACTTTGCAGTACTGTTTTTGTTGTTAGTTTTTCTTTGACAGGAAAATTCCTGCCAAAAAATGTTAAGCACCACCCAAAACTTTATTCCAGTTTTATTAGTAAAGTTGAAGCCTATGCCATTGTGCTACAGGCTTCCTGGGGTTACCCATCATTTCAGTCCAGTGCCTTAGTGAGCTGCCAGTGGTGCGGTATCCCAAGATTATTTGGCCAATCATCTCATTTTGTGTGATACGGTCAAAGTCCATAACAGTGAAGACAAAGGTTATGTCTCTAAGCTTGTCAACTGGAACATAGAATATGAAGGATTCATTCCACACAGGATCTTTTGATCTCCTCTTTATTGTTGTTTTCTTCTTGTCTAACCTCTTCCCTCCATGCATGGAATAGATTTTAACATATGGATCTGGAAAATGTTGATAATGTTGTTCATGAAACTTGTTAGATACAAATGAGGAAAGACTAAAAAGTGTTGGGAAAAAAAAAAAAAAAAAAAAAAAAAGGTACACCCTTGGCTCAGACCATTCTCTTACAAAATGCAAGCAGTTATGTAACCTTATAAATCAGACATACTGACATACTGTTTTCTATTGTACCTCTTAAAGTTCCCGTCTTCAGCTGCACAATGCCCTTCCAGCAATGGAAGTTGCAGTGCATTCAAAAAAAGCAGATTCAATCCTTCTTTAATTAACTTTATAACTGTATTAAAAATCTGTTTCACCTGAACAATTCAACAAATGAACTTTGGTCCCACCACTAACTAAATGACTGTTGTAATCAAGCCTGACATCACAGAAGCCAATCAACATGTGAGGTCTTGGGTAATATTTTACAAAAACTGCTGAAAAAAGCAGTACTCTCAGATGATTTTTTTCTAACACAGTCTTCCACAATGAGCTGTGTAAAGGACCTAAAAGCTTTTTTTGGTTCAAAGAGAAACTTGATCATCTAGAGTCATAATTGTTGTATTTTTTCTCACCACATGATCCAATGAAGTCCATCTTCTTTAGTTTTGAGGCTTTCATGACAACAACCACAACTCTGTTATTTGTGGGTTGGTACATCATAGAGATAAGAAGGTCTCCCAGGTGTTCCTGTCACAGAGTAAGACAGAATCACTATTACAAAATTAAAATCTCTTCCAGATAGAATTGTATAACATGTAGTTATGAACAAGAAGAATTTCTATGTTGATAAATGGACTGACATCAAACCAATCTCAGACAAGCACTTTTGTCGGTTTCTGTTGCTGTAATTACCAACTTGTAATATACTGGAAGTAAAACAGTTGACTTTGATGCATGTTAGGTCAGCTGGTATTTTTGTGACCAATAGAAATACTCTTATGACAAGTCAACATGTTATAAATTGAAATAATTTTTAACAACTCTACTATGTTGATAAAGCCATAAATTGTGAATGTCGCAATGTATTATGAATGTTTGCCAAGGACATAATAGGTGAGGGTTCATTGCCAGGAAACCAACTGAACAGGGAAATATTTTCATGAAATCCTGATTACTTCATTTAAATTATCTTCCTGTTTACTAATCACCTTCCATCAATAAAGTAAATACGGATTTGGGAAGAATGGCCATGACAGATACTTAAATAGAAGACTAGATCACAAAAAACTCTTTTTGTACATCAAATTTTATGTATAAACAATGCTTATTATTTTCCTCAGTTCAGATGTCACTGGTTCAAATTTTCTCAAGCACTTAATATTGTTTGGGTAGCTAAATCAATGTGTTTTGTTTCATCATTTTCATAATACACCAAAACAATAGTAATTTGCATATTAAATACCAATAGTACACTGATTAATTTTGGTTTTTGGACAAATTCAAATAGCCATCTTTCAAGGATTATTACTTTGTGAGAGTTAAAGATATTAGTTTAAAAAAACCTCTTATTCAAAAGCTTTTAAATAGTACTGGCACCATACAAGATTCCTCGATAGCAGATATTTGATATAATAATGAAGAGAATTTCTTCTATGTTTGTCTAGAAGTTACTATTCCACCTAATCAGAAACTGGCTCAAAGGGAAATAAAAGTGTTGTGGCATATTATGCATATTTATTGAAGATTAGATTATCTGCATATCAGTAAAGATCTACTTGTTTATTTTCAAGATCTTTTCAATTTTGGCATTTTTTTTAATCAATATTTCCTGAAAAATGAAAAATCATCTTGTTCTATTTCCTCTCACCAGTTTTGCATTATATTGTAATAAAAAAATAATGACTTCTTTTCAATACAGTCATTATGATCGTGCCACAGATGGCCATCTGGTGTTCAAATAAAATTTGATTCCTAGTGCAGAGAAAAGTGTGTGTTTCTTTTGCCCAAACTTAGAGACACTTTAAAACTTTGAAACATCTTAGTATGGATAAGCTCGATTCCATGTTAAATGTTATTTTACAAATTGGCTTTGTTTTATAACCAAACATCAAATGGCAAACCTGTTTATTTCAGAGTGCAGATTTGAAGAAGAAAAGGACTGTTGAAATTGTTCCTTAACAGAGCTTTTACGCTAATGGTACAGCTATAATTTTATCAAAATTATTTTGTCTCCGGAGTATGTAAAATTAAGAAAAAAAATTAAGAAAAATAGCCTTTTGGGTAACCATAATCTTACTTTTCATACGTGTAACGGTGGGCCATTCTTTTTTGTAAATTATTTATTACTCTGTTCATTTTACACAACACACATATTGTTGAGTAATAGACAAAACTTTGCGCAAGTTTTCTCCAAAATAATCTGTTCCACGAAGTATCTTTTAGGCAGTGACAGGAAAAAAAAATATTAGCTAATCGAGAGATTTTCGGTCAAGGAAATTAGGGATTAATATTCAGCGAACCTATTTTAATATCCTTTGGCCGGCGGTAAATGTTGATAAGAGTTTAAATTATGTATATTTTATGACCAAAAGCTATATCTGTATTAACGCGAAGGATGTCTTGTAAATACAAAAATTACCCGAATACACGAAATGAGCAATAGGAGTAAATCAAACTTCCACCAGTTTACTGCATGAAATTAAAATGTCACGTAATGAAAACATCGCGGATTTTTCATTCATGAAATCTGTCATAAGCAGATGAGTAGTTTGCGATAAGACGTCCATCTGCAATTAAGTCGGTTCTTTGTATTTCACTTGCGAAAACATGGTAATATCCCAGTTTACAAAAATTAACACATCGAGCATGGAATTAAAGAAAACAACCTATGGCATTAATTAGCTGTACACGCGAAGTGCTAATAATGTGTTTTCGACAACGATCAGAACATTTTAAGAGTCTCTAGAGAAACCTTTTTTCTGGGAAGATAAAAACAATTTTCGAAAACCACGAGATAATGTTAAAATGAATTTTTTTGCCACCAAAGAAAGATATTGACACTCTACCTGGCGTTTACAGGGTTGTAGATCCTTGCAGAAAGTCAGAGTCATTGGCCCCAAGTCAATATCGCTCAACGGGATTTCAATTTCTCCTATGGGATCGTTCCGAGAAAAACGATCGTAGTCCAGTACTTGAAGATACAACGTTCGACTTAATAGCTTGTTATGAGGGAAACCTTCAAATCTAAAAACCTCGTTCCATGTTGGGTTGAGATTTTTCCTTTTAATTCGAGTTTCCATTTTGTGCTTTTTATCTGGAAGCAGCAGAATTTTCACAAACGGGTCGCTGGTTCCGCTAAAATCTTTGGCCGGAAGTCCGGACGCTTTTATAATTTTCAACGTGAGTACCATTTCTTGGGAATCGTAGCTAATTGAGAAGTAAACCTTTCCGAGGTCCTCTTTGGTCGATGATTGATCGATTAAAGGAGGCTCTGGCGGGATGACAAAGTTTGAGATATCCGGCTGAGGTGCTTGTACATCGTACTCTTGTGGAGGCGGCTGAGAAAATTTTAACGATTTTTTCGGATACCCAGGCGATTCAATGCGCTTTTCAGGCGGTGAAACGTCCGACAGCGTCGAGTATTTCGCAAATGCACGGTATTTGTGCCCTGGGACTCCGTAGAGTTGAGAGTCCGAGGATGAATCATAGTCACTTTCTGTACTCTCTCCATCCTTCTCTGATCCCTTCCAACATTTGTAACACCAAGAACAGATCACCACTATACTTCCAAGAGAAACAATGCTGGCTATTACAGCGAGTGCGTTAGAACCGTAAGAAACTGTAGAATGTAAGGAGAAAGAGCGTGAGTGAGGGAGATAGAGTTTATTTATGATATTCGATAGGGAAAAAATAAACTTACTTTTTCCGTCTAGCAATATTTTGAATTTGATGTATACTTGACCGTTGGAAACATCCAAGATTTAAGTTAGTTTTCTGCGGTTGCTATTGTTTATTATATGTTTAAAGGCTCTTGGAATAACGCTCTTTTTTTTCCTTTTCTTTTTTTCTAATCACTCGTTCGAAAATCCCTTTGAAATACGAGCGAAATAGAAAACCATTTAAACGCACAAAGACATTTCAAGGTTGATTGCTTCCGGTGGAAATTAAGACCAACGTCTTCCAACGAACTACCCAGTTTTCACGCGATGTCCTTTTCTGAAAAAAGCGAAGAATCTTTTGTTTCTTTGGTCAAGTGCTCAAAACTTCTACTCTTTATAACCTTACATAAACAGTGGCCCATATCATGTCGATGCCGTCGGTTATTTTGCCACGGGAAATATTCAAAGGAGACTCTAAATCTAAAAATTATTTTTACCATTCACACATTACGTTAAGGGGTTTCAAACTTTGACCGACTTCAGAGCGAAGGCTTTGTATTAAATCATCATCATCGTTGGCAGATGATAAAGAACAAAACTGTTTTGTTAAGTTCTCGGCCCTCGTGTTGAATTTGCTTAAATTGAAATCAAAGAGCAACTTTTACATTATTACTCGCCTGTGTTCTCATGAGAAGTGTGTTGATAGAGACTAATCATCTTTCAGCGTTACATCTACGCATATTTCTTAATTCTCCGCAGCATCCATTGAGTTAGTGCTTTGACAGAACCGATCCCAGTGATCGACCACTAAATTGTCGTTGCGATACCTTTGAACGAGTTTTAATGTTTTTTTGACTTTTTCACCTCCGCATAATAATTAACTTTATTGTTCGCCATGGCAACTTAAGCTTGATTGGCAGAAAGATAATAAAAGGAATTTGTAATCAAAGCGGAAAACTCGCGCCAAATTTGCATGTCCCTTACTAGTGATGCTAACTGAAACACGTCTGTCGCAGAGCAATTGTGGTCGATTTGCCCTCCAGCGCCTCATGTCTGCGGGGCAAACTGTAGTCAACACTTTGTCATCAAACTCTCATTGAAAACTTTAAAGCTTTTAATTTTCTCTTCTATGTTTGATGGTCGCTTGGGAATAAACTGTATATTCGTTGAGGTGTTCTGCATTTAAGTGAAGCCTGCGGTGCATGAGGACAAAGAGGTTACACCAAAATTCCGCCTTCCTTACACGCACTGACCCATGAAATGTAACTTTTTCGATAGACCCGAGATTATCAAGACACTTCTTAAAAAACTAACCGTTATTTCCACTTGTTAGAGTCAGACTTTACAGTTCGTTAGATATTCGTTCAGAAACATTTTGATTAAAGTATCCCTTAGAGGTACGATATATTCGATTCACTGTCGTGGGCGTTGCTTAAACTATTCACAAAAATGTCATTGGAGGTAAATAAAAGAGCTGCTCAAAGGAAAAAATATTCACCGAAACAATTATTCCTCGTAGAACTGACGTAGTTTTGAGGTTCCGCATATTCGAAGAACTCGTTTTGTAAACAGCTACGTGAAAACGTAATCAAAGATTTTGCTCCCTTACGATTCGCCCCCGTTGCGACGAATATTCATGCGCCCCCGACTAACAAGTTCCTCCCCCCTGATTGCGTCGTTTGTTGTTTTTTTTATCCTCTTGTGCATGTACTTTGTTGTTTTGTGTTCGTTTAGGAAGTTACACTTAACCAGGCTAAGTCATATTTCTTGACCAACGTTCAAGCTCGATAAGTAAGATCGTTGTGTTGACTAAGTGTCGTAAATGATGCCCTTTCTTCTGTCGTTTCACCACTGGCATTTCGTATCGAATTTCACTTAACTGTTGCCTACACGCGATTTCTTAAAAGTTCTAGGAACGGCAATTTAATCTGCAGCCTCCTTCAAGTTCTTTTGTCATTTAGTTCAGGGTGAATTAGTTTTAATTCAGGATGACTTCGTATCTACTGGTAATTTTTTTAACGTTCAGAACCTTCGTTACGTGTATTTGATGGGTGTTGCCGTTGACCTTCTAATCCATCCAATCCATATTATATAAATATCAGCTTGTTCCTGATGAAATCAAGCTTCTGCTACGCAAGCTAAATCTATGTTGTAATCTCGTAATAAGATTACATCAATTTATTTCGATGACGCACTTTTCACTGTCGAGGAGACGATAATTATAATAACCTTCAAATGAAGCAGTGCCGAACCAAGATATAATTCTCAAAGGAACAAAACTGCCGAATGCACAAAATGACGATGAATATCTCAGCCATTTTCGACTCGTGTAAGGCCAAGCTTGATATGATTAAAGAAGCTAAGTGAAAGACAGAAATGCTAAGGCACAGAGGAAAAGAACAGCGTACTCATACACAAAACAAAAAACAACAACAACAGTCAACATCTGGTGCTCCCATAAAACAGTGCGCTGAATGAGCCTTGCCCGCCTATTAAATAATATATTCTCATCTCGACTGGCCGAGATCTTGGCAGGGCGATACTGGAGCAGCAATTTGATTTTCAATGCAAGTACTTCATCGGTTTTGTGGCAGTGAACAGATGTGCAAAGATCAGTAGGCAAATATTGACTATTATTTATATCGACAGGAAAGTTATAGGTGGAAATTTGGCTGGCAGTTTGGCCTTGGTTATGAGAATTTGAAACTTTATATTGCACCATACATTCCTACGTGTCAGTTAGACAGTTCGAAAGCAATGATTCATGTCGAATCTGTTGAGTTTGTTACTATTTCTGCTAACTGGTTAAAAAGACACTTGCTTCTTTTATAACGATTACCGGAAGGTAATTATCACCGGGTGAATGAACAATTTTTTTCGGGGTGGTGGTGGTGGTAGTGGTGGGAAGTGGGGTAGGGCTAGGAACTGAAGGCAGTTTGTAGATTTACACAGGTGACCTTTCTCGCCCTAAAGTTACTCAAACTAAAAAAATGCGATTGAGATAAACTACCTGCGTTTTAATCTCGAATTTAGCATGTGTCGAACAATTGCTTGATGAAACCGTAGACTTTCAATCATGAATTACATGAGACTACAGTGACAGCATTTCGCATGTGGTTACGGTAAAAACGAGGCACAACCAGCGAGCGGACTTATGTTGACAAGTAATGATTATTGGAGGTAATGAAGAGCAGCTTCGTTTCCAGCTGTCAGTAACGAGTCAGTGCCATTAAAAATACATTAATAAGAAATAACAATACCTTTTCCGACGTATATTGAACATATTTTGCCGTATATTTCTGGAGCTGTGAAATATATAAAAGGCAAAAAAAGTACCAAAAAAAGATTCTTAAGACAAAACGGGATTACAGAGTGAAAGATAAGGGAAACTGACAAAACGTAACAAAACGCATTCGCCTGCTGTACTGCGGATCTCCAGAGGACTTAGGCTCCCGGTATAATTTGAGGAAAAGAAAACGGTACATTAATCAGCATCTCTTATTTAGTTTAGAGCGGGTCCTCAAAACTATTGAATTAAGTTCATTACTCAGACAGACTCTCTTTCGGATCGTGAAGTGCGATTGGAATTTTTTCAAATGTGAGACTGAACCGCTTGGCATCAGTAGATCCAAAACAACTACAATTATTAAGATAGGGCGCCTTTCCTATACAAATAATCAAAAGCGCATTACAATTATAATACTACAAATAATAATAACTCAATAAAACTATACGTGTGTGTTTGTTATAAAAATGTACGTAAAACATCTTCACTGAAATGCCTTGGAAAACAAACAAGTCTTAAGTAAACGCTTAAAAGAATCATTGTTTTTATCTTGCCTTATTGGTAAAGGAAGGCCGTTCCATAGGACTGGGGCCGTCACCGTAAACGATCGGTCCCCATAGTCTTTGTCGTTATGAATCGTGTAGATTCAAAAGGAGTGGACACTTAACTTTAACAAGATACTAGTCATATTTGGAATAACCGTTTTGTTACTCGATGAGCTGTGCGAAGGTTTCGCCTTAATGCAAATTCGCCCTCTTCCAGTTCGCTCCTATGACGATGAGTACGCCCCTCAATAGATAAAACTTTTGCCCAATATCTTCAACTCTTCTCCGCCTCAGAAATTATCTCTTTTTCGCAAAAAAAAAAACAACAAAAGAAATAATAATAAATATGACTTATAATTTCGTTAGAAAAGAGGCATGATCTGCTGTGATATGATAAAAGTGATGGAGCGAACTAATAGTGAAAGGGGCGAAACAGTTGGAGGCGAACTTTTAGTGGGAAGAAACGTCCAGATACGGATGAGATGAAGTGAAGTGCCTCAGGAAATCATGAATCATTGCGCGTAGTTTCAAATTATATCTGTAACTATGTCCTATACATCGGGTAGAAGTGAGAACGGTGACGGTATATACATGGCCTTTTTCCTCTTTCCATCTTTTCACTGCTGTAATTTCCAATTGAAAAACTGTAGGTCGAGAATAAACTTAATAGATAACAGTGCCGATGTATCTGAGTGTTCCACCTGATCTGATATTGTTTACAGGTAAGTTTTTATTCACTCTGATTCCGATTCGAGCTTTAAGTCAGTCCTCTATTTTTTCAATCTCATTTGTACATCACTTCTATAAAAACCCCTGCATTTCCTCTTCACCTTCCAGATGGTCTTAAAGGAAATTTAATGATAGCAACACGTAACACGAGTGCGTGTAGTCTCTAGCCGACTGCCGATTTTTTTTTTTTTTTGGGGGGGGGGGGGCGGAAGAACATATGGTTTTCAGGGGGACCGAAAATTGACTGCCAATTAATTGGCAATAAGGGGTAGAGGGGAGGGGGGAAATATCATCATTATGATCCTTTGGGGAGCCTTTGAGGGAACTGACACACACAGGCGATGAACAGAGACTGGTCCCTTTATAACTGTCCAAAGTGTCGTTAATAATAATAATAATAATAATAATAATAATAATAATAATAATAACTTTATTTAAGTGTCAGTGTATTTTAGCACTGCTGTGCTAATTGGGGACACTGTAAATAAGGAAACAAATATCGTAAATGAACAGAAACTCGTTAAAAACCCCAACTGGTAGGAGGCAGACCAGTTGGCTATTTACAAAGCGTGCAGGAGTTGAATTCGGGGCCACCGAAGACAAATCCATCCAGTGGCAGGGAGGAGGACTTGAACCCGGGACCTCCGGCTTACAAGTGCAGCGCCTTAACCACTAGGCCACGCTCGCCTCCTCGTTAATGCAAATATATATGATTTATTTAAAAATTAACCTGTAGAGGCACGTGTACTTTCGTACCAAGTTATTTCGTAGTCAAATTCAGTCGATTCGTGCTCAGTTTGAGTCGATTTGTACCCAAACCGCTGGTCGATTCGTATCCTTCCCAATCTACGTTCAATCGAAACGTCAGCGCGTTGTGTTGATTGTTGCTTAAGACAAGTTAGTAGAGTCTAGCGAGTAAGATACAAGCAAAATTATATTGCGTAAACTACTAAACAATTGGGATATTTTTAATAGCATAGTGTACTGTTTATAACAACAAAAGCTAGTGTAAATGTGATTTTTCCCCCTTTGTTATAACGGTAATAAATTCGGTTATTTTAACATACTTAACTTTATTAGTATGGGCACTAAACGACTCAGTTGAATGGGTACAAATCGACCGAGATGGGTACGAAACGACTGATGACCGGTTTCCGTAATGCCTGTAGATAATATGAGTCGCTCCTTATCTACAAGTAGATAAGGGTTCGGGCCGAGATATTTTTCCAATAAAAGGCATAAATATAAAATTTGTATATAGTTAACAGTTCTATCTCCTTCCTCGAGATCATAGTTATCCAAACATCGTTATGTTCCTCGGACTTTGATAATCTACTGCATCAAAACAAGCCGGAGACACCAATTTTTAAAGCGTCTGAAACGCTTTCCTTCCCTAATGTGATTCAGTTCAGCGTGTTTGTCAGCGGGAAACTTAGGTCAGATACCAGATTTGTCTTGAAACTATGTCTGCTACCTGGTAACAGCGTATGACCATTTATGATCAGAAGTCACTTTCGCTCCCTGTTTAGTTGATCCTGTGATAGTCGTAGCTGTTATAATAAGTGCATTGTCCACCATACTAAGTTTTGTCCCGTCAGTCTTCTGTTGATTTCTTGCAGAGCACTTGGAAGCCTGGACACTAGTTCTGGTGGCACGCTGGTTGTTTTGTTTGATGGTGGGTTTACTGGGCGCGAATATCGTTTGCCTTTTATTCTTCGGTGAATTGGTTTAGAATGAACTGAGTGGGTCTTTAGTTTCAGCGCTGAAGCAACGACTAAAGATTCTTCCCGGTTGCCCTATGGTTAAAAGTTGAAAGAAAAAAATTGCTTACGGGTATAATATTTAGCCAAAAAATTGTTTATCGTTTTTAAATTTGACTATTTTTGGAAAACTGACGTGATGGCTCAGTATAAGGTTGAGTTCTGTTATTTTATACTGTATTTTCCTGAAAAAGAAGGTGGCCCAAGCAAATCAAATGAGCTTTAGAATGACTAAGCTGGGAACACGAAAAATAACGGATCGTCTCATGCTACTGAATCTTTAACGACTTTTTTGCGAATTTTGCAACTCTATTCCTTGACCCAAGACTCGATTTGTCATCAAACGCGCGTGAGTTCGCGCCAGGTGCGCGCGAAATGCTTGTCTCTACAAGAACTTCAGAGTGAGATGCCATGACTACTAATTTCAAAATGGCAGTTATTCAATTTCAAATGCAAGTTCTCCTTTGCGGAAAGATATCATGTTCGTTTGTGTTGTTATTTTTTTGTAGGCTCTTTCAGTATGATCCAAGGTAATGACTCTTAAACGTTAAGCGAGTTTTCGGAAGTGATGAAAACAAACGGTCATTCTATCTGTGATAACTCTATAAGTCAGTCCATTCAAAACATAGCATTTCGCTTCTCTGTCCTTCCTTTCCACTCGAGCGAACTCTAGGGAAAACCACGAGTTTCAAGGTCGATATCAGTGGGAGAAAAGTCTTGACCTGTTTATTATTCTGGGCTCGCCGAGAATAATTTTCTATTTTTCTGTCACGTAAGTACCTTGTGTTCTTTGAGAGGTTGTTGGGAAGTTCCCTTTTCGCTGGCTTTTCGGTTTTGTCGTACCAACTGTTTTATTCTCCTGTTTTCCAAGCGTGTGTACAACTGAGCGCGATATTCTGCAGGAAAAACAACAAAAAATTTCACTGTTTGCCTTCAAGAGTATTTTCAGAGATGATCAAAATGTATTGGCACAGGCTTACAGGCCACTTAAACAGCATAGAAATTAAAAAAGAAACTTGATATTGCGCGGCTTTTCAAACTGTCTATAGATTCATAAATGTTTTTCACCCACTCGGATTAAACTTTCTTCACTAACTGAATAAGGAAACTTGCCTGAGAACCTCTTTCCACAAATCTTTCTCACGTCTTTGAACACGTGACCACAAACGCATGACCTGCAAGATTCTGTCATCTACGGGGGGAGGGAAAGGATGACCATGTCAGTATTGGAGCAAAAGTGTACAACTTCCGCGTTTCATGCAACACGAAACTTCAACAAGGATACAATTTGATAATTTGCATTTGATTACGGTGATCTGAAGAATTCGTTGCTACAAGTGAGTTTTAGAGGAACTGGGGAGTATTCACTCATGCAAGTGATCTGAACGCCATCTAAGGGCACATTTTTCTTTTGCTTGGGCGTGTTAAAAAAGCATTGTTCGGCGTTTGCCCATAATTTAGACTCGTTTTGTTCTACGGAAAAGCTAGAAATGCTGAAAAAATCTCGGGCATTCGACGCTGAAAAACGAAACGAATGAAATTCTTCTGTTAAGGTTAATTTGTCATAATTGTACATAATATTGACATCAATTTTGGAAAATGGAAGACTGTGAAAGGACGCGTTTTGTCTGGCTCGCTGAGGCGCGCATCAGGGATAGAGGTCAGGTCGATTCCGATATTTTGGGACGCAGTTAAATTTCAGCTGAGGCTTACTAGAAGGGAAACTCGAAGCCAAATTTGTTCAGTGTGAATACATATTGCGTCAAGGATTTCTTTGTAAAGCATTTCGCTTGTGCGTTCGACAAATCACCGAGAAGGGTTCCAACTGAAATCTAGGTTGATGATGTCTTTGTTACGCCCACCGAACATTTCTGCTGACAAGTTATATCTTGAATTTTTCTTCACTGCGAACAAATTACTTTTGTTTAGAATAAGCGTAGTATATAAAATATGACTACAGGCGGTCAATATTCGTGCAGAGGAGAGGCTGCTTCGTAAAAAGTTTTCTCAGTTCATTTGAAGTGATCGGTACTGGGTTAGCCGCCTCCGTCGCTTCACCCGCCCGCCAACACTCGCTAATTGCACGTGCATTTAAGTTTGTCTTTTGCCATGTTTGTACCTCGAAATCTTTAATTCAAACCCCAGCCATGTCAGCCGATTTTCTTACTTCCCTTTGGTTAATTCTCGGTGATGTTTAACTTTTCGAGCAACGATGTAATGCGCGTTGTGCGATGTTGTGTGACGGACTGAGGGCCGTTGATCATGCGATTATGAAAATTAACGACCGACGACAAATTTGAATATTAGCGACGTAGACCATTCTTGTAGAATAATGATCTTATTTCGAGACAAAATTTGTTTAAAACTTACCACTGTGTTACATGCCAAACATTGCTGGAGAACCATGTTGAATTTGTGGCCTGCTCAGCTTACTCTGGTATAGTTCTTGATGTGGGCACTGACGGTTTTGTAATGAAGTGATCTTTGCGCAACTTGACATAATAAGCCACAAGCTGGTTTGCGTTGGTGGTGTGACGTCACGATTAAAACGGTTCAAATCACTAACTCTGCTTTACCAAACGAAAACTAGCGATTATTCATTTTCAAAGAATTCTTTCAAAATTATTTGTTTCTTGAAAAAAAAAGAAATGTCTGAATTCACACCGGACTAAAAGGGAAAGACAACAAACCTGAAAGGATATTTTTTTTACGGGCAATTTACTTATCCCACGTAACGGACGAACTAAATTTGTAAAACCGGTTTTACTTGCATTGACTTGTTTGACCCCGAATGTATTTTCACTAGCAGAAATCATTTAGGTTGAATTGGGCGATCGGCCATCTAAAATGTTGGCAAAACAACGATAAATGGTCTTTTTAACAAATTATTTCCTTAGGTCGAGGAAATGTCCCAGAATCTTGGCGCCCGACCGAAGTGCTATTGACTGTGAGGATTAAAACTGACCTTATAGTCCCCTGACGTATGGTGTCTTTTATGTCTTAAATAACTTTTGTTTAGTTCAGCAATATTCATTTTTAAGCGTAAGCCCTATTCATGGCAATCGTGAATCCAATTGCCTAAGACACTAAACTTATATAAATATCGTCACCGGCATCATTTTACTATGACCTAGAATTCTACTGAGAATTTTGTACGGAAATTGCTGTGTAATTCCCCTGAAGAACAAGGGTTAGCTACAACAATCCTCTCAGTTCAAATTGAGGCGCGGCCGGCAACCAAACTTTGTGAGAAGGAAGTGAAATGTGTAAAGATAACATTTTTTGAAAACCATTTTAATGTGATTTTCGTGGTCCCTCACGATTGTATGTAACAGTTATAGTCGTAATGTAGTGTGATTTACCGACCAAACCTTTGTTTGAACTCAAGACAAAACGAGAAAAGGTAACATTAACTTCCAACGCCTAAAAAACGTCATAACATTTGGATGATGAATAGATGATGGGACCGGAAGACATTTTTGCATCTGCTCCAATATTACTCACCTTGAAACTATTTTTCTTCGAAGGTCAGCTCACCTACGACAATAGTTATCATTATTTTTTTCATTGTTTTTAATTGATACATGTACATGCTTTTGTCATGACAAAATCGCCACAATATGTGGAAACGAGCCATAATTATTCCACATGACTGACTTGGCAGAGTTTAAATCTTTCCTCCTCAGTGGTTTTTCACATTCAAACAATATCGACATTTTTATTGCGATAAGATTACATTACATATCTAGCTATCTGCCTTGCCCCCAGCTGTCTCGTTATTAAAAGTGATTAAGAATTTTTCGCTGAGCTTTATACAAACTAACTAGTACACGTAACGTTACTATAGTCTTGTTCGCATTTGAATACCAGAAGTAACGCTAGTTACATCATTATTGTCAGTGCTAATATTTTAAATTTTGTTGGTTTTGTCATTTCTTTCGTAGGTAGTGGTATTGGTATTGCGAAAAAAAAGTAGTGCAAAAATTGTATTGAAGTTGTGTAAGAGTCGTTTGATAAAAATGTTATTATATCATTCTTTCTTTTCAAGTTTCTTTGAGTTAAAAAAAAGACTGGAAAATTTTTGTAAAGCAAGTTTAAGTAGCCTAGATATCGTAAGTTAGGCTAAATCAGTATCCTAAGCAATGTATTGTTAATATCGTAGGAGAGTATAAAATAAAAAAAAGTAATCAAGAATATTTTTGTCATTTTCAGGTTCAATTTTTTTGCAACCGTGTTAGTGCACCTTTGTCAGAGCTTCGGTGGAAATAACTTCTTTACATAATCCCCCAAATCACAAAAAACAAGTGCACTGCAGGCTTCATTTATTTTCAGGCATCAGACTGAAATGAAAGAGGGCTTGTGGCACTTAAGAAAAAAAGAAAACAAAAGATATCTTTAGGCGGGTCACCTCTGCTTGGATGAAGTTTCAAACAGTTGATCCTACTATCATTTGGAATGCTTTGCATTTGTGCGGAAAGATACAGAAACTGGCTAATCAGTTTAAACAAAATACCCCACTTATTTAACTAAAAACGGAAATATCGGCATAGTCTTGAATGGTTTCAGAATCGATATCGTGACTCTTGACTGTAATCCTCTCTGAGGCTGACAGGAAATGTGGCATATTTTCAAGTTTAGAAAGTCCTTTTGAAGTAAGAATTGTTACTGCATCCAGCGAACTGTCCACCACATCAGATTCTGTCCTGTCAATCTTCTGTTGATTTCCTGAAGAGCATCAGGAAGCCTGGACACTAATTCCGGGGGAGGGGAAGTTTTGCTTGTTTTAGAGCCAGTTGTGCGCGAACTGAATGTTTTGGTTTTCATTCGTCGGGTAGCAGATTGGCTGGGTGTCTGTGTTTTCTTCTTAAGGGGTAAATGTATGGCTGCTGGTGTTTGATCTGCCGCCGCCCTAGTCTGGGAATGAGAAAAGTGAGTGATCAATATGCATTTATGATAGAAACAGATGTTATGAAATTTTATTATTTTTTTTTTGGCGCCCTACAAAACTTTTGTCATATCGGAGAAGCAGCACAATAAAGCCAATAGGGATATGTAAAATGCTTGAAGGAAAATGACAAGCGAAGATGATAAACAATGGAGAAAACTGGGGGAATCAAACCCTTAATCAACTCGCATCACAAATAAAGAACTTGATAACTGAACGAGAAAAATAGGCAACGGGCAGATTAAGATGCAAGGAAGCATAGCGACATTCATCGATTCCTATCCCGCTGACGTCTCCAATGAAGACCAGACGTAATCGCACCTTTGAAAAAAATGCGAAGGTGGAAATTTTGTGGGATGATTAACACTTTGATACGACTTGAAAGCGCCCGGTTTCCATGAAACTGAAACGTGAGCATGATGAGTGATACCAATTTATCTTCAATGAAAGAAAGCTTTAACTTTCTGAGTGTTAAACTACTTCCCTGACCTCGAGTCGTGTCTGTTTAATATTCTTTGTTTTTCTTCTCTTTTCCCTTGTGAGTCTTCTCACCCTTCTGTTTTCCAATCGAGAATATAGCTCCACTCGATATTCTGGAAAAGGAAAAGAGGTGGCGTGAGGTAAACTATTTTAAAACTGGCATATGGAGAAAGTCACACTCTTCCCTCAGGGTTTTCCCAACATGTGAATTAGATTTAAATGAGCACTTAAAGACCGACCCTAAGGGAACTAGTGTGTTTTGTCTCCTCGAGCCCCCTAATATTCCCTGAGGCGAAGCTGAGGACAACATTGAGGGGCTCGGAGAAACAAAACTCCCTCTTTCCCGTGGGAATCGGCAATCATAAAGAATTCGTTACACCCCCAACTCAAAACTAAGGAAATTACATACAGGTGTTACCGACTTTATTGCAAAATGTTCCAGATTTCAATCGAAAATTGTTATAAATTCACGTTGGTGTTTTCCCGTGGAGTTAGTGAGTTTTTACCCATAGCAACTGACAACACCTTCTCCTTTAATCGATAAGTATTTATGTTTGAAGGTATGATGATGAAAATAAGAGACCTTTTCTCGTCATTTTAAACTTCGGAAAAGATTGAATAATATACAATTCTCAGAAGCTAATATAACACATTCATTTGAAATGCTACCGAAGGATATCAAATGGTGGAAGTGGATAGGTAATGAAAATTGGTCTGAATTATCGATAGCTTTATTTACTGGGAGGCGTATACATTACCGGACTAGATAACTTGAAGACGCGAATTACAGTCGCAAAATTAATAAAGAAATAATTAATATTAATGGTAATAGGACCGAGTGGAGTCGGTTTGTGATCATACGAGTGACAACCATGTCGGACGACCGCGCAGCGGGAGTCCGATTCGTTCATCACGAGTATGATTACAGACCGAATTGGACGACACGAAGTCTTATTACCAATAAATCACAAAAATTACAATTCCCGAGAAACAAGAATAGCCAAGTTATGGAAGAAAGGGAAAATTTGGATTAAAAGACTGACAATTTGGTGATTGAAACCAAGGTTGTGATTGGTTAATTTAAACTACAATTTTGAATGTGATTGGTTTATTGAACTGCCCGATAGCAAACTGTCCGATAACAACTTGGCGAGTGAATTAGTGGAAAATAGGAGTTTTTTAAACCAATCACAATGCAGGAAATTGTAATTTTTATGATTCATCAAGAAATACTTCTTAGCTTTGAGGGACTGTCTGCTTTATATGATTAAGGCTTACCTGAAAATCTCTTTCCACCAATCAGCTTACAGTGTTCAAACACGTGGCCGCATGCACATGAAGTGCATGAGTCAGTTTTCTGAGTCAGATGAGAGAGCGAGAAAATTAAAGCTCTGGCTGCTTAGGCCATTTTAAAATAAATACCGAGATACAATTCTCCACTTACGCTTGCGCCCACCACAATGGAAATCTTGCGGAGCATGCAAGCAGTTTAAAAATAAAAAGAACCTTTTGAGTCCTACTTATGTGAAATCAATTCTAATCTTTCCAGGGATAAGCTTGCTTGATTCATTCGCCTTTAAGCTACGATGCCGTGTCGTGAGGAGCATATCTGAGGTCGAACGGGCTCGCGCTAGTTTAGTTTGGTTTTGCAATGATTTTTGCCTTTCGGTTGTCCAGATTCGTAGTTATTACGACGGTTTCTTCAAATTTAAGTCTGTTTTGAAAATAATAGCAATACCAAAGGGATTGTGGTTAAGCCCTACCACGCGTGTTTGTCATTCAGCACCAGAAAGGGCGGTACGTCTAGATCGTTCTCAACTCTGAACTACATGAATATCGACACATGGAAAATCGACCGATAAACTAGAAAAATATTAGCAGAACACTTAATTTGGGGAAAAAAGAAGGCAAAAATATTTCACAAAATTAAAGACGAGTACTGATACGATGGGAAAAAGAAGAAAGGAAGACAGAATACAAATTTTCAGACGACGGAAGATTTGAATATTTAAACTACGGGAAAGAAAGCAGCTGCCAAAAGCGGATTCATCCATAACAATATCTCAAAGTCTGGAGATTTCTAATCTTACCACTGAGTTACAGGCCAAACACTGTTGGAGGACCATCTTGTCATAGCGAAGATCACGGAATCTTTAGATGATTATATCTATGTTTCTGCGCGTTACGACTCACTAGATTCCACAAACATACGAGCTTTAATAATAAGCCACAGGCCAGTCAGCCTCGGTATCGAGTGATGAGTCACGTGGCCAAAATTGAATTGATTGCAAACAAGGCAGGTGTGCATGTGTGAGCTGTATTGACGTAGCTCCATGGAATAAGCTGCCGTTGCTGAGATGACTTAAAAATATTTTACACAAAGAAATGAAAATTTTAACTTGTTTTCAACTGGCTGTATGACGAAGCCAAACAGGTTCTGTTTTCATTGAAGAATAATAATATTGAAAATCGATCTATTTCACACAATCACATAATTTTAATTTAAACTTTCTGGTAAGAAACTGTGCATTTATTCCATGCAGAACCATTTGTGTGGTACTCGGTTTCCTTTGACGTAAAACTTCTATTGTCGCTCCAGTCATTTAATTATTGACTTCCTTATTTTTAATGATTGGTATGTAAGAAATCCCTTGCTCTGAAAGAAAATAGAAACCGTGGATGTGTGAAGGAAGTACTATCAATTTTCTAGATTCTCTCTTCCCATGAAAAAGCTTAATCAAAGGTTCAAATACATCAGTATTCATTAACGGAAAGTCGAAGAACGCTATCGAGCGTAGGATTGTATTGGCCTGTTACTAAGCAATTATCTATTACGTAGGACGTAAATCTTGTCTGATCCCTTAAGTGGCGTTAAACTCCACAAACATACATCATAAGAAAAATCAAGGCAAACTTTTCGAGCTCGGCCTCAATGGTATCAAGGTAATTTGGTATCATAAACTGAGTTGATAACGTAAATTGCCGGGCCACCGTTAAGAGTTTGAAAGCTGACGGTTTGAGCGTTAGCCCTAGGTCAGAGCGAGTGACGAAGGGCTAACGCTCGAAACGTCAGCTTTGAAACTCTTAACGGTGGCCAATTTACGTTATCAACCCAGTTGATAATACCAAATTTCCTTGCTATACTCTCCCACTGACGTAGCACCATGGTGTCTTTAAAAATCTACCCCCTCGTTGACATCATGTCCGTGAATTAACAATTTCTCTCGAGAATTTAACTTCACAAACGGTTCGTTTGTCTTGAAAATGTATGCGTTCTGAGTCAATCGTCATCCAAGTTCGTTTCAGAGTCGTTCTTTCCATTTAGGCTTCGGTTGTTTTATCAAGTAATGCTTCATAGTTTTCTTTACGAAGCAAATGACTTAATATGTTTTGATAGGTTGGAGTGCAATTACATTATGTGATCTATTTTTAAAAGAAAAGTTATTATCAAGTCTTTTAAGTAGGCGGAAAGAAATGGAGATTGAGTACCACTCTCCATTTAAATTTGTTGTTCCACGTGCATCCGGTTTTGGCATTTATGTGTGACATTCTTACTTGGGGGTTAACTAAACCAAGAAAGGAGCTTTTTCACTTATTTCAAGAGCAATCTAAATTTGCATCGCGTTCACAGAAAGAAGAAGTCGTGACTACATACTTGTGTCACGCGAGAAGTTCTTCCCAGGTTTGACGATATCAAATCGACTGAGCGTTTGACGGAAACTATCGGAATATCATAAAAACGTTTTCAATAAAAACAAAAATGACAACATGAATACGTGGTGCGAATTCAGACAGAGGTTTGAAGCAAAAGTCTCTTCAAGGGCTTAACGAGTAATCTTTGATTTTCAAATTTCTCGTTGGTTGTAGGTCTATGTCGATGAAAAGGTGCACTATGAATTAATCAAAACAATTTCCGGTCAGTTAAACACGTTTTAGAGAAACAATCATTGCTCTCAAAGGTAAGGCTTGTTCATATGCGTTCAATTCATTGCTGTGTTAATGATAAAATTGTCCACATTGGCATAAAAATCCATTGGGAACTTATGCTTTCCAGATGAAGTTTGGGAATAATCTTGCACTAGGACTTGACGTGGCATTGATTAAAATACAGTTCAGCCCAAGAGAACCCAAAGAGAAATGAATTCCGTGCATTAAAGCAACTTACCAACTTATTACACGCAATACAACGATCAAACACCATCTGTAAACTTCAGTGACATCAAGGCCAACGAGGTATTAAATTGTGGTTATAAAAAAAGTTATTTCCTGCTAACAAGGCAATATCAATAAGCTGACACAGCACTGAATCATAACCATACAGCTTTCTTAACTATAAGTAACATCACATGATTATGACGTAGCAGGCGAAGCGAGATAACTGATGTCATGTCCATTTTCTTTCAATCAAGGGGAAGGAAGGCGCTTGGAACCAGGACTTAGGTAGGCGACACAGAACTAAATGTTGTGGGGAAAAGATATCTATTCGACTGTTTCAGGTTTACAATATATACAACGTCAATAAAATATACCTCCTAGTTTTTATTGTTGCACTAAGATGCATTTCGTTTGAATCAAAGTCATTTTCACCTGGAAAGCAGGGATCTTTTCTTTGGTTAAATCGTTCAACATTTCTTATTCGCTTGACGTTATACAGTCGGGAAAATTATGGCGAAAGGTTAATTGATGTTTTTAAACGCCATGTGAAATAAAACCTAGAACTGTAAGGCGTGACTGCGTAGATAAAGTACAATTACGACACCTCCCTTTCATGGATACAGCCAGTCAGTTGCCACAAACAACGAAAAAACAGTCGACATCCTTGTTCGATCATGCATTGGATCGATTGCGATCTTTAACATACTCTATAGCAACTTTAGATTAATCATCTAATTTATAATTAATTCTTAGTCCATCCTTTGCATATCCCTTTACAGACTAAACAAGTATTGTCAATTTTTTTTATTTCAACCAGCATAAGTTTCATTTTCGAGACATTCATGATGTAACCTTTGTTTTTGGCAACAAATGTTTGTCATGACATGATCAAGCAGGAGTCCTATGACGCCTATTTTGCTTTGCTCAAAATAACAATGACTCCCTAATTGTATATGGATTGAAAACAGCTTCCACGCCTGACAATTTCTTTCTTTGCTTGAAATTGTGGTCTATCCGTTAAATCGTCCATCAGCCTTAAAGCCCATCAATAAATCCTCCGCATTTTATCAATTCCGTTGTCTCCTCACTTAGATAGAAAAGTTACTCATATCAAGGTTTGCACGAGTATTTTTCGGCTCATCTTTTCAGTGAAAGCGCCTACGCAGTCCGCGTGACACATTTCAGGTCTGGGATGTAATTGTTTTTTTCTGTTTGGTTAAACAACCCTAAGCTTTCTAGGGTTCCCTCGTACGAAAGCGAGTTACCGCTTTGTTTTTTTTTTAAATTTTTTTCTCAAACCAGCCGTAGACCGAAAAATCAGTCAATTACGGCTACCAGGTTTATGCTGCATCATGGGATAAAATCCAAAAGCGACACGTGAGTCACATCATGGTTTTGAGTTCTCCTTTTGATGGCCTCTTTGGTTCTTTCACCGTTGGCGTAGCTTTTATGATAACTGCATTGTCCACCATATCAAGTTCTGTCCTGTCAATCTTCTGTTAATTTCTTGCAGAGCACTCGGAAGCCTGGACACTAGTTCAGGTGGCACAGCAGTTGTTTCGCTGGATGGCGTGTTGACAGGGCGCGAAAGACGTTTGCCTTTTGGTCTTCGGTGATATGTTTTTGAGCCAAGTGGACAGGTCTTGGGTTTAAGTGCTGAAGTAACAGCTAAGAATTCTTTTGGGTTGCTCTAGCGTAAAATTTAAAACGAAACGGTAAACATTTATCAGTACATACGGCTAGTTCTACACAGAGAAATCCAAGATGAATTAGCTTCGTTTTAAGTGTGAGTCTTATATTGTTATTTTGAAATTCAGACATGAATACTCGATGTTTCAGTTAAGTCGATCAGGGGGAGAAAAAATTGGAATTATTTTTGTGGGCTGAGCACTGAATTTTGTTTGTCCTAAATATACCTTGCGTTCTTTCAGAGGCTGTCGGGTAGTTTCCTTTCCGCTCGCTTTTCTGTTTGTTCTTACCAACTGCTTTATTCTCTTGTTTTCCAGGCGTGAATACAGCTCAACGCGGTATTCTGTGGGAAAAACAACGACAAAGTTCACGGATTAATTTTTCATTATTATTTAATAACTAGACCACACTTTCTATCAGTTTAGCGATGTAACAATCCATTTTTTTTATAAATGTGAGTTAAACTATCTAGCAAGCGAGCGCGGACAGTTGTAAACTTGCCCGAGAATCTTTTTCCCGCGATTGCTTTGACGTCTTCGAGCACGTGACCACAAACGCATGTCCGGCAAGATTCAGTTATCTGCAGGAGTGGGGTAAGAATTACAGCATTAGTATTTCTTAAAACAATTTACAACTTCCGTGTTAAAAAAATATGGCATTTCAACGCAACAAGAAAATATACGAAAGTAAAAGTGCACTAATTTGCATTTTTTTTTTACGGTTCGTCTGGAGAACGCCTTGTTATAAGAAAGTTCAAAAGAACTTCGAGTTAATCAGCTCCAGAGAGGATTAGTTAAGCTGAAGATCTTTAATCTGAATGGCAAAGAAAAATGGTTTACTTTAGGAAGATATTTCCCTTTTCTAGGCGAGGATGGTGTCGGATGTTTGTTGAAAACAACCCGTTTCGGTCAACAGACCCTGGTTGAAAATTGGTGCTAGCGCTGTAAACGGAATATTCACTTATCGGGAATCAAACGAGTAGGTAAAGAAAAATTGTTCCCACGTGTCCTTGCTTTCAAAATCGGTTTTGACCAAAGATGTCTGGCTCGCCAGGGCAGGCGTCAGGGAACAGGGGTCAAGACGATTCCGATATTTTACTGCAGTTGAGTTCACAGCCATTGCATACAAAGAGCAGTGAAACCAAACTTCTAGAGTAACAGCTCATTTTGACGAAACTAAAATCATCGCGGAATTTTTTTACCACAGCACAGCGAGAGGGCTTCTCAGTAAAGTCTGGTTTCGAAATCTTTATTGTTACACTCCCTCAGCAAGTTTGAATCTTTCCATAAAAGATGTTGTTTATATACATTGTAATTATTGATTGCCAACAAACCAACCCTTGCTCATTGTAAAAGAAAAAACTGGAGTATTTGAAAAAGGATAAATTACAACCTCTATCTGGCGTCGAAGAGAGCGCTGTAGACAGCTCCCTCATGTCAGAGAAGACCGGCGATCATATGTGTCGCTCGCTCGCCAACAAACGCATATGATGTCGATATTTCTTGCCATATTTTAATCTCGAAACGCTATGGATTTAAGCCACTGTTGATCGGCTGATTTCCTATTTTAATTTTGGGTCATTCATAGCGAGGTTTTTTAAAACGTTTTAAGCAGAATATAGCTTGTTCACGTTGTCGTGGTTGACTAAGGGCCGTCAGGATTATGAAAATTAACGACCGACAACAAATTTGAATATCTGCGAGCCAAACCATAACTCTGGAGTGACCAATTGTCCTAATTTCAGAGCATAATCCAACCTAAAGCGTCTAAACCTTACCATTGCGTTGCATGCCAAGCATTGCTGTAGAACCATGTTGAATTTGTGGCTAACTCCCGTGTAGCACTGGATATGAGGATGTGAGAACTGACGGTTTTGTAATGAAGTGATCTTTGCGCAACTTGATATAATAAGCCACAAGCTGGTTGCGTTGGTGGTGTGACGTCACAATTAAAACAGTTCAAACCACTGACTCGGCGTTACATAACGAAACTGACTAGCGATTGTTTCGTTTTCAAAGAATTACATTTGTAAAAGTTTATTTTATAAGAAAGAAATCGAAACGTCTGAGTATACGAGAGATAATCAAACGAAGACAAAGGCAAAGTTTTTAAGAGCCAATTTATTCATCCCACGCCACGAACGAGCTTTTTGGGAAACTGGTTTTACTAGCTTTGACTTTCCTGACCTCGCGTAGATTTTACAAGAACAAAAAAATTCTTGCTCTGAAGCTGAGTGGTTACTGGGTAAAATGTTTGCAGGATGACCTTATTAGGAATTTTTTTTTTTGAAGGAAAATAGTCAAATTATTTTAGTCAGGTCATTTTCCCTCGCTTGTTGGTTAATCGATGTAGTAAATATCAAACTTGGCGCCCTCAGACACTATCCGTGCGAGGTGAATCTTTCCGCACATTCTTCATGTAAAGCATAATTTTCTTTTGTGTTTTACTGACTACATCTTTTGTTTAGTTTGGCGACATTTTTGTAAAGAATAGTCCTCATCTATAACAATCGTGGACCAAGTAGCCGAAGAAGCGAGTACTGTGAAAGATTCCGCCTGAACAATCTTCCCACAGAAGGGAATGACAATAATGTGTTGATATCTGTAATTTAAATCCTTTATTTTTTTAGGGATTATATTAACTTTTTGATGAAATGGTTCATGAACAGTTTCTGGTAAACTGGTTTATACTAACTCTGTCAGTTTTTTTTTTTGCTTTCGGATCAGGAACATCCGCTTTCCACGTGGCCCTTTTATCGGGTCAATGACTTCTTTGGAAAAAATGATATCTATTCGTAAACCATTATTGTTGAACAGCTTCTCGTTGTTTTGCAATTCAGGATAGCACAGAGTATCATGAACCCACGTAAGGGTTCTTCTTTCTCGTGAAGAGTTGGATAGAAATAACGAGCGTAGTTTATCGGCCGGCTTTGATGAACGTGCTCGCGGGAGTACAAATTAAACCGTAAATTTATGTGCGGACATGGCCATTTTAAATTTAGCTTGTGAAAAACGCCTACTGTTTAAAAAAGTTGCTACTTATGTTTCCTTCATGTATCCATTCAAATGTCGGGTAGTTGTATAATATTTGCGCAAAATCCTTTCGAGAACCTCCTGTGATGACAACTGGTCACTTAAAATGGGTCTTTTAAATTCAGCCGCGGCTGACAATACAATTTGCCACTGAGTAAACTTTGCAAATATCCCTTGATGCGAAAAGAGCTGGTTTACTTTCAGTTTGCTGGTCGCATACAAACAGAAGTCTTTGCCGTGCTTTATATTTCTCATTTGTCGCTCTTCGAACTCAATAGGAATCCCGAAAGAATCCCTGAGAACTTCATTACCGGCTTTTTAATTTTTTACGGATATTTGTGTCGACGGGGTTACTAGACAGTAATTAGGAGATGCAATTTATTTAAAAGTGCCACCATGTAACTACAAATGTTTCTTTGCGTGCCGACAGTAGGACAGCGGCGACTAATTTATCAGTTTTTTCTTTTACAGTTCAGTATCATATGATAAAGGTGAAAGGCATGACAAAAGCGTCACTACATGGAATCGATATATATTGATTAAGACTGATTTTGGCAGAGTTTATCTCTATTTCCTGAGATAGTTTTGTATTCAAACAGTTTTAAAAACTTTACTTAGAACCTAATATTTTACTTTTTCTCGCTAAAATTGTCGCTTCAGATGTCTCTGGCGCAATCAATGTTTGATAAATAATTCTTTCCAGTTCTTCATAAGAAGTGCATTACACTGACCGGTCTGCATATTTACAGATAACAGCATATTGCGAACTGATGAAAGAAGGTTTTGTGCTGAAATTAGAAACAACTGCTCAACTATCCGTTCCAGCTTTAGGAAATTAGGTCATTTTGCTTAAATAAACCCCCGGTCGTTTAAAATGCTTTGTATTTACATAGGAAACATCCCACCCATCAGATGCCATTGAAAGTGAGAAGAAAATATATACAAACCTACCCCTTGTTACGCCTGACCTGAATACAGCGGGGAAGTACGTCATTAAAGGAGTTGTAAGATAATGCACCTAAAGATAATGTGCATAAAGGAAATCGAGTTTTGATTTCGGAACGTAGCTAGCATATGTAAACTTGGCTTAGTAACCCCCTCCTATAGGAAATTCAATCACCTCGCTGCATGTGCAGGGTTTTTCAGTTAGTCCAAAATCGTTAAGACCGCAGAGAACAGATAACAATACTGATGCTGTCTTGTATTTTTTTTGGTTGTTTTTTTTAGTTCGTTGATTCCATAGGTGACTTTTGGTCCTTCTCTTCCCTGTGGCCGGTTGGCAATATAAAACGTTTTACGTTGAGAAATTTAATCAGAAGGATAGCTGTCCGGACTTTTACTGCAGCCAGTGTTCTGTCCACCACATTAGATTCTGTCCTGTCAACCTTCTATTAATTTCTTGAAGAGCACTTGGAAGCCTAGACACGAGTTCTGGGGGCACGGCCGTTTTTTTTGGTACAGAGCTAGCTGTGTGCGAAAATCTTTTGGTTTTCATTCGTCGGTGAACCAAACCCGATCTGCCGGATGTGTGTGACGCCTTAACTTTACGCGGGGGATGCACGGAAGCTGTTTCTTCTTTCACTTTGTTGACCTAGGAATAAAACAAGAAAATATTTATAGTAACTAGAGAGAATCTACACTGCGAACACTCGTGGTACATGCCCAGAAAGGTTAGGCATTCATATTGTTTTCTCTTACATCGTCTAGCTTTACATAAGTTAAAAGGCGTCAACGAACTTTATATCACAAAATGATTTAAAGACCACGTATTGAGGACAGCAGAAAATTGTCGCTTTATCCTTTCTGCCAAGGTGTGTCTTCAGTTAATATTTCCAGGGTCATCATTTTATTTCTTTTTTAAACCACTAACATTTACGCCCACTGCGTGGTTTTCATGATGTCGAAGGCACGTAGACAATGAAAGGCAAATTAGGCAGGATGGTGCACAGCTGATGGCAAGTAGGTCACGGCCGCGCCTCTATATTGTTTATTGTAATTTAAGTTCATTCAGAGCATATACTTTTGTTTGTCAGACTTGACCTTGCAGTAAACTAAAAGTGAGATAAGGAAAAACAAATAACAGAGGTAAGCATTATTCTCGGACTTGTGCTCCCCACTACATTCCTCATATCCGTCGCCAGTAGCGGACCATTGACGCAAAAGCTTACGTCGATTCTTAAGATCGGGTTCCGCAATTTTTAAAAGAAAAAAAAATCCGAAGGTGAAAATCCACCAACCTTTTTCGAAGCAGATTACATGAAGCTTCTCAGTATTTTCAAGAAAAACAGACCATGATAAACTATAGCTACAATGTACTCATCTGCGGCCCTACCTTCGTTTTACATGTATTGAATTTTTACTGTCAACGATCATTTTCTATCAGTTATTAGCACCTTGTGTTGCGTCTTTTTGCAATTTTCGGTTCCTCCCCTTTTTTCTCTTGTGAGCCTCTTCATTCGTCTGTTTTCCAAACGAGAATATAGCTCCACTCGATATTCTGAAAATTCCATTAAAAGACGCAGTCATTAAAAAAATTAATTCGCTACTGTTTACCCGTATTATACAAAACTTCAAAGATGAGAGTGATCTTCGCAATTATTTAAGCAGTGATGAAAAAAAAGCCTGAAAAAGACATAACTTCATCTAGTTCTTACATCTGTGGCGCGATGAACGTAACTGAGACAAGAAAGATGGTTCAGGCTTTTCATTTGCAAAATGTTTAAAAAAAAATGAAAGTTACCCGAGGACAAAAAGACACAATAGGCCATTTTATAGTTGTGCACTTAGTTGTCAAGCCTTTGATTTGGCGTGAGGCTGAAGTTGACCATGTTGTGATAGAGACTGGTATCTAGTCAGTATGATAACAATATAATTTACATTTGAAAAGCAGCAAGTTTTGCATCATAACGAGCCTCACTCCTGTTCAAAGGCTTGGCAACCAAGCACGCAACCGTGAAATGGACTAATGAGAACCATAGTTGAGATTTACACTGGACTTCATGCGGCAGATTCGAAACGCTCGAAATGGTAAGTTTTTGGGTTGAGTTTTGCAGATTATTCTGTACAAAAACCGGAAAATATGTTCTTTAGCCAAGGATGTGCAGTTGCTTACCGATAATCGTAAGTTTCAAGAGCCATGAGGATGTGTCTGAGTTCCAACCTACACCTCAAGCATTTGGAAGTTAATTGATTACATTGAAACATTTTCTTCAAAGCCTTAAAGCCTTTAACCCATTACAATATCACTCCTGAAACAAACACGAAAGTCACGAGAATAGAGGAGATGATCACAAACTAAAGCAGCTCTTGATTGTCAAACAAATTCTCCTTGTCAGCCTCTTTGGAAATGTACGGAGAAAAGTATGGAGAATATACATACTGATGTTAGGGTGTGAAGGGTTAACGCGTCGAAGAAAATGTTTCAAGAGAGCGACTGATTGATTTAAGGTGTCACAGCTAAGTCTTACCTGAAAACCTTTTTCCGCCAATCAGCTTGGAACGCTCAAACACGTGACCACACACACACGATATGCGTGAGTCAGCCTTCTATGTAAGATTAAAAACAAGAAATTATTAACCCTTGAACCATATGAAAGTAAACCAGTCCGTCTTTCACTGATTGTGCGCCACATAAATGTGATTGCCGAGAGTAAAAACACCAAGGATTGTGATGACTCAAAAGCTTTTTCAGCTTCGTTTAAAAACAGTAACTCATATTTTTGCCTTCTTTGCTCCAGCAAGTCCATCCTTAAAATATGTTGGTTAATCATGTGATCGGAAATGCTTATTGCCTTGTGCTGCGATTTCTGTTTTGTATTCCTTTTAAATTTCTACTTTAATTGTAGATGTTTACTTTCACGATGTAAGAAAGCGAGTTATTAAAAAACTTTACATCGTGGCTAATATTTAGCACGCGTGTTTGTCATTCAGCACCAGGAAGGGTGGTCCGTCTAGATCTTTCGTCCATCTTTAACTCGCACTACGCGAAGACGTAAAATCGACTCTTTTTTGAAACGAGTTACAGCTACAGATAAAATGAATGAAAGAATCGAAGTAACTGAGACCTCACTGTGTAAAGCTCGGTCTTGCTGTCCTACTGATGCAGGGAAAAACAACGTGAAAAACAGCATACGACGATAGATTTGAATATTCAAAATACAATCAAGGAAAGCAGCTGCCAGAAGCGTATTCATCCATAACAATATCTTAAAGGTTTGGAGTTTTCTGATCTTACCACTGAGTTACAGGCCAAACACTGTTGAAGCACCATAGTTTCTTATAGAGATAATGGAAACTTTAGGAGATTGCTCCGGTGCTGTATCGTAGAGAGACTCACTGACTCTGCCGAAACTTCTCGAGCTTTAATAATAAGCCACACGTCAGTCTGCCTCAGTACCGAGTGACGTCACGTGGCCAAATTTGAATAGATTGCAAACAAGACAGGTGTGAAGGTTGAAGGTGTGAGTTGTATCAGTTTATCTATGAGCGATAAGCTTCTGTTACTGGGACACGAAAATTTCTACGAAATACTTTGTACGATTACGAAATTTACTTTACGTTTTAAACTCATTCTGGCCTACTCTTAGACGTCAAACAGTGTTTGGCTTTCAGCGAGGAAAACAGAATGAAACTTTCAGCTTCAGCCGTAATTTTTCTGTGTGTATCTACCTGTTAACAATCCCATCTTCATAACCTACCATATCCTTATACACCATCATATGGCCTCATAATATAGTGTCTGATGTCCATCTACTGAGCCTTCATTTGAAAAGGGGGATGGGGAAGGGAGGGCTATTGCGTGATACGGGATTGTTTTTTAATTTTCATGACCAATGAAAGTACGAAATTAAAACCCCGTGAGCTGTGAATTTTTCGCTTTTCGCTATAAGTGAATCTTAAAGTTTATCTGATTTTTCGTGATGCGTTATTTCTACTTTTTGATGCGTGTGATACGTGACCAAGACTTCAAGGACGAAACTTGGCAGACTCCTTACTTGACGTCAAACTTCACAAAAGAGGAATTTCAAGGAATAGCTCCCCATGCTATGCGTCAATTTCTTGGTGCAATTTTTAGAGGAGTTACTGTTAGCTTTGTTGATCTTGAAGGACTATCTAAGTTTTTAAACGCGGTTGTATGCAACCAGGGCTAATCTTTCTCTATTCTTAACCATGGTCTCTCCTGTTTGGTTTATTCTCCTGATTTTTATGATCATCTGTCTGACCAAATTTATCTGTAACTTAAGGTTCCTGCGAAACGAAGTCAATTCTGAAAGCCTTAAACAACGAGTTAAAATATGGTGGGGCAGCTCCGGCGTGACTATAAATTGGTTGAATTTTCGGAAAGAAACGAAGGGGTTGATTGCCTTCCATATTTAGCGTTTCTTTATCTTTGCTTTGCAATGATTTGCGGTATTTTTCTAGAGTGCTAGCAAAACCGCATAATGGACTTAATCGCATATTTCAAATACACCCCGAACATTATCTTACAAGAAAATGGAGGCGTGATCCTTGGTGTGTCACGCGAGAAGTTTCTACTAAGGCGTGACTAGAAAAGAGGAGTGTTTCACGGAAAGCGTGTGGGTATTCACTTCATTTCCTCGTAAGCAAAGGAGAAAACGTCAGATTGTACTCCCTTCAAAAACAGAGAATGGTAAGAAAGGTGTTCTTACCGTGTACTGTTTGATAGTGACACTGAGCTGGTGGAATGTTTTTCTCTATTTCTTACGAGACGTATTAAGATATTTTTGCGATCTTTGCACGCGAAAGCAGTGCATTTATACTCAAAAGCGTGGCTATCTTATTTGTAATTACTTCGTTACATTGATTATGACTTAATTCTCATAATTTGGGCAAAATCTATACCGGAAACATATCTGTGAGGGATATATGAAACGCTGAGGTTTCACATAAATTATGACGACATTACACAACAAAGCATTTCTTAAACATCACTATGGTTTAGCTGAGAATACTCAGTCATTCAGACTTACCAACTGATTACACGCTATGCAGCGTTCAACAACCATGGCTAAACTTCAAATGAGGCCACCGAGACTTGCGATTAAGAAACGGTCATGAGATATTTCCTGCTGATGAGGACATATCACTCACTGAGCTGACACGGCACTAAATCATATTGGCTAATCGGTAAGTAACATCGCATGATTATGACGTAATCGGTGATGTCAGCTACTATTTAATATTTCTAGCAGAAAGCGGGAAGGACACGGAATGTTTGTAGAGGATACGGTAGTGACTATATTCCTTTATTCGAGTTTCATTTTCAGTATGGAGCACGTTTATCAAAATATCTCAATTGCCTCGGCCTTTATTCTGCTGATTCATCGAATTCCATACAAATCAAGACCATCAGGGAGCAACTACAGAATACCCTGCCACTTTGGTACACCTCATTTACATGTGTCGAGAGGCTTTGAAGATCGAGGCATAACAAAATAAACGTTGTTCTTATTCAATGACATGTAAATGAGTGGCAGGGTATTCTGCAGCTTAGCCATCATCAGTTACCTGCATCATACTGTGCAGTCGGACAAATTCTCTAATGCATGGTTACTTTGTTGACAAAATGTGAAGTCCATTTGCATGCAATGCAACTTTAAAATGAAAATATTTCTAGTTTGATAACGTTCTATTTTAAACTGGACTCGTCAATTGGACGTTTCACACCCAGCCGACCAGTCGCCACATGCAGTGACGAACAGTTGACATGCATTCCAAGGCTACTGAGGGAGTCGCAAACCATTATGACCTTCTTCATAGGTGTGCCAAAATATATTTTTAGTTTATGGCTTTAAACCCTTTTAATTCAAGTTTTTTTTCCTTAGGGAGCAAGGAAGGGTCAACTCGACGCCTTTTCCGCTTGGATTTTCAAAAACTGAATTAATGTTGGTTCCCTCCCTTTCCTTGGAAACGACTTCCTGTTACTTAATTGTGGTACTTCCGGTAACTTCAAAGTCATTAAGCTTTCATGCCCATCCCTAAAAGGTCTTTGTATCCGTCAAAAGCTTGAGGCATTTTCCCAAATCAGATATCTTTTCATTAAGACGGCAATGTGAGCCACATCAAAATTTTCCGTTTTTATTCCAGTTTACCCTTGGACAGAATTCTTCTGTTTGATTGCAGCGAAAACCGCTTTCTCCTCATTTTTATTTTTGCAACGAAAAAGGGGGCCACAGCTTAAATAATAGCGAATTTGTTTTAAAAACCATTAACGTATTCACTATTGTTTTTATATTAAGTAAACAGAAGAGAGAGTCAACTGAATTATTAGATTCTGTATTAATATCGATCGTCTTTGGAAGTGCCAGGAAGTGCTCAACACGCTAATCTTATTAGAGAAACCTCAATAATTTACAAGATCACATCCACTAATTTTTCGACGTAACAGACGCAATTTGCCAATCTTTCGTTGTCGTTTAGTGTTGTATGGGTCTGATATTTACACTTAGGGGTATTAAATATGGACTCTAAAAGTCTGATTCTTTCAACGAATGTCTTCGTCTGGCTCTCTAGATAAAATAATGAAACTGACGTAAGCCAGCAATGCATTAGCAATAGTGTTCATGAGAGCTTTAATTGCCTCTGGTGATCAATTGGTTAGGTTTTCTTTTTCTTTTTTACAAATTTTTGGCACTTCTGTTGCCCTGAAATATTAATTAATCATGCTATTTTTGGCTAGTATTCAATTGTCGATTGGATTTTTCAGATCGTCACGTAACCGCAGCGGTGTACTTATCAATTATTATGATGATTTACACCTTTCCGCCCATCGCAACGCCTACTGTCTGCCACCACATCACTCAGTAATGCTTGGGATCTTCACCTGCCACTTAGCAATAAATCTATGCGGGGTTTTCTTCTAAATTACTGACCTGTTCTAGGGGAGTACCAAGTGAACTAAAATCGCACACTTATAGACTCAATCTCGCGTAGAAAGAAACTTTTTACACAGCTCAACTGCCTGTGAATTATCAGTTCTTAACAATATGGTTACGGTTTTTAGTTTCCATGGATGTTTATCTGACTTAATAAAGTTGAATCGCCGAGTCACCAAGTAAATTTATAAAAAATTCCAATTCATGCGCCTGGCAATTATTCATAGCTCTAGGTAGAATAATACACTGTGAAAAATTCTACAACGGCGTAGGATGTTGACTTACTTCTGCACATTATTTAATATAACAACATTGGTAACGCTGGTCAATGCTTCTATCGTGCAGCACTTCTCGTCAGAAGATCAGTTGTTATTTCGAGTCTAAAGTATTTCCTTTCCTAGAAGAATAAAGATTCTTGAGATTGTGACTTTATTGTTCAGTTGCTTTTCGCAGATGCAGACTTTCACTATTCATGCCAAAAAAATTGAAATCCTGCAAAATCATAGAAGGTGTTTCCTTACTCGGAACTGATTAGATCAAGTGACCACCACAAACCGTATAATATTAAGCCAAGCTTTAATAATTATTCGATCTAAAAGAAATACATTTATAATTCGCAATTAGAACAAACGCAAATCAAGTCTTTATCTTGTAACTGAATTCAAAAACTTCAATATAAACTTACTTCTGTGGCGGGTCGTTACAACAGTCTCACTTTACGGGTTAGCAGATTCTCCAGGTAAGCGGATTTAGAGACAGAAAAACGATAACAAAATAACTTCTTTCTCACTTCGATTCTGCTGAAAAACTGACTTAAACATAATAATCTAACGCTTTTAAATCAATCTATTGAATTAATGTCAATCACGATTCTTGTCATCGAATAAATCTGTCAACACGAGGCAACGCCTATTTATTAAACGAAACATTCTCCGCCCCGATAAGGGCGTAGTCCTTATCCTTCTTGAAGTCAGCCTAATTTTATTTAGTCGTATCCCTCAGCAGGATATATAACAGCAATCTTGGTGACTGGGCGGCTGTATTCTCCGGCTGGTGTTTTTACTTTGACATTACGGACTCGGCCATCTGTCCCGGGATACACCTCGATTACTCTGCCGATGGTCCATTTACCTCGGATAGCATTGTTGTCCGCCATGACTACAATGTCATCGACTTGAACGTTTCGCCTTTCTGTATGCCATGCCTTCCTTATCACTAGCGCTGGCAGTACGTCTCTGCTCCAACGTTTCCAGAATGACTCCACAATTTTCTGCACAAATTCTACACGGCGTCGCGGGTTTTTCGTGTCTTTGAATGGGCCTTGAGGAACTTCCGGTGTTGCTCTTCCAAGAAGCATGTCGTTCGGGCATAAATATTTGCCGTCATCCGGGTCATTTGGAACACGGCCGATCGGGCGTTGATTAACGAGATTTCCAACTTCTAGCAGACATGTGTATAAC